GAGGATTGACGTACTATGGTCGAAGTTGAGGTTTCGACCCCAGGGAAAGGTCGCTGATTACAGAGGCTGATTACATTAATCTCACTTCTTATGCCAGTTTCTATAAGTCATCGGAGACGGTGAATTTTCAGAAAATTGATTAGATCTGGCAGACACCTCGGTGCGAGGCTGAAAGCCGATAGAAAGTTTCATACTCGCATTAAAATTAATTATCATAAGTCGCTTGTGTGAATCTACAATGATTCCCTACTTTCGCGGCGCACCTAATATTCCGTCAGTCGCCATTGTGAAGATCTGAGAAATTTCTAATTTTTTAATTTATATCATTTTTTCTTTTTAATGAAATATTAAAGTCGTCATCTGTCAACGCTGAGAAAATCGATGCTTATCAAGATCAAGATTATGAGGAGGAAGGCTCTTATGATCGGCGGTTTATGAATAGGACAATGATAGAACGAGTACGCTACGCTATAGGGATCCCCATTGATGACAAGAGTATCTCGTGTACGGGAGAGATTCATGGGGTTGCTCGCAATGTCAAGGCCACTAGGGTGGCGTGCACATTGAGGGGTGGAGGCCTATGGGGAGAAAGAGAAAGAGGCTGCGAAACTGCTGGTCCCACCATCGATCCGTTCCCCTTCCTCTTCTATGTGCACCCATCGGTCCAGAGTAGAACGCAATTGCTGCCTCCATTCTTGCTTTCCCTTCGAAACGATTTAACACTGTTTCTATATTAAAAACGTATCAATATTTCGAAATATTTAAAACTGTTCCGATATATCGAAACAGTTCTACCGATGTACACCGTTAAAAAAGTTTATTGCAATTTTATAATGATTCCGTTGAAAGTTTTTTTTTTTTCTCCAAACATGGTATTCTAATTCTTTGACATCTTCAAACGTCTACAACGTTGCTTACAAATTCAGTACGTAATGTGAATAAATTCCAGGAAATTACAACGCATGATTATTGCTATTATATTATGATTTATTTGGAAATTAATCGGGAACACTGATGCAGTTTCATGATCTCGAATCTATAATCTCACTATACTCTTGTGTACTAGAAGCGAGTTTTTAAAATATCTTTTGACGGTGTATATTGAAATGAAAAAGATATGACAAACGTACTGTGAATTTTGGAGAATTTTGGGTGTAAAGGAGCGGCGATGTAGAGGCATTTGATATTTCAAGGTGATATTTTCCACGGTGCAGGCGAGGTCGGAGCGACTCGCGTGATTTATTTCATCCACCACGCCTCCTGGGGGGGAAAAAAAGTGAAGAAATAATAAGAGGTAAGACACGGGAAGAAAAATCATAAGCGCGCAAAATCTCGCTTTTGAGAATCGTTTCTTAGCCGAGCGGAGCGTGACGGCCGCGGAACTTGTTGTGGACTCTCGACCGGTTCTTGAAAAGATCTGGCCTACAAGTCAAAAGTAGCACCTGCGCCCGGTTAATAATTATTCAGAGACCGTGCTTTCGATGTTAGACGAGGAAGCCTTGATATGCATCGACGCGGGTTAGGTCAGGTCTGGATTTTACGAGAGAAACACGCGTAGCAGCCGGTTTTCGAGTCGAGGTGTCGCCCTCGTTGTGCTCGGCTAATCCGCGGTGTAAACGCATGCGCCATTTTATTTAATTGGACGGTATCGAGTAGTTGCACCGCCCGGCTATTTTATTGGACGGGGTGCAATTGGGTGAGGTTAATTGCGGCAGGAATGAATTGCACAATGCGCATAATGCCGATGAAATATTGCGCGACGTGTTTTCTGCGAATTCGACGTGGAACGTTCCGGGAGCGTCGTGCATTTTCCCAGGTACCAGGTCGAGGGTTAAGTGATAACTCACCGTTATTGGAACCGAAGGGTCGTTTCAAAGATAGACGGAAAATATGGGAATGAGCGCGATAACGCGGTCGTTTCGAGCAACGTTCCTCGGTCTGGGGCTTTATGAATCGTCGGTGTAAATGGCCTTTTAGGCCCATCTTTTAAATAGATGCATTCCTCGGCTACGTCCTCACGCTCTGCCACTTTTTAACGACCGATCCACATTAGCGAAGCGTGCTCGAGCATGAATTCGCGGCCCGGAATGCAATCAAAACGCTTAAACGAGACCGTTTACACCGCGACGTGTGCGTCCGGTTTAACAGCCCGGTTTAAATCGTTCGATTGTGCCTCTGCCGTTTTAACGTGAAAGGGTCTTACCCAACGCTGCATTTGCTGTTTTGGTAAATCCAGTCGGCGGTTGTCGACGTTACGCCATGGAAGGCGATGCAGTTCCTTAGTACCCAAACTAAAAAAGAAATGCCGGCTGATGTTACTAAATGCGTCCGATTAAAAGATTCCCAGTTACCGTTAACGAGAATTGAGACTAATGCGGCTAGAAAATTACGCTTACATAAATCTGGTATTCCTAAACTGTTGACATTTTTCTGGTAGGACATTCTCGTTCTTCCGTCCAGAAATTCTCATCGGATATATCAGGAATGGTATTAGCGCGACCAGGTGATATTCTACTGGATATACATGATACTTCTAATCAGATGAATAGTATGGGCATGCTTAACCTGATTCAGCTGAAATCTAATTCTTCTACCTAGACAGTTTCCTTTTTTCCATCCTTCCGGACGTTTCTGAGACCGCTCGTGACTTCTTAGATTTGTCGGTACCCCGACAGTCCCTCGAAGAAGTCCCCGAGAAAATCCATCTAGAATTGGGGAAAAAAAAAAAAAAACATCTCGTCTCTGTCGTTACTGCGTATTTAGCAAAGGGCACGCTCATATCATCGGAGGCTCGGTGCGTTTCGAAACGGCCGGTATTCACGACTTACCCCATTGTATCGTCGGTTGCGTTTACCTCGAATCGTCGGGCAGAGCCTTCGATCAAAAGCCGGAGTCAAAGGTGTAAATCAGTCACACCTCCCACGCGGTTAATTTATCCTCGCGAGGAAGGATCCGACGCGACGAGGCACCTTTCTCGCCGCGGCCGCCATCTTGGAGCGGCGCGCGCACCTAACGCCGGCTCGGCCGGTAACGGCGCGACTTGCCGTTACCTACGGCCGAGCCCAGAAAGCGTGGGCCCGGGGGCCTCGAGGAGCGCTAAGAGGGCCCAGCAAAGAAATAAATGATTATTTTCTATTCAGCGCGTCGCTCGGCTGAGAATCTATTGAGAAATCGCCGTGTAAAAGGCGAGGCCGCGCGCCGCGTTGAGAAATCACTTCGCAACGCCAATTTAATCCCGTGAGAAGAACCCGCGCGCGTCCGAGTGCGTGCACGCATGCGCCGAGACTCAAGATGGCCGGATTTCCTTTTGCCGCCGCCGGCCCTCGAGAACTCGAATCGGCATCTTGCTTTGTCGGGTCTTCGTTAACGTAACGCCCTACGGGGGAACTTAATAACCAGGAAATAGGGAACCCGGCTAACGGCCCGGATCACGTGGTCGCGACGCCAAGATGGCCGACGCGGGGTTTTCAAAAATTCCCGAAAGTATCAAGTGATTTCGAGAGGCTCGCTAGAAGACTTGGAACATTTCCAAGGCTTTTATACAATGAGATAATGTAATTTTATATGACTTACAAAAAATGTATTATGAATTTAGCGCGTGACCGCACAGTTTTGCTATAACCTTGGGTATCGATAGTGCATGGGTTTTATGAATATTTTTAATGTTGCAAGACACATGCCAGGCGGTAACATTTATTTTAGTCCGCGGCTAATTTTTCATACGTCGGCGTGTATCTCTTTCTCTCAGTGTCGTAACGGTTGCTTTAAATGTCGACGAAGAGCCGTCGTGGGAGTCTTTCTTTTTTTAATGATAATCAGCGTTGTGATATTAATGATCGGTATTACGTAATAAGTAATCAACGTTGCGCAACCGAGGCAACATAAAGTGCCACGGGTAACTATTGTACGGATATCGTCAATGCACGTTCTTCGGAGAATCGGCATGGAAGGATTTGACAATCGGACGCGTGGGCAAAAAGTGGAGGGCCCTGTGGGGATTTCGACGTCGATTCTTTTTTCTTTCTTCTTTTCGTTTTTTTTTCTTCTTAAGGATTATCGCGCGCGCCTTTCGTAGTCTTATGAATACTCGGAGTGATTCTACTACGTGGCACTTGTAAGCTCCCTTGTACGACGACTGTGATGTAAACCGGAATTAAAAGGGATTCTGCGAGGCCGTTTTTTCCGTCGCTTTTTTAAGCTCCCTTGGATTGTAGGATTAACGATGTCATACGGTACATCCACTGGATGCGTAACGAGTTCACGTTGAATTTGCAGAAAATATACAGGAAACATTTCCGGGAATGTAGACTTCGATGCTCGGTCGTGCTACGTCGATGACGCGTACGTCTTCTTCGGGGTTCACTAAAAATTAAAAATATTCCCCAATCCCAAGTGCCTATAATTACATCTCCCATTGATCCAAGTACCCAATTAATCTCCTAATACAAAATTCCTAAGAATACCTACAGAGTGCACATTTAATTTACCGGAAATGTACATTGAACATCCCCAGGGATTTAGACTTCGATGCTCGGTCGTGCTATGTCGACGACACGTGGGCGCTCTTCAGGGTTCCCTAAAAATCTAAATCATCCAATCCCGAGCGATTATGACTTTTAGATTTCTCTTTAATCAAAGCACTCAATTAATCTTCTAAGAAAAAGTGTAAAAATCAGGCCAGAAGCATAGGCGAGGGTCAAAACGAAAGAAATAATCGTTGTCTTCTAGGTCTGGTTGCGAAAGTCCTTCGATGGTCCGCTCCTCGGCAAAAAGTGTCAGATATTGCCTAAGAACACACATATCTTCGTCTTCGGGAGCACGAAGGCGAGCTCTGGGCAACTCGAGGTCCACCGATAAAACCGCTCGACTTCTTGCGCTTACATTTCTTTTTTTCTTTTTTCTCCCCAGCCTCTTGATAATACGGTTACTCCCTGAAGAAGTGCAGCTGCAGTCCTCGAGAGCCCTGAAATCTAATCGGCGGGTCTTCGGTTCTGTTTCAGGAATCCGTGCGGTCCCGAGTGGCCATGGATTTCACCGGCAGCGTGGGCAGGATAGTGGAGGACCCGAAGGAGGCGAAGGACATCGCCGAGAGCGAAGGCATCATCTGGAGAAGAAGATGGAGGCCCTTCTCGAGGCCACCTCCGGGCTGCGCCATGGTCAGGCTGCATGGTCTCGATGGTGGCATCCACGTTCTTCAACCATGGTTCCATAGTGGCATTAAAAGGGAACTTGCTGCAGCCATCATCCGCGACCATGGCTCCGTCGACGGGTAAGTCCAAGAACGAGTACCCCTTCGGAGGTACCGAGCAAAAAGTGCGATACCTCGGAACTCCATACCAGAAAAATTCATCTTTAACATCGAGTAGGCGTATTATCGATATTAACCTGCGAAGTTAAAAATGCAATGTTATCATTTTATAACGTATTTACATACTTTATGCGCATAAATTTACGTAGAGATTTATAGTGAGGCCGGTTCACCCGTGAGACATGAAATTTAGAATTCTACTATAAAGTTAGTCATTAACATACATGGGTTGGGGGCAAGGGGCCATTCACTTGGAAATCAATGAAAACCGATTGCCTTTTGATTTCATATGATAGACGACAAAGCGATTCGGTACCAGGTGTGACAGTCGGCTTTAAAATTCTGGCAATGGTTCGGTGATTTCCAAAGATTGCCATTGATTTCCACGTGATTTCGAGCACGAAAATCCACGATTTCCTGAGTGAATACCATCTCGATTTGGCGGGAAACGGACGCGAGTCGATTTCTGCCGAGATAGGAGAATTATTGATTATCGGCGATTATCTTAAAATCGTAGAAAATCTGTCGCGCCCTTACGTCGGCCCGTGCACCGCCTTTACGAGGATCGGTCAATGATAGCGTAATGGCCGCCACGAGCCCGGCTGGAACCGGTTAAGAGTTACGACCTCTAAAGTGTTCACGGAGACATGCCCGACGTGCGGTTACGTAACCTTTAACGCGATTACGACCGATCGTAAATCACGATAAATTCCGATCGATAATTCTGCGGAGGGGAGGGAGTCGAATTCTGCATTTCCCCCGCGTGGCCGTGGAAGGGAAAAGTTCTGCTCCAAACGTCGCGATGCATCGCCGATGCATTGATGACACTCGTCACGGGATACTTCCGACATTCTCCCCCCTGGATGACGGTCGCTCATTGAATTAAATCCATCGCCCGTCGTATCTCCCTGAAAAAGTGCTTAAAACCGAACATAACCTCAAAAGCATTTTATTTCTCCCTAACAGTGAACGTGGAAATAGTGGGCATTCGCTCGTATCACGGAGCCCTCGCTCTTAGCTGTAGATACGTGCATTCAAAATTCGTCCACAAAATTCCTGGACATGTCATCCTCGGTGGTAGAGAACGGAAAAATTCCTGTAGAATTGTATGGTGTACATTTGCCCGTGATAATTAGTTAAAGAGATAGTCAACTAGGCGCCTCTCCACACTTTGCTATCTACAACCGTAGGACGCGCTATCTGACGGCGTGCGATCCGATTTGCGTTCCAGTAATCGAACGGCTGATTGGCCGACTTTCGATTAATTATCACAGGCGAACGAGGCATCGTAGAGAAAAGTTGTACAGGACTTTTCGACTCCATTTTCACAGAGGATTGCGATATAAATCGTGGGTTCGGATCCTACCACCCTGAGTATGAATAATGGAAGGCGAGGTTCTTTATTTATTTTCTTTTCCTAAAGGGGTGGGGCCTAGCGTTCATTTGGCTTAAAGACGACCATGGTGCAAAAGTCGACGACGCGCGCGCATGCGTCGGGCTGTTAAAGGCATTAAAGAAGCCGCAGCCAGTCGCGTTACGGCCATTACGCGTATTAAGTCGGCGGTTCTTGCGGCAGGCGCTTCGAATTAGTTCGGCTCCTCGGCTAATTTCCCTTTCGAATTCGGTCGGCGCCGGATTCGGGGATTCGCCGGAGCGTCGTAGCTAATGCGACCAATGGGGGGCGCAATTAATGTCCTGGGAGTTCGGCTCGAGTGGGCACCGTCTAACGACCCCTTCGCTCGAAAGGGACCCCAAAGGGCCCAATAAAGCGAGGAAGAGGCCCCGGCGACGCTGCTCGTTGCAAATTTACTTCTAATCAATTAGCCGAACGGATTGGGAACAATGCACTTCCGATGCATCAGCCACAACGGCTCCCAATTTCGGATGCAGCAGATTATGGTGCGCCATTTTGCCTTTTACGTAGTTGGCGCGCGTAAAGAGACCACGAAGCCTTGAATGCGGATGCGATATATAATGAGAACGTTGAAAAGAAAAGGGAAATTTCGCAGAGTTGGAAATGACTTGATCTTGATTTTTATTTTACTTTAACGTCACTTCACATCCACGTAGTTTGAAATGAAAAATCGGTAACAGAGGGTTAATGGTTAGTAATTAATTGAGATAATATCCTCGCGTTTTAGCTCGTGAATTTACGCCGTTGTAACAGAAATTTCTCTGTAAAGATAGAGAAGGGATTCGCCGAAGCGGTCCGAAAACCGGGAGCGTGGTTAATGCCGAGAAAGTGAGGTTAGCTCGCCTCTTCGGAGCGCCTCGCGAGAGGGAAAGAGAGGGCGCGAGCGCGGTCAGGGGAGCCAGAAAGAGACGCCATTATCAGCGACCTAGGGCAACCGCGGTCGCGGATTCGCTTGAAATCCATTAACCAAACGACCTGGGGACAATCCTGGGATACAACTTCCGCAAGTCCGACTGCGGCGAGGTCCCAATTTCCATGCAGCGCATTCGGGGCGTCCGTTTCGCGAACTCGGTAATGCCCCGTGTAATGCCGCGCCGTCGAGCGGAGGAGAGGATCTCTCTTCCCGGAAGCCTCCGGCTTCGAGAAACATTAAAAGGAAACGGCGTAATCTCCAAGGAGGAGGGCAGCCAGTTCCTCGTAAAATGACCGGCCGAAAAAGGGGAGAATTATTTCTATAAAGAAGTTGTTTACACGCAGAAATCGGCCGCGCCGGTTAGACCCTGAAAAGATGTACCGGTCTCTAGGAAGTGAAGTTCTCCGTGATTTTTCTTAGATTAATTAATAAGAGTAGTTTCTATGCAATTTCTACATAGATCCTCCTAGGAATTGGGATCGTTGCCACAAGAAGTCTCTTTATCGAAAACGGAATCCGCGCACTCGTTTCCCCGTTTTAAGGTATTCCGCGTTTACACCGCTTTCTCCGGCCATTCCGTTAATACGTTAATACCGCGCATTGTTGTTTCGCGTTTATTCCCTTGTTAGGCCACTTAGGAAAAGGCGGTACACTCCCACTTCCGGTTGTTACGTTCGTACCCGAGAATTACAGGCCTTGTTTTGCGTTTAACGCATGTACCGAGCCAGATCGAGTTGCACGACATCTAAGGAACCTATTTTCGGGTGAATGAATATCCCACGTACCGAGAGAAATTAATGTTCAACCTCACCACGAGCTGTGTGAAACTGCGAAAAGTGAAAATAACTTCGTAAACTACATTATTATATACAAGTTATATTTAATAGGATATTTTCCCAGGTAAGATTTACCCTTAATTTTTCTCAGGGTGGCGATAAACATGTTAGAATTATCAAGAATCGTATGGTTTCATAGCTGCCAGTAACGTCATGCAACAGAGGGTTAACATAAAGTCCATCGTACACGCTCTCTAAGACCCGTAGCAAGTACTTTTACAAGACCGCTTAATACCGCCGGGCAATAAAGAGTTTCTTGTGGCAAAGGTCGCTTTTCCAATTCCCTCTTAGAGGCGAAGTTCATCGTAACGTCGTCGGAGCTAAAAGAGCCCAGGGGTCTTTCCTGCCCCTTTCTTCCTCTCCTCGGCACCGGACTTCGGGCCAGGACGAGCACCGGATCCTTGCGAAGGATCCTTTAGGGTCCTTTTAGGCGTCGAGGAAGAAAAGGGGACGTCGGTAATGAAGGGAGCAACAAGCAGCGGGCAAAGCCTCTCGAGTTTTACGATCGCGTAGCCGCAGTGCAATCGACTTTACGACCGACTCGCCGTCGCATTTTTCATGGTCGGTCTTCTTATTGCATCTGCTGACCTCTATCCGCCTTTTACGACGATTTTCATTCATCCCGCGATACGCCTCGTTCGGCGAGCTCCGTTAGAGCGGTTCGGCGAAGCTAAAGAAAGGTCTAAAAAATGGGAAAAAAGCTCCTACCAATGTTACTAGATGCGCCTGGTTGAAAGATTTCTAGGTATTAACCCTGATAAAAATCGACGGAAATTTACGTATCTTTTATACAGACCTCTTGGCTCACGCAAAAACGTAAAATGGAAACATTACAAATCAGAAACTGTAGAAATACCCGTTACGCTGTATTTTCACCGTATTGATAAATTTTTTTTTTTAACTTCAATTAAATGTGACGTTACGTTATCATTAACTGCTATTTATCGTGACATCGAAATAACGAGTATGTCAATTTACATGGGCATTTTTGTCAGTGAATCAGAAGGTCTGATTAACGCGATTAACGCGAAATTAGGAATTCGCTTTGGATTTTCCCGAGAAGAGTAACAACGTACCCAGGCAATGTTTTGCAAAAAATATGTTATACGTTTAAACAGATAAATAGTAAGACCAGATATAATGATCTAATCCAGTTAAAATATTCGGAATTCTGGTTCTTTTAAGTAGGCCTCCTTTTTTTGTTTCTTTTTTAGTGCGAAGAGCACTGGTACTACCGTTGCACGCGTACCGACTTCTTTTGCACCTCCTCTTCATCGCCTCTCTTAGACTTTATTGTTCCTCGTAGCCAGACTCGTTTCCGGCTCGTATTCCGCGGAATAAGGGTCTGGTCTCGCCGCTCGCCGATTTGCGTTTTTTCTCTCTCCCCATTTTTCTCCCCCTTTTTTATTTTTACGCAATTTCGAAGTCGGCACTTAACCCGTCCTCTCGTTTTGCGCGAGTTCTTCGTGCGTGCTGGTTTAATTGAATCTCCTCCTTGTTGCGCAGGGTCTTCCTCGTCAGAGAGAGCAAGAGCAATCCTGGAGCCTACGTCCTGACTTACAAGTACAGCGAGAAGGTCTTCCACGCCCAGATTCAGCCGGTAAGAGCTCGTAAAATCCCCGATGTTTCGTGTCGAATCGAAAGTTCTTGCTTCGACCAAACATGTCGGAAGAAGTCGACGCAACGAACGAGCGAAACTACCTCTTCGGTATTCTGTTACCATTTCTGGTAGTCATTTGATACGTCTCTTAAGCCCATACCCGTCTCGAGTAACGTGGACACTTTGTTCTTCATTGTTGCCCAGAAAAGTCGCAGCCGAAGCGGTGGTTTCGATCTCTATCTCCTTTTTTTTGTTTTCAAACTCAGGACGCGATACCAAGATGGCGGCTTTGGTCACGGCGTTCTCGCTTGAGTATTTTTAGATTTCGCCATACCTTGTATAATAACCATCTAACAATTGTAAGTGATATGCAAAGTAGGTCTTAGTTTTGAAAAATCTCTGAAGTCTCGTATCCGTACCTCAATCGTAAGGTTAAAAGACGTCTTTAGTCGTTCAAGGTGTTATGAAAGTGGCATACATAAAAAAGAAATTCTTGTTCGAAAAATCAAATTTTCTGTGTTTCAAGACCTCAAGAAGGAGGCTATAAGGTCCTAATACCCATAAGATTCACTTTGTTATAAAAAATGTTAGATATCTAGAAAAAAAATTGTTTAATCTTGAAATTTCGAGGTCAGTAGTACCTTCCTTATAGTCTTCACATTCACGTTGTAAAGTTTGAAACGATTCGATTCGGTAGATGTCTTTCAACCGTAAAATTGATACATGAGTACCCAAGAGTGTAAGACCAAGACTAATCGTGCCCATGACCAGAACCGCCGAAAATTTGAATAATTCGCCCAAACATTTGCCTTACATTCTTAAGAGTGCCGATCAGCTAACGATTCTTCAATCTTCCAGGTGTTCGACGAGCGCCGCAACTGCTGGCTGTACACCCTCGACAAGGGCGTGACCAAGTTCTACGACCTGCTGCAGCTGATCGAGTTCTACCAGCTGAACGCAGGTTCCCTGCCGACGAGGTTGACCCACTACGTGCAGAGTGGGATTCCAGTCCCACCAACGAGGCCAGAAGATGGCGGAGCATCGCCATCCCCACCAGAAGCAGCTCAGAGATTCAACTCCAAGAACAACGAGCTGCCCAATCCAGCCAGCATTTGAGTATAGCGGTCCCAGCGACCCGGCGATTTCGACGAGCACGTTACCACTTCGTCTAGCGTGACCAACAACAACCATCACAGCAGCCAGAACAACAACAACGTAAGCGCTGGGCATGGCAACGTTCGGTCGACGTCGTCGGGATGCTGGACCCTCTGCAAGGGGAGCTGCGGCTAGCAGGACGTCCAGGTCGAAGTTGGACCCTGGTACCATGGTCCATTCAACGGGACACCAGCTCTCCAAAGCGAAGAGGACACCTGGACGAACGAGGAGCCTGCGAGTCGAAACCTCTTCGGGGTCGAGAGGGCGCGTTCGTCGCGTTTAAAACATCAGAGGACAACAAAGAGGAGCGACGTCGACCTCCAGGGCTATCACGCCCCGGAAGTCGATGGTCGCTCCTCTCTTCAAGGTCTCTCGTGTGGGATTCTTGAATTCTCGGGGTGGGTTAGAAGTTATTAAAGGATTATTGACGCGTGCGCGTGCGCCTTAGGACGGGTCGGACTTCCGGAAGTCACGGGGCCCTCCCTCGAGGAGGACCCTGAAGACGGGGCAGCGGTCCCTCGACAGGGAACCCTAGGTCCTCTCCTTCGTCTTCCTGTAACGTAGAATTGCGTAGCTAGGCTGATGTCGGGATTTATTAATAAATTGTGGAGGGTGAAATCGATGGAGAATGGGAAGGAGAGGCTAAGGGGTACCTCTTAAGTGTTTTTATCGTATGTTAGAAATAGGCTTAAGGAAGATTTTCGATTCCTTACTGTCTAGTGGATCTTAAGGTGCTCTTAGAGACTCGAGAAAACGGATTAAGCGCGACTAATGCGAATTATTAGCGAGGCCAGGAGTCTCCTCCTGTCGCGCTGGCTTTGCCGGTAGTTCCCGGTGTTCTTTCCTTTTTTTTACTTTTTTTTTTCTTCTTTAATCTCTCGTACCGGAAATTACCGCCCTCGAGACCTCGGAGTACAAAACAACGTAGACGCAAGACCCCCCTTTTCCTTTTCTACGTGTCGCCGTGCAAAACAAGTGTAGCCTTAGAGATGTAAGCGACGTGCAAAGAGCACGCCACGATCGGCGATGTTCTGTGACCAATGCGCAATTTCGCGCAGGCAATAAGACGTTTGTGACTCGAAGTTCAGTCTTTCCGGCGAGTGTGCCCGAGTTATTGTATGTTCGTGCGTGTGTGTGATCTTCAGGAGCCCGAAAGCGGCCCCTATTTGTGAGCTAGAGTCGCGATTCTTCACGAGTAGATATANTACATACTTGATTTCGATCAATCCGCGCGAAGTCCGCTTCTTCTCGCGAGCCTTCGCTCGCCGAAGAGTCCAGAAATCTAAGAATCAACCGAAACCTAAGAGACCCTACGATTTATACGTTCGGCCATTTTCTACAAAATCTATTTTTCAACAGAGGAAGCTCGGGAGGTCAACCTCGTTTAGCGACACTCATCGCCGACCGCTCTGTCGTTCGCGTAATTCTGGACACTAGTTTAATGTCATTTCGATTTGTCATTTGAATAATATCGTAATGGAGTCGCGATCGTATTTGTCGTGTCTTTGTAGGACTTCGTCGCCATTCAGACCATTGTTGGGGCGAGAAATCATCCTCGGAACGACCGAATTCTTTCGCACGGGAGAGGGTGGAAGTGGTGGCGGCAGTTCAGGCGAATGTTCGACAAGATGTGTGTTTGTTCTGTCAAAGTTCAAGTACGATTTAGAATAAACTCTCCTCGTTGCATCGGGGAAACGGAGGAGTCGGGGCTCGAGTTTTTGAGCGAATCGAGGAACGAACTCCGTCCGAAAATACTGGAAGGATTTAAGGTTACATGAAAGTGGCGTCCAAGGGCTTCGTTTATGAAACTTTTCTCCGGACTGGGTCTACGGAATCGGTTAAAACTTTACAATGTGAATATGGAGTCTGCGAGGGAGTTCCTGACACCCGTAAAATTTCGATTTTTTTTTTGTTTTAAATTTGTTTATGGACATTTAAAAATTTTTTTATACATGAAATTTTATCAGTGCCAGGATCATCTTTATAGTCTTTACATGAACGGAGTAGAATTTGAAACGATTCGGTACATCCGGTTAGGAGAAAAGCTTCATGAACGATTGATTCCTTGGATGCCACTTTCGTATCACCTTGATAAGGACTATCCAGCGTCGTCCTTTTGCTAATATTTCCCTCGGTTTATGTATTTTAAGTCGACCCTTTGTTGTTCTTCCATTCGCTTGCGATTCGACCTCGCGGCATCCGATGTTCATGATCTCATACATTACACGAATGTTTTGGACGTGCGATCGGTTCGTTACTGATTATTAATTAATATAAATGAGGCCGCGTGAAAGAGTGGGAGAGAAAGTTGAAGGCAGAGGGTGTGGGAACGACACAGAAGAGATGGGACGAAGTAGCAGAGTATGTGTGGTTTAAATTAACTCACGGAAATGTTTTATCGCGCCGATAACGAAGTAGCTTTAACGGATATCAAAGAGGCATTTCTTTCTTGTCGCTTCCCAAGATGATCACCCCCACACTTTTGATTTAACGTAATAATATCGAGAAGTACAATCATTATTTATATAAGCGCTCGGGCAGGCGAACGTTTGTGTTTGCTGGTGGAATAACGTTTTTTAACTGTTCTAAATTGTTTCAATGACTGGCGGAGTCTAGAAAATTAATCGTTCTGCGTGTCAATTTATCTTGTGATTGAAATACGATTCGAAGGAGCTGAAGTTAACGTAGATTAAAATGTTTTTCTTTCGCATACTCTGCGAGGTGTATTAAGTCAAGAGTCTTAGTAAGGAATGACTGCGGAGAGCCGAATGCGTTAGTGAAAAAGGGAGAAAGAGAGAAAGAATAAGGCGAGATATAGTGTAGACCGAAAGAGGGAAACAAGGAGCGGATAAAATGGGGAGGCAAGAGAGAGAACGTGATAGAGATCGATCGAGGAGACAGAAGATATACATATAAATAAATAACTAAATGAATATATATATATATATATGTGTGTGTGTGTGTATAGGACATATTCTAAATTATACATTTTGTAACCGTGGAAGAAGTCTCTCGACTGACAACGCTAATAATCGAATCTTGTAATCGGGAACCTAATATCGAAGATGAAACGCGGTCGGACGAATCGATAGTCGCCGCTTAGGCCGATCGATAAGGAAGATCCTGGACGTAGGGAACGAGGGGTGGGTGGGTGGGTGGGTGGGAGGGTAGGTCCGTGTTTAGGGGGAGGGTTGAGAGGGGAGGGTGCGAGCAAAGAGATCACTCAACGGCATGGAAGGGTTCAAACTGCTCGATCGATGCATATCACCTATTTTCTATGTTTATAATCACTAATATGATCAATCCCCACTTTTCGACGTTTTATTATTGCCGTATCTTTTAATTAGCTTGTAGAGTTCCAATTTTACCACTTTCTTATTATGACAATTGGTCGAGCAGTTCGGGCCTCAAAGCGTTGAAACAACCATCTTACAAAACGTATTATATTTGCGACACAATAAGCCCCACGTACCTTTATTACTTCTTAATGATACATTTCGTTAATTTCGTTAATTTCGTTAATCGTTTATTTATTTTTCCCCGGAACGTCGAGCGAGGATGGGCGAATGCCTCGAGTTTCTCCCACCTCGTTCCCCGTAATTCTTTCCGATTTCGTTCATCGCCGCTTTCCTTAATCTTGCTTCTGAGCTGACTCGATCACCACCTTTCGTAATTTTAAGTCTTAGGCACTTAGGCGCTTCTTAGAACTGAATATTAGGATTACCTACGGAAAAGGCACCCCTTTTCAAGTGGATATGATGTAATGACTTTCGTAGTATGGAGACTCCTGGCGAACGACATCCGACCTAACCTCGCATTCAAGTCCGCCTTCTCCTGCCTTTGTCCACGTCTGCTCCTCTCACTCTTGCCCATGGCGCTCCCATGATCCTCTCTTTTTCTGCCGCTCGGCGGAAAGCGCGAAAATTCAACTTTTGGCATCTTCGCCTTGGGCGCAAAAGGAAAACGTGTTCGGCCTTCGCTGTAAATATGTCTATTTAGGCCAGACCTACAAACTCCTTTGTCTTTCCAAACCCTCGGGGCTCTGACAATTTGGAAATCATCATCGATCGCGGTCAATCGGTGTTGATTCACCAAGTCGGAGGCCACGCCTTGCGAGTTCTTCGCTCTAACCTTCTTTTATCCCAATTCTGACTACCGACAGCACATACCCATGGTTCGACGCATTGCATGGGACATTACGGACTGCCCGATAATCGTGCACACCAATAAATAGGATCATTAGGATATAAAGTATTGATAATGCTATCGGCATGCTCGTAGTTTCCCCTGGAATGCATTAAACTACCAATTTCTTCCTACCAGAGAAATCCAACATGGCGGCGGCAATTAAGCGATTCCGTTTCGCATGAAGGACTACGGATACATTCCTATAACCGTGTACATCAGTAAACTTGAGCATTAGAATAACGCGTAATGATGATTTCATCGGTATATCTCTAGTTTTCAGGGTATTAATATTAATATTTGGTGGTTTGCAGTGTTAATGGCCACGAGTAGTCTCAATAGCTGTGCACCGCTGACGTTACGAAATGTTTGTATTCTTCCATTGGAAACTATGGGTATATCGATAACTGCGCATCGATAAAGGAGTTTCAGTGCAAAAGATATTGATGTGCAGTCAAGACGTCCGTAGTTTCACGGAAAAGTAGCGATTTTGTCCTGTCGGAAGTTAGTCCCGCCATTTTCCCTCTTAGCTCGGTGCTGTCCGGACGCGAGCTCGACGGATGTCGGCCGCTCATGAGCCACCAACAAGTAAGAGTTATATAAATACATAACGATTATTAACGACGTAAATTATAAAAGTATATTTTGTATTATCGTAGTCCGAATTATTATACAGCGAGCGAGAGTGGTCTGTGAGACTGAACTACCGTATTCGACGTGTGTCCGATTTCACCAACGTCTGTTAATTAATAAAGGCGAGAAGTGGAGGAAAAAAAGAAATAAGAAGGAGCAAAGAAAGTGGTAACGGAACGTTTAAATCTGTCTTTTCATTTACAACACTCCCCTGGCCATATCTTTTAACGCGATTCTTCGTTATCGAACGAGTTCTTACTTGGTACAAAATATTCGGATTCATAATTCAAGATGGCGGCCCATCGTTTTAACTTCTATTCAACCGGAGCGCATGTAGCGAATATTTTGCTCAATAGGGGTGATCGCTTTGACAAATTTTCACGAAAAAAAAAGAAGAAAAAGGGGGTTAGAAAGATAACGTCTTCGGATTCTACTCGACTCGCAGAGTTAACAAGGCGAGAATTGATGCAATCCGAGGTTCTTTATTTTTTTAACTCGGCCACGAGGGCTTTTCCTTTTCTCTCTCAATTCCTGGCTAAAAAACGATAACTTACCCCCAACCACGGCAGACCTTGGTGAAATTCGCACTCGAATCGAAGACATTGACGATTCGATTAGCTATTAGGCTGAACTGTGAGATAATAATATGAGAGAGAGGGGGAGCGCCCTCGCAGTCGTGACGTGCTTTATAAGGGAGAATGATGATCTAGCTAGTGAAAGTCATTTGATTCGTGGTCACATTAGAACGCATCGCATTAATTCGCATAGTTATGCTTTGCACCAGATCCAATTTAAGTCTCCGACTTGTAGGAGACGCGAGACTTCGCAAAACAGCCATCGAAGTCTCCGATGAAAAACTCGCCGAACATTAAATCCCAAGAGTAAGGGAAGGGACTTTTTAGAAACCCGAACGCGGCCTTCTTGCGACTCCTCGGGAAAATGTTTTCGCGCAGCTCGTCATTCCGAAAGGAGAGAAAAATATGAATGGCCGAGAAAAATCCCCCGGATCGCCAAAAAATTCGACTCCAACAGGAGACAAGGACGACAGTAGAAAGCGCCTCGAGGAGATAGTGACGATTTTTTTTCTTAAAAGCTCTGGAACGACCAAAGAACCAGAGTTTCTGCCTAACGACGATGTCTTGGACCACCCTCTATTTCCTGGAAATTCTCAGGGCCCAAAGTTACCTTGCTAGTAATAATCGTTTTTTAAGACAGAGGTCCCTTGGACGTTAGGGGTGGTTGCAAACATGGCGTCGATGGCGAAACGCTTGTAAATATTATATGGCGGACTTGTAGATAATTATTACCAGCGACCTCGGAGTGAGTCCTACTATCATCTTCTCCACGAGATGCAAATATTATCAAAGGGGTGATACCGGCTTTTTCAAAATTTCCGAGTAACGATGCATTTCGTGCGCAGGGTCCACGTTTCTTCAGAGCTACGGTCGACTTGGAAGAACTCTTGGGGACCCTCGCCGATTGTATACCTTTATATTTTTTTAGTCGCGTATGACCATCGAACGCGAGTCGCTTAGAATTAAATTCGACATCAACGCCTGTAAAGGCAGACCTCGTCAGGTCCGATAGAACGCATCAGTATTAAGTCACTCTCTGTCGTGACTCGAACCCTGGTCATCCTAGGATCTTCGAATCCTGAGTGTGCTCGATGGTGAAATGATCCAAAGTAGAGCAGAAAGACAAAATGGAGAGTAGTTCGAGAACTCACGATACAGGGTGTCTACGATCGAAGCGACCAAGGAACGTAACGGTCGCGGTGGGACGATACGATTAAATAAAACGCACAAATGTGAGGAGTTAGAGCAGCTCGTCGACGTCTAGAGTGGCGAGCGACGTGTTGACTGAAGGATTGTCAGGAAAGAACGATTTGTCGATTAGCAATCGAGGTGGAGGGCCTCGTATTTGACTTATTTCCCCTTTAAAGGATATCCGAAAAAGATGACAAAGGTCAGTCCGCGCTGGTTCCACGTGAGTTCGACTTGGCGGAACATCGAGTACGGACTGACCAAACGTTCAATTCTTTATTAGTCCGATTTATGTACGACTAAATCGAGATCGACCAGAGAAGCGACGAAGGGTTCTCGAATGTCGCGACGTTGATCGATGCGGTCGAGTAAATTTTAATAAATGCCTCGATCAACGTCGCGACGCTCGGGGACGCCGGAAACTCGCGAGACTGGATAACCTCCTACGACATATCCACCCCCTGAAAGCATTCGTTCTCTCTTCTACTCAACGGTAGTTCGCAATAATGTAAAACACATCCGTAGCACCGCAATACTTGGAGACCATTGTTATACCTTTGTATGGAATCTTTAATATGCAATAAATCAATTCAGTATACCGTCAGCGGTCTGTTTGTCGCCTAAGTTCGCGTCCCCCGACCTAACCTCATTTCGCTTAAAAAGCGAACTCGGTTATCCCATGCAAGATCGCTAGGTTTTCTTTTTAGTCGTATCGTACTTCTCGATTATGGAAACCCCGCGAAAGCGGTCGGAAACTTAACCTAATAGTCAACGCTCAACCCACGCTGAAAGCATCAGCTCTTACCATTCAATAAAACCGTAATATCCGCAGTCTTTTAAGATTTACTACCTTTTCTGAACAACCTAGATACTACCGAAATTATACAATTCAAACAAAGATTATGAAAATTTGCTAGGGTGTTCAGAAAAAATACCGCGGGTTTATGTAGTGCGTGACTACCACCACTACTTAACCAAACCTGGTCCGGGGTGGTCGGCAGTCGCGAGTGGACTGAGCTACGCTCGCAGCGCCGGTTGGCGAGCCGCTTGCTGATTGGTCGAGCCGCCGAATCGGCATGCGCGCGCACGCTCGCAACAGGTAGGCTGGGCGCAGGCAAGTCGCAGGTGCCGCCAGGGTAGCCGAGTGGAGGTTGACTCGAAGGTGGGAGTCGAACCTGACCGGTAGCCGAGCCGTGGCTCCCCTGCCTTCGATCGGCAGTCGCTCGCACGAAGTCGCCACACCGAGGTGAGAAAGTTCGCGCGCGAAATGTGATCGTGTCGGTGCCCCCGCGTCCCGGAGGCCTCGTCCACAGCGATGCAAGTAAGTTCTCGATTCTCCATTCTCGAAAGCTAATAACTCGATGTCCGATCGATTTACCAGGCTGCAAAACCCGGTTTATTTAGTATTGAGAGCCCACGGGATTTACTGCGCAACCATTGTTGGGCCGTGAACTCCGTCCCGAGCGGTTCCACCTCGGTGACTCCTCTCGGAGAAAGTGCGCGAGTCAAGCCTAAAGTTTCTATACTCGACGCGACTTCCGCTTTAGAATAGAATATTGTTTCAAATAAAATGTAAAGGAAGTAACACGAAAACGAGTGGCGACGATGTTAACCTCTGGAAACGAAGAAAATGGCTTGGTAACGCTACATGAGGAGCACACATCTAGAGACTTGCATGCTTAGCTTTGTGATATGATTCCAACGTTCTTGAATCTGGAAACAAAATAGGAACGGCGAGGCTTATTTTGTTTCGCGGGATTTTTTACATTCAGGTGTTTCTAGCGGGTAGAATATTTGTTAAAACCTTTTTCTAGATTTAGGGGATTTTATTCCTTGAAGCATATGCGAGGTTCTAGGCTCGATATAAATTATTCCGGGGTTTTAAGTGGGTCCTGAAGACTTAATAACTTGGTCTGGCTTATTTGGTTTAGTCCTGGCTTAAAGATTAAAAAAGTCAATCACCTCGGATTTGAGCTGGGACCAGGAGATCGCGTCATGGGAGAACCGCTCGCCGCCATATTGGAGTGCAGTCGAGCAGGAACGGCTTCGCCTCGGCGGAACCGAAACAGACGAAGCGAGGACGTCGGTCCTAGGGGATTTCTAGGGAATCTTGGGATCTTGGGGTATCAATACTCCTAGCCGGGAACAGACTTCGCCTCGCTTCTTCGAGCCTTCTCGAGAACCAGTCGGACGGCATTCCTGAACGGCCGAGCTGCCCACGAATTCTAACCTGACTTGGCTGACCTGACTTTCCTGACTTTACTCCTCGAAACTTCGAGCACTCTCTCTCTGCTTTCCACCGCAGGCAACGCGAGAACTATTCCTCTTCAACTTTAGAAATTCTTCCACGGGCGAGAAACTTTTCGACTTTTCTATTCCCTCTTTCCTGCGTCCAACTTTTTACACATTGTCGGAGCGAGTCGAGAAGGCAGGAATTATTGAATTATTAAATAATTCCCTGGTTTTCGGTGAATCAATTGTTAATGCCTCGAGGGTTTTAAATATATTAAACGTATTTATGAGGAGTGTTGAATATGGATATTGCGTTTTCTCAAGGAACTCTTAACCGACTTCGCCGTTTCGTCGAAGGCTAAGGGATAGGTAGGTAGGAAGGTTTTTATCGTTACTCTTTGCCGATAATTACAGGATATAACTGTCGTCCTCGAACTGTGGAATTATCAGAGAGCCTGGAAGTGGCTTCGGATATTCTGTTGAGAAGTTCCTTCTCAGGATCGGATTTAATGGAGAATTTTCATCGCATCGTAAGTTTCGTTCACTGATTTTAATGGGCGTCAGCTCTTCCGCGAGGACGTTAAACTGGGAAGTTTCCGCAATTTTATGGAAAGGATTTTCCTCCTTGTGCGTATTCCTGTACTCGTCACTTCCGGTAATTAGCCGGTGTAGTAATACTTCCTCAGGTTCGTTCTTCGTGTTCACTCTTCGCGTTCATTTCTCGAGTATGTTCTCCAGAAACTATCGAATGTGCATTTAAGGCGAAGCTTCGAACGTGTTGCACAAAGTGAAGCTATATGGATGCACAAACGTCGAGTTGCTTAAAAAATTGCTGATCGTGACAGTTTTACGATCTTGAAATGCAGATAAAAACATGGACGCCTTACGATTCTCTTTGTTGTCGAAATATGTCTGACGGTTTTCCTGGAATTGTCATTAAAAATTCACGGAGGGGAAATAAATGTTATGTCCAGTTTACTATCACGCGTTTTCGACGTTAAGTGCGAAATATTTGGACTGACTTACTGAGAAAATTTGTCGCTATTCCGATTTGTTTGTCGAAAGATGTACGTTGCTTAGCGAAACACGTGGTCGCTATCGAACTCCGATACTTTCGGTTCCATCGTTGAAATCCTTTACACTCAGTACCTAAACTAAAATCCCACTAGCAATCTGTTCGGCGAAACTGTTGAAAATAATTTTCTAAGAATTCAAAAGTTCATTAGTATTGAGGAAAAAAATATCTCGTTTCTTAACTCGCTGATATCCTTATTGGGTGCGTAATTAGGGACGAGGAGGAAATGTGCTCCAAAATGGGTTCGGAGAAATCGGAAAAGAGGGCCGCTCGTAAAGCAATCGTCGAGGTTTTGAATCTCGTTAAGGTATAATTAGGTGCAATTAGATGGTATTAGGTCCCAGGGTATTTAGGGATAACAGAAGCTTGCCTTCAGGTAGTGCCGACGGATGGAAAGGCATTTTGCATTTTCCTATTGGTGTCAGCTGCGCCGATGAGTCATGACATGTATTATATCACATTCTGTCATCCTTGGGACTATCATTGATAATTTTTAGGAGCTCATCCGGTCTGAGTTTCAGCGCAAATCGAGGACTCGAAGTCGAGACCATAAGTGTGAATTCTTTGCGAAGAAGGCCGGAACAAATATTTGCCTTATTCTACGTCGACCGAAATTTTGAGGTTAATCGTCGATTAATCATCCGTTAATCGTCGGTTTATTGCTGATATGTCCAAAATTCTCGATAATTAAGCGATGGTGGACCAATCGATCAGTGACCTGGCCATGTAACATCCGCGTGCAAGTGGGTGCATTATAAGGTGCATCGCGTCTGCTCCCAACGGAATTTCACCGTTGTTGCATTGGCAGCCCTGCCAGGGAACACCCCGTGTAAAACAGCTCTCACACGTGCATTTAATGGAACACCTATGTACACGAGACTCCACCTGTGTGTGCCAGAAAATGGTTTCGATCACGCAACGGTCGAGTCACCTCTCCTTCGCGCCGGAGAAACCGCTCTTCGGGTCAGGAGGAATTTCTCGCTTAAGAATTCCGCTATATTCCTGGAAATAACTTGACTTAAAACATCAATTTTAACGAGGAACCCCTCTTAAACGTAAAGCTAGAGTGCTCGACTTTTCACCTCACCTTCCAGCAGCTCAAAGATGACTGAAATTTCCGATTTCCAGGAGTAATCCCTCTTTAAGATGAAACTATTACTATCTAGTCACACATTTTTACTTTGGTAACAGGTCGATGGAAATTACTCTTATTTGAATTGAATTTTCATTCCCACGTGACTGGAAAATTGATTCGCACTGCCAGGTTACCGACATGACGAATTTTCTTCGTGATTTTCAGGTCGGTACGTCGGTGAGGATGGATCCACCGGAGGATATTCCCTTCGAGAAGAGTTAGACGTCGAAATTTTCCCCAGAAGAGAGTTACACCTGCCGAGCCGACCCGCGAAAGTCGGGTCTTCCAGTGTCGAAGATGTCCCTAGTGACGATCCTAGGGATAGCCCTGGTGATTTCGGTGACGAGGGCAGCCCTGAGTCCTGATGGTATCAAATGTGGACAACAGAGGTGTTCCACCACCGAATATTGCAGCCCTTTCGACCAACAGTGCAGACCTTGTTCCGTCGTCTGTGATCCATCCAATCACAACCAGCAGATGGATCTTTGTGTGAAGGACTGCCAAGGTGAGCAAAAAAACAATGTAAATATAAAATGCACATCGAATAACTGTAATGCACCTAATTATGCATTGTAAAGTACGTTTAGAGGGAATGAAAGGTCTCTTCCCTGATTGTAAAATTGCCTGGTAAGTGTAGCACCTACCAGAGCTGTAATTACCTGGTTGATTCACCTGAGTTCTTCGATTAATAACCGGAATTACCAGACTGGTATGTAGATGTATTCTGGTATTTACTTGGCATTCGAAGTGAGCGAAGTTGGCTCTGAAATATCTCCCTAGACATCCAACGAGGGTTTAAAGCGTTCCACTTGTGCAGTTTAGGGAGGCAAACTTCGGCCCATTTGGGAGATCCGATTTATGACTTTCACACGCACTGAAGTCCTCCGAGATTTATCCTTATCCGAGCCGAGACACCTTTTCAGACATTTCCCGTCGTTACTCCTGCTAGTTGGTCCTTTCGGGACCCAAACTTGACCGAGGACTTTCTGGAAGAAAGACATCGGGCGAAGGATCTTTGAGATTCGGGCCAAAATAGGGGACCGGAGAAGCGATGGGTCAGAAGATAAACACCCCGTCTTCCATCCAACCTGTCCAGGACCAGTTCCAGAAAGAATGGACTGTAGTTCAGCCTCGAAGGAACCTCCTAAAAATTCCCTTTGAAAAGTCACCGACCCGAGCTACGAAAGCATTCAATTGTGCGCCAGGTTTAGCATCAAAAGGTGGATACCTACACCTGCTTCGACGTGGAGACGTAAATTAAGAAAGGAATTCAATTATTCCTGGATGCCCAGGAGAGTGGACGCGTCGCATGGAGGCCATCGATCTCCCTTACAGTAAATGACCGTCTCTTAAACCTCCTTTTTAAGGGATTTCGCGGGTAACCCGGAATCCCGGCAACGCGGAAATCGGTCAGAGGCTGAAGAGTCGAAATGCCTCGAAGGGTCCTCATTAATATCAGTCCATCGGAGAATGGATCTCCGCGTCGTGGCGGCGCACGCAATTCCTGGGGAATTCGCCGGGGCGACTCGACGGCTCGCGAATGAGGGATGGGAGCACTAAGCCCGGGCCCGTCAAGTCCGGAAAGCTCGTAAATCACTTTTCGGTGCTTCCGGAGGCGTGAGAATCGCAAGTGCACTAAGGCGGCCCGAGAAACGCTCTTGAGCGGACGCACCGCGACGGCAACTCGTAAATCAAGGTCCTGCTTGGCACGCTTTTCGTCCTGGACAAACATCGACTTTTTCGACGGATGGCCGAGAAAGTGGACGTCGCGAACCGATCCCCCGTTTTCGACCCATTTTTAAGCTAGGAGAAGGCTAAGGCCTCGACTAAGAAGGAAGGAAATTAAAAGAGCCGGGAAAGGAAAGTGCTCTTCCTGGAATCTATTTAAATGAAATTTCTTATGCCACGGCGGTGCAATTTTGTATATTGAAAAAAGGGAGGCGCAAGAAAAAGCGATATGCTTATCACTTTATTTTATTCTCGTAGATAGGTAAAACCTCCTATACCACGGCAATGTCACGTGTCAATGAGATGCGATCGTAACGAAAAGTGAAACACTTATAATTTCAATTCATCTGCATACATAGTCGCTATTTATATCCAGTCTTGAGTCGCATTGAGAGGAAAGGGAGTAAAAATAGTTAGAATTAAAATAATCGTACCATGGCATATTGTTATACCGTGGTGCCATTTCTTGTATACTCCTCGAATCGACCCTCGTTTTCATCCATACGAGAGTAGATCGATGCGGTAATTTCTCTTCAAGGCGGAAGGTGGAACGGGTCAATGTTCCTTAAGAAAATCACCTCTGACTGTACATCGACTGTACATTGGTCTTGCCTGGCACACGGTATACACATGTACTCGTGTTTGTGCAAGGTAACTGGGAATATGTCGAAACGTCGGGGTACATGCGTGCCGTGTTTCCCCTGGCACCACCTCACCTGCTCACCTGTCTACCTCCACCTGAATAGACCTGGGCCCGTTGACTTTGCACCTGACGGTACTACCGACTTCCCACACTGCCAGGCTGGTGACTCATCGTCTGCTAGACACTCTCAGGTACAGGTACCACAGGTATTCTCACAAAGGGCGTCCACCCTTCTCAGCTTCTCCCAGAAAAGGAGGAGAAAAGATCAACCTGTACGGTCGGTCCAAGACCCGGGACACTATAAAAGGACGCAAATAAGCTGAAAATACGGGATTCTTCCGCATTTCTTCGCACCTTTTTCTTTTTTCTACCCAGGTGTATTCAGGAAAATTCGAAGTGGTAATTTTTGTTTAACTCGAGGATGATGAATGATATATTGTAGGGGTGTCAGATTATCCTAGAAGGTCCTTGGAGGGGCATAGATAAAGTGAAAATTTACCTGTCTTCTGCATTTCTTCGCACCTTTTTTTCCACTTAGAGGAACAGTTAGGTAATTGCGAAGTAGTAATTGTTTTTTTTTTAACTTGAAGATGATCGGTTGAATGTTCTAGGGGTCTCGGGTTTTCAAGCATCATTGTCAATGATGGATCGCTATTTTCAGGACGGACGTTGATCCTTGATTAAAAATTGCACCAGGTTTATTCGATCCCGAGCTCTTCGGGGCACTCTTCGGGGTCGACTTACACCTTCTCCGATTACTCGTCAACAACATACCAACACATGACGTATTTGGTAATACACGGTGTCTCCTTTGGCTTCGTGAAGTCATGCGTGATGCCTCCATTCGTCCTTTTTCTCTCTCTCCGAATAATGCCACATCCTCTTCTCCTCGTCTTCATCGCGGACTTCGACCGTTCGTCTTATTCGCCATTTCTCTCGTGATGAAACCACCATTTCAATTAATTATATTCTTTTCTCCTTCGTTAACACTTTTAATTGACAATTCACCTAGTCGCCCCTTCACCTCCACTCTAATTAATCCTATACTATTACTATTTTACCTAATACTTCAACTACACATTTCCACAAGAAATCTGCGAACTTCCTTCGACGCCGAAATTAGCTGAAATTTTCTTTAAGAAAATTAAAAACAAAAAATTCCAGCCCAATCACTTAAAGTCTCTCTCGATTATTTCCTTTTGTCGGGAGGAGAGTAGATACACCGCAGACGTATACCTTGCGGAGATATATAATAAAAGCCGGCGTAATTCAGTAAAGGACGACATTCTCAAGAATATCGGCTTTTCCTGTCCGTCCTCTCCGAGAAGGAGATTTAAGTTTCACTTGCTATCGTCTCTCTTTCGGTATATCCGCGATGCAAGATCCTCAGAGCCGCAAAAATCCACGCAACCTGATTTCTTCGAGTGGTTTCGAGCATCAGGCGAAGTACCATTCCTCCAGGATGCGGTTCCAAGGATATCGGTTCCGCCATATCCTTCCGGATCATCTGGCCGGCTCTCTCGGAATAGCTTCGCGGTTTCTCTCCCCGCCAGGAAAGTGCATCGTATAATTTATAACGTTTCGTCTCATATTTCCGGGATGAATTATGCAGAAGACCCCTCCCCATATTGCAGACAGATCCCTGGATGCGATTTCCCCTTTCCACCGTTTCGAACCTCCCCATTTCCAATTTTTTTCCCCTTTTCTCGTCTCTGTGCTCTCTAGTTTTTTTTTTCCGATCTACAATCGCGAATTAACGGGGCATCGCCGTGTCGTATATTTTCATTCCCGAACAGTTTTTAATTCATTTCCCACTCGGCGTTTGTTAGGTTCGCGAAACGAACTGCATATCTCTTTTCCGCGGAATTGAACGCGGTTTTCCAGGTGGAGGAATATTTTCTGTTGGTGAGTCATTCAGGTCAGGACGAAGAGTGCGGAATATCCGGAATCGAATCTCGTGTCGTGACCATTTTCATCCCCTACCTTGACGATTAATGAATACTTTATTCCACGTCGCTTTCGACACCGTTTCATGTATAGATCCTCGGCTTCGAGCAACTTTCTTTGCCTATGACTCACCGACTCGACTATAGATCATACCAAGACGTTGCATGTACTTGTAAATCGATCCGCGGTACATGCCTCGGTGCAAGTAGGGCTGTCCTTCACCCTCAGATCGTCGATAAATTTATCTCGCCCCTTTTCGAATTTTCTCTTTAATATAAATACGCGATACATCGTAAACGAGCTTTTCTTATTACCTCAGAAAATGTGTACCAGATACATGCGTACAGTAAATTCTGTTTTTATTCTGTATACAGTTAAGGTGATACGAAAGGGTCATTTCAAAAAAGAAAAAGAAGAAATTTATCCTTAGTTCTAGTATGGGAAAAGTAACAAAATTTTTTTTCACATGCTGACGTTTCCAACGTTTCGGTGGATTCAGTTTGAAAAAAGATTTTATACATATTCTTACTTTTCGTGTATATAGAACGACCCTTTCATATCACCTTGAATTTCTCCTCGTCGTATATCTCAGTCTGAAAATTTATGCGTACAGTCTAATTGCTGTATATTATATTTCTCAGGCTGAATATGTAAGTTTAAAAAAAAGATATAATTTTTACATGTTACATTCAACAGCTGGGAAATGTATGTATAGGATTAAATTTCTACGTGTCATATTTCTCGGCCTGATAATTTATGAACACGGCTATGTGTATCTCGTTTTTTGGAGCAGGCTTGAGAGACACCATGTCACGTATTTCTGGGCGCTTTTTAGGTTCCCGCAAACGTGAGTTTCTATATAGATTTCCGTAGATCGCAGGCATTGTACGCGTCCGGAAAGAAGAGCGCAAGAAGTATGGCGCATTCTCGAACGAAACGGTGGAACGGCACCAAAGGCCGGCACGTAACGTCGTTTGTTGCCATTGTTTGCAGCAGGTTGCTATCACGACTGAAGTAAACGAGCGAAGAGTACGCTTGCGCGGTTAGTTTCTTCTAGAGGTAAAGCCTGGCTCGACCGCCGAATTCAGGAGTCTCGAAAATCGTTCGTCAAGTTCTTCGCCAAGGTCGAGGACCGAGGGACCTTCAGGTTGGGTGTATCTAAAAATCATCGCATATAGGAAAACCCGTGGAAAATTAATACCAGGTATTTGGAAACGCTGGAAACCCATATAGGCATTAGAAAAAATTCCCCGTCAATTATTATACATTATTTCACGCTTCAAAAACAAGTAGAGCCTGTATCATGAAAAAGTCACAAATTTCAAATTAGAAATTTCAACAATTTCATTACGGTTATGATTATTTTTTTTATGGATACCAGCTTACTGGCGCAACTTTCGAATATATTATTAACATGGAAAGTTGAAGTTGTTGAAGGAACGTGAACATACCTATGGTGGATCAGTTGCAACAATAGGTCGGGAACAGCGGTTGCATAATGCTAACCGGTAACTTTCAATTTACGTCGCATGTAGGAAAAATCCGAGGAAACTTATTGTCAGATCAGGTATTTGGAAATCTTAGAAACTCCATTAAACACTCTGAAAAAATTCCCCGTCCCCTTGCCGCCTCACCGATAATTATTCATTATTTCATATTCCAACTGCAGCCTGTATTATGGTCGTCTCGCCAATTTCCAAATAATCCGTACCGCGAAAATCTTCAGATTTTATTTTGGCTACTTTTTGGCAATACCAACTCCTTGGTGGGATTTTTTTTCTAAGTATCACAAACCTGGAACTAGTTTATAGGAACGTGATTGCATCAATGGCCGCTCGGTTACAACAATAGGGAGGGAGTAGCTATTGCACAACGCTCGTCGACCATATCGCGCTTTCGATATATCCAATTTACGTCGCGAACGCTGCGATAAGCCGAAACGAAACGCGCACGGTGCAGTTGATATGTTTTGGCATTGCGAAGTGGCCGCAATGGAAACGGTGGCTTTGCACTCGTGTTTGCAGTAAGAAATAACTCGCAATCTTACGTAAGATTCCTTACTGCAAACGCAATAAGAGTGGTAGCTCTTGTTGAGCGACCATTGTCGGTTATGCTAGCTGCACACATTGAGTATGAGCACGGAACGAGCTTCCTGTTTTCCTCTTCCTCTTTTTATTTCTTTTGATGACAACTGCACCGCGATTACATTACTCGTCTTCTTCATGAAGTACTGCTTCAACAATTAAATACGACCAGGATTTGGAAGTTCTGGTATTCAGGAATATTTTTATTTCTTGATTCAGGTGTTCGAAACGGATCTTTAAGTAAATATTTGTTTATATTACACACATTAAGCACAAACACGGAACGAATTTTCTGTTCTCCTCTCTCTCTCTTTTTATTTCTTTCGATGACAACTGCACTGCGATTACATTACTCGTCCTCTTTATAAAGTGTCATTTGAACAATTACAATCGAGATTTTGAAAATTTTTTAAGACGTTTCAGCTCCAACAATGGATGATTAAGCACGTATTTGTTAACACTGGACACGTATAGTACACAATGGAACGAATGTCCTATTTCTTTCTTGATAACAACTAAGATTGTATTATCCGTACTTTCCATAAAGACCATTTTACTGGTTAACGTTATCAGGGTTTATGGGTTTTCTTATGTTCTCTTGTTTTAGGTGTTCGAACGGCTTGTTGAGTATGTGTTTGTTAACACATGAATACATAGATCCCATACACACTTACACATAGAATGTATGGTGGAACGAACTTCCTGCCCTTTGTTATCCCAACATACAGTTCGAGCGTATCTCCGTTGCTCGTCATCACGAATAGGAAACTGTAAATGCATCGGTGAAATTCATGTTATCGAGGACATACATTTTAGATATGTAATAATCATTTTACGTCCATAAATATTTTTCTATAATTTTCCACTAGGAGACGTAACGTTACCGCGATTTAGCATTGCAAATGGAAACAGTTTCTATTTTCCAAGGCCTCCTTTTTCTCCACAAGTCGCGTACACTCAGGGGCTAATTGAACTTCAGGTAACGCGGCTCGTTGAACATTAATTAGCGAGACTAGTTGAACACTAGTTTGTTAATAAACATGGTTAATGAATGGCGCAAGTGGTTTCTCTCTCTCTTTCGCGCGAAAGCAACGCGCGTAGGTGCTCAATTTCAGGTGTCGATTTTACAGAATGTTAAGGTGAAGTGAAACCCCCTTCAAATCAGTCGATTCGAATACAACACTTTTTTTTAAGGGTATTAGACCATACTGTCCGAAACTTTGACACATCACTCCTGATCATCTAAGAATTGTCCTGACACGTTCAAAATTTGGATTTTTGAAAAAAATTTTTTAACAACCCAGACCAAAACTAAAATGGCGTCGAGCTTTCATATTTCGATCAATATACAATTATCGAAGGCTCTGACATGAGAAACGAAAGGGTCAGGACAATTTTACGACAATTTAGAATACTCTGGTAATCGATAAACTCGCATTTGAACGGGATAAAGGCAAAGAAAGTGTATGCGCTTCTACAATTGTATGCGCTTTGGTACAATATCCAATATAATTCGACACAGCTATCAATATAAAAACGAACGTCGGCAACTTAGGCATTTAGAAAAATCTTTTTTATCGACGTCGATCAAGTTTCTCGACGTGTTTTACTTCACCTTAAAGATAGGTTTTTCTTCTTTTTCTTAGGTGTGACTTTTGCAGAAATTAATTCGAGAATTTCTTTTTGTTTATTGTCGTAGAATACTTGCACGACCAACGCTACGTTCTGCGCCAGGACTTTGAGCAAAGTAAGGACCTGAAAGGTGAGTCTGCACGTGAGGAGAATCTTCATTCATCGGTGAATCAGCGAAGAAACTTGCCTTGGTTTTGCTGCTACTTGCTGTAAGAAATATCCGGAGACAGTCCCCGATCGATAACAAAAATACAATCGCTGCGGAAAAAATTATTTATCCCTTTAACTCCGAAAGTCGAATATACGCGTTCATTTGGTCTATTATCGCCTGTACGCGTTGAAGAATTTCGCCCATACGTCGGAAGCGTTTAATAGGCCCAGCATAAAATTATTTCTCAGCATGAAAAAGACACCTTGAAAGGAAATTACGGAACTGCTGTATAAAAATCTGTTAAAGATTTAACAGCGACTTTTTTTAAAATCATTCCGTCCATGCCATGTCATAGCAATATTTTTCTCGTAATGTTAAGCATTAATAAACGGCTGCAATGCACACATCCGCTTGACGTCATACAGGCGATAAATTATTCTAGCTACTTATATTGACTGAGTGACATAAATGGGGGAGAAATGCTGTTAAACTTGTGCATATTGTGCGAAATATAGGATTTTGTTCGAGGAGGGATTCCGTTCCTCGTAATTTTTCGCCGATGAACGAGCCAGCTTGCACGAAAGCTGGATTAGATTTAGGATCGTGGTATTAGCATGATAGAAGTTTACTCACGCGATCTCTCAGCGAGATCTTACTTATGCAAATGGCAGTCGGTAGCTGGTTCTACGATTAATTATTCCCCCAGTACCGACGACGTCGCGAAGTACCCCTTTCGTTCCTTGAAGAGGGAAAAGGGAATTCAAATTACTCCTCTACTTCTCCACGTGTGTCTCCGGAATGATGTAGTCGGCCTCTGCTTTTTACCTCTTACTGAAAATAATTGCAAAAATTAAATAAAAAAATACTACGGTATCTCACGTTTCAGCCGAGTTGGACAAGTTGAAGACGCAGTTGAAGATCTCCTTGACTCTGACCTGCCTCGCTTTGGTCGCCATTTTGTATCTGTTGACGAGGAAGTTCACCAGGACGAAGCTGAGGAAATTCTTGCAGAAGGACTGCTTCCGGAAAAAGTGGATCAAGGTTGGTCATCGACTTCATAAATAATCATGGAATCCAGGGCTTCCTTTCATCCTGTGCACTTTTTAGAAGGCGACTAATAAAAACAAGGTGCAAAACGACGCGGAAGTTGGCGTCCCTCCAAAACAAAATGGCCTGAAGTTGACCATGCCTACGATTAGTGGCAGCATTGTTGGACCCCAAAGCACTAATGGCGATGCGACACCAAACACCACCAGTACACCATTGTCAGGACGACATCCCAGCGAGGACACCACTTTGGATTATGCCTATGACAATCCTGCGATGACACCGAGTCCGGAAACTGCCCAGACCAGGACGAAACGTGAAAGTTCCTTCTGAAGCAGGAAAGAGAAAATGGCCGAATTATGTTCCCCCATTGCGTGGAGAACAATTTTCCCCCAAGACTAATCTAAAGCAACCACCTTGAGTAGCTCAAATTTTCTACACTGTTTTTACACAGGATACAGATTTTTACTCCTGATAATTGGGACACACTGATTAAATTTGCAGCGAGAGTCACGATGAATTTGTTCACCGAGGGAATTTGGATTTTAAAGCGAGGCAGACTTGTGTTTTGTTTAAAGCATTGTACAATTTTATATCAGGTTGTTCACAGTAATTGTCTAAATTTCCATCGTCCATTTGATGATCTTTTTGAATAAGTGGACAAATGAGGGAGAAGATGATGTTCAGTTCTGTGGTTTGTTATACGAATGCGTTATCGAATTTATTCTTGTACATATACAACTGTTTATTACTTGATCATGAACTTCCTGTTCATTTTAACGAGGTTTCCGAGTACTTTTACTCGCACTTGCATTTGACTGAGGACTTCATCGTCGCCGACATTAAGCATTGGTCTTTGCAAATTGTTAAACATTTTGAGACATTGAGTATTAATTGGATACGAAACTTGTTCTTGTCTCCGTACAGACTTTACATATTGATCTGGTAAGGTATTTTGCAATCCATTAGGTGCCACAAGATTTTTTATATTATCATACCTTTGTCGTCGTCCGACGTTAAACTATTAGAACCACTTAAATGTCTAAATACATGTGTAAGTATTTTTTAGTGCTTTCGGTGCGTCCCACGCATTCGTAAACCGTGCGGCTGTGTGACTTAATTCTACCTTATCGACTCCGACTCGATTTAGATATCTAAGGAGTATTCCCATAATTCGATTATAAGTTAATCTTAATACCTTATCGCCATTCCGTCCATGAGAAGGCCTTTTTAGCGAATGTTGCGCCCAAGAACCGCACATCGCATAGGGCAGTTCTGTTGCACGACTCTGGTTTTCAACAATGCTTAACGACATCGTCCCAAGGATTTATCAAGTACTTCAAGTACACTTACGATAAGCTCATAGCTCAATGAAAAGAGACACTACGTGGTGATAAAAGTCACTGAAATGTCTGAAACTTTAACCCACCCGGGAACGGACAATATTAATATTCTAGCTTTAATATTAATAACTCCATTTATTTCTTGAAAGGATTCTTGAAAAACCTTCGCTCAATCTCGAGGAACAATTGATCTCCCATCGGGAAGTTCAAAAAGTTCACAACCTGGGAGTTGCTCAATACCTTAAAATTGTTAAATCCTCCAGGACCTTGTAGAGAGTCGTGCAATTTAAACTGGCCTTAGTCTAACAGTAATTAATTTCTTGTACAGTATTTGCCGAATTGCGCGGTATTTAAATATAAAGTAGCGTAACGCACATTCGTACTTGTAGATTTGAACACGTTTAAGGTTTTCTAATTGTACAAAAGAGTTTGTAAGATATTTTGTATAGTCGGTTGTAATTGTGTGCCTATGTGAAAGCTTGGTCCTCCGTTGACCATTGTCTTCCAGAATTGAGGATATTACTAATTTTGCCCCCGGCAGCTAATAAGTTAAGGCTTGGCGAAATTAAGACTTAGGTAAGGCCTACGTATGTACAATTATGTCGGTTTAGAATATTACTCAAGTATTCCTAAACAGTTCCATCAACGATAAATTATTTACACGAAAGACGTTTCTCGCGTCGAGCTCCATTAAGAGGAAAACTCGGTTAATTGGAGCTCCTGCTCTTGATCGATTTTCTCGTAATTTATCGGCTGCAATAATTTGGCTCCGAGTCCAACTCCAAGTATAATTACTTTAAGTCACGACAGTAGAATTAGGTGGCAGTAAATCGTCAGCTAAGCCGACTTAACGGCAGCAATAGTATCGTTGTAAGGTGCACCTTCGTCACTTGTAGTTTAAAAAATGTTGCATTGCTCTGCACCAGCTAAATCGTCCTTCGTTGTAAATCATGATTTAATAGCTTAAGTTCAAAATTGTAGAGAACAAAAATTCGGGAGTGGATGAATTGTGCATATAACGAAACTAGGTGTAATCACGATAGGAATCGTAATGACGTCTAAGGATATAACGAAATCAGAAGTATGCATATCAAGCAATAGTAGATAACGTAGGGATACATTCCATTATTTTATTTTTAATACTTTTCGTGTGACATGCAGCAATACATAGTAGAGTACATATCGTCGGCCTCCAGAGGAGGCGACGATTGTTAGAAAATGTATACATACCTATATTAAGGTCACCCTTAATGTTCTGTAGAGTATCCTTATCGAATTTTATCTAGTGTTGCAGATCGTCTTCGGGGATCGAAATTCTGCACTATTGATGCGTAGATAGTATATCGTTCGGTTGACATTCTGCTTTTCATATATAATATCAATATCGGGGTTCATTGTTGAATGTTAAAATCGCCTAATTGTAGTATAAAAAGCACGTTAATCTGTCCGGTAGATGCTTGCAATTAAAATTGCAAAATTTGCATCTTTTAGATAATCATCAATGCTTCGAGGTTGAATGTTTAAAATCTTATTTCCGTTTTCTATTTAAGCGAAATTTCAGTCAGGGAGCCAAAAGCAACAGGCTCGGTAATTACTTTCGGTTTGACCTGCGTGCAACTTGCTTGAATTTAAATTTAAAATAAACCAATTAGAGTTGCCTACTGAATTACTTAATGGTATTGAACTTTGAAATTCTGAAGTTAAACTGTTGAAATTGCAGTACAATTTGGAACTTGATAATAGCTCGCGAGATTCCGTCCTCAAAATTTGGAATATTCTCCAAAGTACAAAGTCATTTCGGGGTTTCTTTTACACGAAAGCTGGCCAATGTATTTTTGAGAATTGACTCTTTTAAAATTGTAGAAATAGCATTAAATAGTTTATCAGTTAATCACTTCTGCCCCTCATCCGTTTCCTTTAATGTATTATTTACACTAGCCAGGTTATTACCAAGTCTTTACTACGTCTACGAGATATAATACAATATTCATAATTTATCGGTCCTTCGGAACTTTAATTTATTAAGTATATAGAGATAGTCCCGTATAAAGAAGAAAATTGTATAAAGTAACACGCGCATCGTAAGACGAATCTCTCCCTAACTTCAATTAATTTTACTTTACAGTAGTTTAAGTTGAACCACCACATAACATCACAAAATACAACATTTCGAGTCAAAGCAATTAAACACTATAAATGGAAATGAAATTTTCGTTTCCGATTCTTGTTACGTACCGACAATGAGCTATTGTTAAATAGTGGAATAAGACGACGGTTTTGCAGACGTGTACAGTAATTCGAAAATGTATATTTGGTATGGTTGCGATTATCCGTTAATGGTATTTTACGTTTCTAAACAATTTACACTCTCGAGCTCAAACCACTCCGTTAAATTATCATTTTATTCAGCATTGAATTATCATAAATAAAGTCTTGTAACAACGGAATCCCATTTTAATTTCTAAAAATGAAACGCTCCTTCCATTCTGATTAACATTAGTTATATGACAATCTACTCTAAAATTGTTAGATGATCACGTTTAACATTTTATTTCATCTCGTATGTACAAATATATACAAATTTCTGTAGATATTACTCGGTCCAAAATCTGTATAGTTGCGAGTACCGATTGCACGATTAACTGATACGTCGGATATGTAACACGAAGCCACGGTTTGGAATATCTGTGACAGATCAATCGTACTTATAGACGAGAATACTCTTAAAGAAAACCCTGTCCAAGGGTTGGTCGACTAGAGATACAGGAACATGTCTACTTATACTACAAAGTATCTAAAAAAGATTCTTAAATTACTTCCTCCTCTCATTCTAAGTCCCCTTTTCCGTTAATCTTTTTTATCAATCACTCTCACTAAGAGTCATGTCTAATCAAAGTTCACCAAAACGCGGAATTAGATATTCTTGTCATTTTTTTGCATGGAAACCTATGAATTGAAAAACGATAGGAGAAATCTCAAGAACTTTTAATTGTCCTTTTTAGCGCGGATCTTCTTCCTTGTTTGAAGGAAACATGAAAATGGCGTCAAAGAGGTCTCGTTTGCGAAACTTTTCTTCGATCTGGGTATACCAAATCGTTTCAAACTTTACAACGTGAATGCTGAGGCTATGTGAAAGGCCCTGACATCCATGGAATTAAATTGTATATAAAAAAATTAAAAATACCTATATATAAATTTTGTAAAAATTGATTTGACACTTCATGGGCGCCAGGACTTTCCTTGTAGCTTCCTTATTCACGTTGAAACGATTTGGTACACCCAGTTCGAAGCATAAGTTTTACACATGATTAAGCTTTCAGGTGCCACTTTCACATCCACTTAAGTTTACACGATTGATTAGAAGTGCACATAGGAAGATGCGCAACGACAGGACACGAGTTGGTGTTATCTAAAAGTCAGAAGGAAATTACGTGGTGGAATTTGACACATTTGAACAAGGACTCGAAGGATCTCTATATGAATTTTAGACTTAAAGTAGCGATATGTATCCGACCAAATTGGTCGTCGATGCCCTTATCCTTTTTATCACCTCGCCGTTACATGGTCCTGACCTCGAGCCCTTTTTCTTTCATTAGCTCTGCTGGCGAGAGACTGGACCCTTTGAAAGCCGGCTTTGATTTCCCTGCAAAGCAGATCACGAGGCTTACGAGAAAATCCGCCGATTCGCAGGCGAGTCGTCGTGGCAATATTTACAGAGACTCGAGGTGGAGTCGTCCTTTTCCTGGCTCGGACTTCCGGTAGATTTGAAGGACGAATCGCTCCCCCGACCGAAAGACCTTACGACGTGTCCTACGCAGAAATGCGTAGATGTTGAGAAATCATCCCTAGATTCTACAAACCTTGTTGAAACATTCAGAATATCATTTCCAACGCTAAACAGACTCGATAACTAAATATCTCCCACATATTTCAAGGCTCACTCGAAGGACACTTTTCGCGGCAGCAAGAAGTCCGTGCATTAATAATTAGACACCAATGGTCCCAGTAGAGTTCCAGCGATTACAATATTATCCCGACGGGATTTTAACACAAATATTTACAGTGTATATTTTAGGAACAATCGACACAGCCGCGACGTTAGGGTCCCATGATCAGTTCCTAGTCATCGAGCACTCAAAAAAAGGTCCAGTTAAAAGAACCAGAATTCCAATTACTTCGCCTAGATAAGACTGTTAAACATGCCCTTACTATATTTCTGGTTAAAAGAACCAGACATTACCAGGATGCGTTAATGCCTCTAGTAAATCCAGAGAGAACTTCTGGGCAGAGGAACATGAACTTTCCAGCAGAAATTTATCCAGTAATTTAGGAATCTAAAGATAGCCAGAATTTTCTGGTGACATTATTCGAACTTCCCCATAAATGACACCTACAAATCTTTTAATCAGGCACATTCAGTGACATCAAACGGACCTCTTTTCTGAGTGAGGGATGGTCCCAAGTCGAACCGTATAAATTTCTACACGTTCGCTATAATTTCCGAAAACGAGTTCGCGACGCTGAAGAGTGATCCGCAGATCTCGCCGATCACGACATTTTACGCCGTTGTTTCGAAGAATTCCTGCCTCCCATCAGGTTCTACGTGATCCCGTTCTTCGACGTAGGTCTGGTGAACAATAACGCCCGACAACGACGGCCTTCTTGCTGATGCGCGAAAGATGAAGGGATTACCATTTAAGATGACAACAGGTGTAGCTGCTGGAGTGGGCAGGTACGAGGAGCTCCTATGTTGGGCCATGACCAGCTCCTTCGTGTTTTTCTCAGGTTTCATCAGCACTATGTAGACTTTTGGGAAAAACAAGCAACCCAGTTGCACCAGACCGCTCAAGGAAAGCGATACAGCAAGAGTGACCACCCTGATGGCGTTGCTGGTCGAGGCCAGATACAATGGGACGAAGGCTAGCCATAGAATCATGGTGGTGTAATTGGTGAAAGCTATGTGCCGAGTCTCGTTGAACCCTTCTGGACACTTCCTGGTCTTCACTGCGTAGACACTGCAGACCACTGGAAAGGTACTTTATATATGTCTAGCCCTGTCCAGGATGTCGCAAAACTCTTGTCGTTAATCCCTGACCTATGAGGATGAAAGGGTAGATCAGGCCAACCATGTAGGAAGTGTCGTCCAATCCTTGACAGATCCTCAGTCTCGTGTCTCTCGTCGGGAACGAATGGGATACCGAAGGAGGGACCTGCATCAACCATGCACCGTTGATAAGGACTTCTACAAAGGTTAACACTCCGGTGATGAGCAGCTGAGATTTTGGACTGGTGTACCTGAAAAATGATTTTGGTTGAATTTGAATTTTGGTATATCGTGGTACCGGTGGTGATAGAAGGCTACCTAGGACTTTTACGAGTTACCTGGGTTTATGGGGACTGTGCGTGGTGTTGTTGAATATCCTATGGATCCTGTTCGTCTTTGTGACCAGAGCTGCGTAGCAAAGCGTGTAGCAAAGGCCGATTCCGAACCTGGTAATCGCGCAGGTACAGGTGTTGGGCTTGGCGACTATGGCGAATGTCATCAAAAATGACACCAAGGTGCCAAGGAGTAGTAATGATGACAGTTCTCGACCTGAAGCCTTGATGACGGGAGTCTCGCTGTATATCCAGAAAACTGACAGGACGAATATCGTCACCAGGATCCCTGTGACGAAGGATCACATGAGACTTTCTTGAATTATATGATTTTAATATCTATGGATTGTGGGAAATTGTGAAGAAGATTGGATACTACTATTAGCGCCTGCCATGGTGGCTATGGTACATTAACTTCATATATGAGATTTTAATTTATAAGGATTATGGAAAATTATGAAGAGGATTAGATACCACTACTGGCGACCGTCATGGTGGCTATGGCCCATGGGTTGGAGTAGTCGAGAAACTCTTCAGGAATGGGATGGCACATTCTCCGATCTATGGTCGGCACGAAGCCACGATCGCAATCCTCGCATCTGTGGTTGTCCATTTTGTACTGATACATGCCGCAATTTCGACATTTCCAGCAACAAGGATCCTGTTTCTCTCTAACCTTCACTTGATCTGGTTGGCAAGGCTGGGCGCAAGTAGAATTTGGAAAAAATTCACGACCACCCTCGACCTGACTCCTGTACTTCATGGCCTTGTTCACCACGTGAAGGACCGGGGTGCCGTTCTCATTTTCTGAAAAACGCATTTTTGTTTGAACTTCTTCTTGCAATTGGTGCCGACCTAAAGTATGAACGAGCATACTCACGGGTGTAATTGCCGATGACGATCCAGTGATAGGAACCATCTGGATGCTTTTGATAATTTAAAACGGAGTACCTAGGCGGTCCATCCACATTCTTGACGAATCTGAACTTTTGTCCGGCTTCGTCTGACAATATAAATAAATGATTAAAATCCATTGGGAGTATGCCAGGGAATTTAAGGGGGTCATACCTTTAAACGTGACATTCGACAGGAACCTCGACAAGGTCTCACCATCGATATGCCTTATCGCAGGACATATTCCTTGAGCTCCATTTCCACATTTCTCGACATGTAGATCATGCAATGCCTGAGCTACTGCGTACACGGCATCTCTGACAAAGTGTATAAACCTTTGTTGTTTATAACCATAACTAACGTCGATCTTCCGGTAAGGATTCAGACACTCGTCATCCGAAGTTTCGTCTGCAGGCTGAAAAGGGAATACGACGTCACCATGATATTAATTGGTACTAATAGTAATTTAATAAATTATAAAATAATAATGCAACCTCAGAAGTCCGATGATTATCTGCGGTGATATTCCTCATCCCACATCTATGGTATTCCATCCAGAATTCCCTAAACCAAGGATTAACCTTCTCATGGCGGAGATCAAGTGAAGTGAAGTACTCGTCGAAGCCCGACAATTGTCGAGATAGAGGTTGAACTGCAATTGCTCCTTCGAGGACTACCATTTCCTGGTCTTTGTTATTTCCAGGATTTAAAAATTCTCTGTGATTAGCCGTCGACCAGGCATCACTTCCGATCCAGACAAATCGTGTCCCAACTCCCATTCTTCTCGCTGCTTTTAACACTCGCAGGGTCGTAGATTTTTCAGCAAACAGGACCACGACTGAAAGCAAAACCATTTTTAAACATCTTCTACTTACCTTCAACTTAAAATTATGGAATATGTAACGTTGTACCGAAACATTTTTCTGCATGGAATAACTTACCCAGATAGAAATTCATGATCATCATATGACTTGGACAATCGATTTACAAACAATTTGTGGACCATTTGCTGCATGAAATGTCTTCAATATATGTACGCATGTTACACAATAAATTTCAATAAAAATCTGCCGTAAATTTGTCACGCCATGGCTCAAATATCAGTTACAGACGCTGCAATTGTTTATCAGGAATGCGTGAGATAAATTTAGCTGCACATGTGCGTACATACATTGAGACACTGCATGTACTTAAATTTGTTTCATATTTAAGTATTTTTGGTCCGTCATTGTGTACTGCAGACATGAGTTCCAAATGAGGACTCATAAGCACACCCTCACGACTCATTTCATGATCTTTTATGAGACAAACTAGATGGAAATTTCGCATTTCGTCTATCTGGGTATTCATTTCTCTCGTAACAATGAAATTAATTCATTTAGCAGGAAATTGACACTAAAATGCCTACCTCGAACATCCGTCTGACTCGCAATAGTACGAATGACATTGTCATAATCTTCTGCAGCAAAATGCTCCTCGTCGATTCTTTGCGGTGCACTGAAGCAGACGGAATAATTGTTCGCCAATGAAACCAGGGTTTCATATCCGTGATTGCCGTATTCCGTGTCGGAATACACAACAGAGACGTAGGTCCATTGGAAGTATCTGAAATAAAATCGAATTTAATTAAATTCAATCAGTTCACGTTAAATTAAATCCATTCACAAGGTCCAGCAACCATTGCTTGATATATCGGATTCATCCTCGAATCGATTCGTATTAATTCGTATCCCGAATTAATTCGTATAAAAGAAAGGGCGAGAAAAAGATGTCGGGAATCTTCCAACGATGCACACCGAAGGAGCTTACACTAAACAGTGATTCGAATGAAAATGGAAATTGTGGTAATGCTCGCGAAAGAAGCCGCAGAGACCTCGGGAAATGGCCGCGTAAACGAGGAGGAAAGTATTCCTTGAAAGCGAGGCGGTTAAAACGTTAAGGGAATTGAATTTTCCGGCATTCTTACTGCCACTGTGCGGAACTCTACTCAAGGTAAAAAGGCGAGAAAAAGCGGCGCCGATTAAAACTTTCCCTCGAAGTTTCCTTAATAGTCTACGACGACGGCCTCGTTAAGTTCATTACCGATTATTTTCCGAAATCCTTGACAAGTGGGCAGAGAAACGCGGCCTTTGAAAGGGAGTTCCTGAATGGCGGAGGAAGAATGAGGAATACTTTTTTCCTTTTCTTACTGGACCTTTTACCAATTTTTGTTTTGTTCACCTGAGGATTTCTAACATCGCGTGCGCCTGGTTTATGTCGCTGGGCACAGTTCGGAAGAAATGGGGAAATCGCTCCTTGTTGCTTAGAGATGGACTGGTCGCCATGTAGGATATCTGTGGGACTGAGAAAAGTCTCAGCATCGAGGCAACCTGGAAAGAATACGAGACATGAGAACAAGGAATAAATTCGGATAATGACTGGGAACTATATAGCCAAAAAAATATGATCATATTATCATTTCTGTTACGAAGAAAATATCGTAAATTCGACAACGACGCCAATACCCTAGTAGCACAAAATATTTGTCCTATATTTTCTATATATTTAACGAATATCGTACATTTTGTAAATATTTAGCAGACATTTGAAATATCTGCAAAACGTTTACTTTAGAATATTATCTATATAATGTTTATATAATATTAGCTCCATGTGTTTTCATAATATAATTATTGAAACTAAATATGTTATTGAGATTTTCAACAAATATTTCAAATATCTTCGAATGAAATCTATAAGAAATCTTAAAAAATCTGTCGCTTGAGATATTTAGCAAAGATTTCAAAGAAATATTTAGAAATTATTCTACGCTACTAGAGTAAGCTGGTAAAAATTTACGCTCTCGATAAAAAGATCTCGAATCTGAAAAGAAAATCTCGAATGCACCCGCTTTGAACGAATTTTTATCTTTACATGTACTTTAGGAGGACGAGGAATATTCTTATAATTTCGGCAGCGGAAAAATATATCGTAAATTCGATAACGGCACTAATAAAGCTGGTATACATTTACAACCGATATGAAAATCTCTAATCGGAAAATGCATCCGTCCTTTTCGATTTCACATTTTTATATGTTTTTTAGGATGGGAATAGTCTACTAGATCGCGATTCTCGGATATAGGTCTATAGGTATCATGAAAGACTCTTCTCAGAGGTTTCCGGATAAAGAAAGTTGGGAGATAAAAGACAAGAAGAGAAAAATAAGGAAGAATCGACGCCTTCTTCAGGAGTACGAGGAGGATTGGTCGTCCCCTTTTCTTTTTTTTAATCGAGCTCGAACGAGCTCCTGGAGTGATCTCGTAAAGATCCAATAGATATCAACTCGGGAATGGTATACCCTATAGATGCAGTGGTTCTCACGGTCGGAGATAAAGTCTTTTTTAAGAAAAGCTCTCTCCGGATTTTTCAAAAATTAACAGCGAGAAAATCGAGGCCATCACTCGATAAATCTCTCGATTTAAGGGAACAGAGAAAACTTTTCTCCTCATTCTTTTTAACGAAAATCGATGCCGGAATTTGTCCACGATCGAGTAAACTCACCTGTACGGTTACAGAACTAGATTGAGCTGCCAAAACTGCGACCACTTTGTCGAAACCTCCTCCAAAAAATCTCGGAACGCTGCCATCCGAACACTGAAATTCTTGTTCATGGAACTCGTTCACATGGGCGATAAAACCTGAACATTGAAGAAATATGCAGTGAGCCTTTTCCGAATAGTAAATTAGGTCATTTTTCACCTCGAGAGGCCCTTGGAAAATGTCCCTAGTAGCAGAAAATATTTGTCCTATATTTTCTATATATTTAACGAACATCGTACATTTTATATTTAGCAGACATTTGAAATATCTGCAAAACGTTTACTTTAGAATGTTAGCTCTATAATATTTATATAATATTAGCTCCATGTGTTTTCATAATATTTTTCTACCAGATATTTAAAATCAAAATCACACGTTTCGCTCCCATAATGAAACATCGGAACGATAATTTTACGAAAATTTCTTGTGTTTTTTTATACCAAATAAAGTGTCCGATAATAATCGTGAAGTAAAAGAAATGTAGTTTTATTATATGTTCATAAATTAAAAGATATAATTCTATGTATGTTTATAAATTATTGAAACTAAATATGTCATTGAGATTTCCAACAAATATTTCAGATATCTTCGAATGAAATTTACAGGAAATCTTTAAAAATCTGTCGCTTGAGATATTTAGCAAAGATTACAAACAAATATTTAGAAATTATTCTATGCTACTAGGGGTACCATTGAAATTGATTTTCGTTGTCAAACGCGAATTTAATTCGTGAAATATCCTTTTTCTTCTAGAAAGGGAAGGATAGAAAGAGACTCTGGAGACCTTTGACAAAGTTCAAAGCTTGTTTCAGGGCGTAATTGGAGTTGTCGCAGGAATCGAAGGCAAGGACACCGAGTCGAATTCCAGGCAGTATGTCGGGGTCCTGATTTATCTGTTGAAGTGTGTATAGCATCGCTTCCAGGGGTTGAATCCCATCCTCCAGCTGTAAAAGAAAAATAGGCTCGAAATCTCGGTATAAATACGACACGGGATACGATCAATTTCCCGCTGAAAGCCAGGAACTCGTTTTTTGCGGATTTCCGTCAGTTGGCAGCGAACCAATTCTTCAGAAGTTGTGGGCAGGACATTTCAGAAATCCTGAGGCTCGATTAGCAAAGGAGGGAAATCTTTAAACAAAGGGAGGTAGAAAAAGAAAATTCACCTCCCTCGATTATAAATTTATGAAATAGAGATCCCGCCCGAATACAAAAGAATATATACAAGAATAACGTCTCCTTCGTATAAAAACAACAGAAAATTTATCCCCCGCAAGCTTTCATCTCGGTATATACGTCACCTGAATTTTTCCGCAGCTCTCGCCGTTACTGCCCTTCTTGTGAACCGGAAATAAAGCACCCAACATAATGTCGCCGGTTATGTTGAGATACATCCCTGCATTTGCCAGAGAACACAGGGTGACGAACAACAACCCCAAGGCGTACGTCATCCTCTGCAAGAAGAACAGAGAGCTTAAGCCATTTCCTCCACTTTCTGAGAAAAAGTTGCACCGACCAGGTGGAAACAATGCCTACAGAAAGTCCCCAAAAAGTGTCAGAAAAAAAGAAATAAAAAAGAAACACCGCCTTACTTCACATTTTCCTCCATTTTACGAGAAAATTGCACCGACCTAAATGATGCATCGAGGTCACAGAAATGTCTCGGAAGATCAATTTTTTTTTTCTTACAACCCTCAGACTTTTTTCCTCTGCTCTGATATCAAAATTGCAGTCGCTGCAAGGGCGGGTAACAAAAAAAGAAGAAGGAGGTTGTCTCGAAGTATCGGCACTCAGTATTAATAGCGACATCGAGATATATTCGCCATTCGAGATGTTTGGTCAGCCGGGAAATTGCGACCGGCTGATCGTCAGCTGCATCCACAAGATGCGGCGCTTTCAATGCTCTTTTCTTTCTTTTCCCCTCTTTTCCCATCCAGGTGACGAATGCATCGGATGCACTCGCGAGCTTTGCATTGCTCGCCGAGGGTAGACGCGAAAGACGAGCGAAATGCAAACACGGTTAAGAAGAAAGGCCTCGAAATCCAATTCGAAAAAGCTCGGAGGGAAACCGTGTTATATGCAGGCCAACTCGGCTACGTGGAATCGCAAACAGAAGTCAGCTTGCAGAATGGCCCTGCATTCGTTCTTGCAGTTTCGCCGCACGAATTCCGGGTCTTGCTGAGCTTTCGGCGAAAATGGTGAGATTCAACGTCAGCTCGTCAAAAATAGCGTCGTTCCATGAAACAAGTTCTTATTCAGCGGATTTTCTTTCGAGATAACTCCCCGTTTAAAGAAAACGGCCTAGAAGGCGACATAAGCGAAGTTTCGTTGAAAGAAATGTATTTCTCGAACCTTAAGAAATATCTTGAGATTCTTGAACGACTTAATGTCGTTATTCATCAAGACAATTGATATACAATGAAACTGCCTATTTATTAGTCTTGCCTTGAATTTTCTCCCCTACTTGCGGTTTTATTTTCAATTATCTCGCGCTTCATTTGTGTTTTCTTCGTCCTGGCTGGTCTTGGCCACGTCTGGAGAGAACTTTACGTCTAGCAGTGCAGTAAACCACGAAAGGAGCTTTTCCACGGCGGGGGAACTTTACAGGGAACTAGCAAAAAAATAAAGGTAGGTTCAAAATGGCGAAAAAAAAATCAAAATGGACGTCGAAAAATCGAGGCCGTCGCCCTGTTTCCTTCCGGCAGATTTCAGCTACGAGCTTTTGCGATACGCGCGACGTATCGCGAAAAGGACCAGCCAGGCTCGCAAAGATAAAATCTCGTTAAAAAGATACAGGGGAAAATAAAATAGAAAACCAGAGACGCGATCAATAGTCGATACATCGATAATCCGGCGTAGAGGCCGGGAAAAAGCTCGCAGACGTGCGCGACTGTGCGGTTTCCGCGTTAATTCCGCAACTTACTTTTATCATAATCACGTTTGCATGTCTTTTGGGGGAGCTCTCGACTCGAGCTTTTCTTTTCCGTATGAATAAAACATTTTTTAAGCAAAAAGTGGGAATATGGGCGACATATCGTGGTCGCCTGGAGGGGTACGTCAAACCGCTTGGTCTACATTTTCGAGACATTGTTGCCGGCTAATCAACCCCGAAGAGAATGAGCTTGCGAACTCCGTTAGTTTCACGTCTATCTCGCTATTGGACACTTGAAGTTTCGTACTTGTTACCCCTGAGGACGAGCACTGGGACAACGTTTAAATTGGATCGGCTGTCTGCACGGCGTGAGCTCTAAACTTTGCTGACGCCGCGCTTCTTGCGAATGCGCAAACTTTCGGCCCTTGGAGACGAAGAGGGAAAAGTCGGACAGAGGGGAACTTGAAGAAGACAATCGACGCCCTGGGATGACACTTTTAGATTTTCAGACTCAGCGAAAATATCTTGGCATGCCAAGAACCACCAAAGGGCGTCCGACGTCTCCCAAAATTGATGTATATAAAGCTGGAATTGCCACTCTAGCACAATTCAATAAAATTTCTTGCAAAATTTATTGCTAATTCATTGCTATTTTATTGCACGAGAAACAAATTTTTTGCTCTTATACTTTTCCGAAAAATGGTGGCGATGTCAGCTTTATATAACGCTAGCACTGCCACAATAAAAAATAATTATTAAGTAAATGTTCATCGATGAATTATATACAAGAATTTATTGCTAATTAATTGCTCGTAGAAAAACCAAATTTCAATTTTTTTCCTCACCCCTAACGGGGTGAATCGCCACCCCTAGTGATGATCGCAGGACAGAAACATGAAAAACATGGGAGAATCGAACTATTTCTTCACGTGGGAATTAATTGCTAATTAATTGCTCAGGGAAGAACCTAATTTCGAATTTTTTGCACAACCCCTAAGGTGGTAGGCCAGCCCCGCCTATGTCACCCCAGCATGGCCATTTTTCGGAAAAGTATAAGAGCAAAAAATTTGTTTCTTGTACAATAAAATAGCAATGAATTAGCAAGACATTTTATTGAATTGTGCTAAAGTGGCAATTCCAGCTTTATATACATCCAAAATTGGGTGGATCGGTTTCCGCAATATGGCGTCGTCAGGGCCCATCGAGGCCTGTCTTAATTGGATTCCTTTGTCGAATTTCTTCGAGTCCCCGAGGAATTCGAGAAACGACGGTGACGAATTGACATTCCTTCACGAGGTGAAAGGATGGAGATAATAAATATAGGATGAGAAGAAATGAACCAAGATTAATGATTAATGCATAAAAAAGAAAATCGTGATTCTGATCATTTGTAGTAATTTCTGAGACACTCGAAGAGGGGTCTAATTATCGGGTCAATAGCTAGAGAATTTATATTTATGAAATCATAATTATTTGGTACATAATGTGTCTATTTCCAGCGTCGACGGTGAAGGGAAAAGGGGGATTGAACGATCAATTCGCTTGTTTCAATTTTAAAACTCACGAACGGAGACTGCCAACCAATCGATCTGAAAGGTTTAATCTTGAACCTGAAATAAAACGCTGTTCTCCACTCCGCCACTATTTCACTCTCATCCATGATGAATTACTCCAGAGGATCCCGAGATTCGCTCTCGACGTGCACGCGATAGTACAGCTACATATCGAAACAATTTCGATTATTTGATCAGGAACTCCGGGAGTTCGAAAACCCCTGAGAGTTAATACAATCCTGGGAAATGTGCAGTCTCCTTTATTGAAGAATTGCACCTCTCTGACGAAATGCGCAGTTTACGCTAGAAACTCAATTTGCAGTCCTTCGGGGAGTTGATAACGAGATCGAGTAATTAGTAACGAATTATCTTAACAGGAACCGTCGTCGGGAATCGCAACTTCCGAGGTCGACATATAAAGTCCTGCATCTTCAAACTTCCCCGTAGTTTCATCGTTACCCAATTATCCAGCGTCGTTCTAGACGAGCTAATTAGTCGACAACATTTTTTTTCCGTAAAAAGAGAATTTTTAGAAAAATATCTGTTACTCATCCAGGACCTCGGGATGCATATGATTGTTGAAAATGAGAGGAATTTTTTTTGTGAGGGCTTTCAGCTGATTTCGAGTCTGCTAAAGTGTCGACAAGGAGTCTATCGCACGTGTCTCGATAGGAATATATTGCTGAGAATTTTAAAAAAAACTTCTAGCTGATTTCGAGTGTGGTAAAGAGTCGACAAGGAATCTATCGCACGTGTTCCGATAGGGTCGAGCACAATTGACCACCACGACCACGCCCTGGACAAACATTTTTTGGAAAAGTCAACAGAACAGCCTCGAACATCGACCCGCAGCTGGTGGGGACCGAATGTCACCGAGCGACTCGTGGAAAACGATTTTCCGCTCGATAACAGGTCCTGAACGTGTTCTAAACGGGCACCGCCGACCCTCCTTCACTCGACTAAATTAGTTCTCTGTCTATCGTGTCAGAACACTCCAACGAGCAGTGGTTGTCGTGTCAAACGCAATCTGTGATACATCAGAACGGTCCCAAACCAGTCCTAGACACCAGCATCGCAATTTCGCGTCAACTAGCGTGTACAATAATTGATAATAATTCCCGAAAGCCCTTAAAAAATCCGGCAACGTCCCAAAGGGTAATTAACACATCCTGTGATACATCGAAAAGATCTCAAACCACTCCCAGAGAATTTCGAGTCGACTAGTTCCGCTTCGAATAATTTAAACTAATTCGTGATAATTCCTAATAATTCATGAAAATTTTCACAAAACCCGGCAATTTTTTAACCGATAATTGCGACCGTCATTTCTTGGGTCACAGGAGCGGCATAATTTCCTCATAATTATTTATAAATTCATAAATAATTCAGTGTATCAACCCGAGTAAACGATACACCAGCGATCGAATTCAGAACGCGTGAAATCTCTTGATACTACACCGCCCTAATTGATATAGAATTACGCTCGCCACTAATGACAACGCGGGAATATGCGAGACAATTCCCGAGTAATTGGCCGAAATTACCTAGTGATAGATCCGGCCGAAATTCGGGGCCGATCCTATTTATCACGCTTATTCTCCCTGTGAACACATTTAGAGGCGAAGTAAGAGATACTGTGCGGCTCGGGGGAAATATCCTGAAGCATTAACATTCACCAGCGGTGCAGCGGAAACTGCGGTTCCTCCTTCTGTAAAAGGAACAGCAAAAGGACTCGTCCCGTCTGGCTTTGAATTTTAATTTTCTCCTCCGGACTTTCCTCAGCCCTTATTATTTATCGGAAGTGGAAATGAAGAAATACGTCACGTAAAAAAAGAAAAGTGCACCTGACATCGATCCATACTTCGGATCTTATAAATATAAATATTCTTTGCGAGTTTACTTTTAAGCTAATTGCGCGGTGCAGTAAACTCGCCGAAAGTGTGATAAGAAATACTAATAGCGGCTCAACAATGCAGTGTTACTTCGCTGCAAGGAATATTTCGAATTTTTTTACAGGTTTATCCGGGAAATTCAGTTTCAACAAGAACGATTCGATGATAAATATGAATTTTGTGTACACTTTTAAGGTGAAGTGAAACACGTCGAGGAACTTGATCGACGTCGATAAAGAAGATATTTCTAAATGTCTACGTTGCCCACGTTCGTGTTTATATCGACAGCTGGGTCGAATTATATTGGATATTGTACCAAATGGCATGCTCCACCTGTCGTTTTCGTACAATAAATATCAAGAAATCGAAGTGAAACTCCAGAAATCCTCTGGATTCATGCTTTCTGGAGCCCTAATTGACTGCAAAGGGACCCCCTGAGCCATCTGTGATTTCCAGGTCAATTAAATTTTCACTCCAAGACCTCGTATTACCATTGTTTTGGCATAGAAGCACATACAACACTTTTTTTGCCTTTATCAGGTTCAAATGCGAGTTTCTCGATTACCAGAGTGTTCTAAATTGTCGTAAAATTGTCCTGACCCTTTCGTTTCTCATACCCGACCCTTCGATAATTGTATATTGATCGAAATATGAGAGCTCGCCGCCATTTTGGTTCTGGTCTGGGACAAGTTAATAAATTTTTTCCAAAAATCCAAATTTTGAATGTGTCAGGACAATTCTTAGATGTTCAGGAGTGATGTGTCAAAGTTTCGGACAGTTTGGTCTAATACCCTTAAAAAAAAAGTGTTGTATTCGAGTTGACTGATTTGAAGGGGGTTTCACTTTACCTTAAGGGCTTTATAATTCAACATTTCTTTTTCTTTTATGGATCGGTTGTTGCGCTGTATCTTATGGTAGGTTTCGCCTTATTTTACATGGGTCACGGGGGGCTATTTTGAGACTATTGTATTAAAGACGCCGTAGGTCTCCATCGACCGACCACGAGTCACATCTCCAGGCTGACCTTTACGTTGCACGATCTACTTACGGCCGTCCCCCTGCGCGCTCTAGGCTGACCCAAACTATCCGTCATCCCTGCGAATAATCACGTAAAAACAAACTTTCGCTCGATTATTCCCTACTGACATAACGACACCAGCTAATAAGCTCACACTGTTGTTTGCCCAGCCGTGATCGAAGTATACATTCCCCTTAAGGTGATATGAAAGAGTTATTATACACCGGGAGGTCCACGCAACGTGTTCACCGTTATAACGTCCAAAATATGCGTTGCACGAAAAAATGTTATATACAAAAGTTACATAGTTTAAAGGGGTGCACTACGTGGGGCATCAACTTTTTTTATAGGTCGAGGCGTTTCGAAGATTCGAAGGACAACTTTGTTTTTTTAAACAGAATACTATATTTTTTATAGCAAAATATGGTAGAGTATCGAATTCTGAGTTTTTTTGCCTTTATCCCGTTCAAATACGAGTTTATCGATTACCAGAGTGTTCTAAATTGTCGTAAAATTGTCCTGACCCTTTCGCTTCTCATATCAGCCTTCGATAATTGTATATTGATCGAAATATGAGAGTTCGACGCCATTTTGGTTCTGGTCTGGGTTGAGTTAAAAAATTTTTTTCAAAAATCCAAATTTTGAACGTGTCAGGACAATTCTTAGATGATCAGGAGTAATGTGTCAAAGTTTCGGACAGTTTGGTCTAATACCCTTAAAATAAAGTGTTGTATTCGAATCGACTGATTTGAGAGGGGTTTCACTTCACCTTAAAGGAGAAATTAAATGCGGTTTACAGGGAGGGCGTAAACCGTTCTCAAGTCGATCGGCAGCAAATGGAAATGGGTCGAACCATGCGCGGCTGGTTTTGACGGACAGGTGTTCCCATTGTTATTCAATCGAGCTCCAACGGCCGTTAATATGTATGTACCGAGAATGCGGTTCGAAACGCACAACGAGAACGAGGACAGACATCGAGAGCGAAGCTTCGATTTTCCGATTAACCGCTGAGAAGAGACTTTCGAGATAGAGGAAAGCTCCGCTCTATTTTTCCAGCCTCTGCACATTTTCTCTCTCTGTACTCCGAGATATCGCGACAGGAAGTTTCAAGTTCCCTTTTCACGACCTGTTCGGTCAAGGGGCTGGAAGCTCGACGGTAATTAAGGGCCTGCCTTTTTCCCTCGTCTCTTTTAGAAAAAGGAGATTTTCCCGGGGCTAAGGTGAAGAGGGTGGAGGTATCGGGGTGTACGGATTCAGACATTGGGAGAAAAGATGGTCTCAAATGGTTCTGCTGGAGATGGGATGCTGGGAGGGAGACTGAAGTATCTGGGAAGTTATGGAGAAAAGGGAGAATTAATTGCACGCCTTAAATTGCGGCCAAGAAAATCATTAGGATTATTAAGCTTTATGGATATTTCCAGGTGGAAATTCAGGGTATTAAGTAAAACACGGAGATTTTATGTACGCTGGTCAAATCTTGAAATTCAGGTAAGTCAGTTCTAAGCTAGACGATGGAATTTATGTCAGGAGAAATTATTTCAAGAAATTATCTTTTCTAGGTCGCCAAAATTTAAGCGTTCCTCGCGCTCTATTTCGTTCAAAGGATTGAAGCTTGGTAATTAAGAAAGAAATCGATGGAGAATCTGGGGAGGAAGGCGAGAACAAAGGCACATATTTAATGAAACGTTAGGCTTGAATTCTATATCAATTATTATTAGTATTATTAAAGGATTTTGCCAGAAATTGCGAAAAAGAAAAAATACCTTGTCCATGGTTGTGATGTTTTACATGATGTTAAAATAATCCTGTTCATCCAGGTGTGCAGGAAAATGAAATTCACGTTATACGGAATTATTTTAGGAAATTGTTGCTTCTAGGGCCGTCGAAATTGGGGTGTCGTTTCTCGCGCTCTACTTCGTGTGATCAAAGGGTTAAAGCTCGGCGGATAATTAAGAAGCTGCCACTTTGGCTCGTCTTTTCGAGGGGAGAAAAGTCGTCGAAGAATCGCCAGAATAAGAGGAAGAGCATCACCGAGACGCGGAAATGGTATCGAGAAGTACGCTGCGAAGTGCGAAGAGAAATGCGAGCTGTTGGGAAAAATGGATGTCGAGGTGGTTCCGGAGTCGAAGACAAATGGCGGAAGAGGTAGAAAAATAGAAGGAGGGAAGAAAAATTAATGAGGTGGACCTGAAGAAACCGATCGAAGTGACGGGTACGAAACGATAATAAAGTGTCTCCACGAGGGTGTCGATAAGCCCAATAATTCCGCCGATAATTAATTGAGCACGTATATCCATTTTTTATTTAAGTCGTCTGGAAACTCGGGGAACGTTTCTCGTTACGGCGAGAAAAAAGAGAGATCTCGTTAAACCGGGTAAATTAATCCCTGGATGGAGGACAATGTATCGATTTGCAAAAAGAAATTCGCTTCGTCGTTTTGCATCGTCCTCGTTCTTTTTCTCCTGTTCGTTTCAATAGCGTCGCGACGTCGAATTTCGTGCTCTTCGTGTCTTCTATTTCGTTCAATCAAGAGGATGGAAACTTGGGGGGTAACTAAGAAGCAGCCTCATATTTTTGAGAGCGGAAAAGCAACTAAAAGGAACGAGTCAGAGAAGGGTTAATCCGGAAGCTGTGGGAAAATAGCGTATAAACAATTATTATAAAAGTATTGCCCAGCAGCTGCAGCCTATCTCTGAGAGCGGTCCGATAATTACGAGAGTAATTGCTCGCGCATGCCTTTGCCTGGTCTCCGTAAGACCTCGTTTACCAAATCTCGAATTGAGCAAAAGGAATTTAATAAAAAAAGGGAAAATTAAACCACTCCCTCAGATCAACTCCATCAAGTCAAGTGCATCGTGCTCGAATTAAAAAAAGACCCTTTGTTTCGATTACCTCGGCTGATTGGATTTAATTAATTATTCCCCTCGTCCTACATTCATCCCGAGAACACTACGACCGCTTAATAAGGTCTACTATTACTCAAACGCTTATTAACGTTAAATCAAAATTGGCTGAAAAATATAATCATTGGAACTTAATAACGAGTACCCCGATATTCAATGCTCATGTTATACGAAAATTGGGTTAAAAGTGTATGAATGGAAAATTAATAATAAATACACCGACCTTGGATCGCGCTCGCATGGCGATCCTCGCTAGTCGGCCGGTTTGCCGGAAGCCATTTTTAGTGAGCTTTGAAATTGATGATCTATCTGATATTGATAACAGTCGCACCAGGGCTGATAACGCCCATGATCTTCCGGAAGGCCGACTCTTTCGATGTCTTTCTATTTTTTCTTTCTCGTTTCCTTCTTGGATCACTTTTCACGTGCTATTACCACGGACGCCGCTTCGCGGGCTCGTTATCAGTCGCCCTTATCACTGCAGCGCCTCGGCGCCTCGTGCCGCGACTCTTGCGGCGTCGCGACGACCACTGGCGCGTCGCCGATCTCGCGCGGCGACGCGCGACGCGCAAGTCTCTGCGCCGCTTCTTCGCGTGTCGCGAATTTCTCGCTTAACAAGGCGCGTGCGACTATTTAAGAGACACTTAGCAGGGAAATCAGGAAAAATCTACGATATAACAGTTCCAAAATGAAAATACTGACTTTAACACTTTGTAAAATTATTTATCGATATTTTTCAAGTCTTATTTTACATCGCCAAAGAAACTTGACGCGTGTCGCAAATTCGTCGCTTATCAAAGATGCGTGCTACTATTTAAGAGACACTTAGCAGAGAAATCAGGAAAAACAGCGTTACAAAGAGCTAATGACGAAACTTGATTCTTGATCTCTGGCGACAATGTTAATTTTCCCGGATCTGCGAATAATCTTCTAAATGACAATTTTTGATATCTGATAATTACGTTTTTTCAAAACTGTAGTGAAAATTCATTTTTACCTTTGTCAAAAATTATGGGAGAAAGTGGGGGCGTAATTCACAGCGATTTGTAATTTCTGCACTCGAATCGACTGCTTCTACGGCGTTAATTAATTCTCTAAAGATTTATTATTTCGTGTAGCACCGTCAGGACCTGGAAAAGAAAAAAAGAGGGAGGTTAGGGAAGCAAGTGGATTCGAAAGACGGATTCGTTATCTCGCCTGGCCCGGAACATTGCCACGGATCGATTGATTTCATTAGACCTGTTTTCGGTAGCTCCCCTAATCGTCGGTCATTGGTCACATTTCCGTCACGTGACCGAGTGATGTTAAGCACCGCAAGAATGAAGTTAGGAAATTTGCTTTAATTACATTTCCTTGTTTAATACGCACGAACAATTTCTATATTTCCAAGATGGCTGCCCAGCGACGAAGAGATATTCTATGAAGCCCAACAAACGAGATTAATAAATTTTTTACAAAAACCCTGCCTCTCTCCGTGTCTCAGGATAAGAAGGAGAGCGAAGAAAGTTATTTTATTAACCGCGGCAGGGTATATAATAAATATTACATTATTAATAAGGCGACGATAGGGCGCCATAATTTTATCCCCGAGCCAGCCTTCCGCGAATAATCAATTCGGAAGGAACGAAACCCACCGTTGCGTTATTTACAGGATCGTCCGAAAATATCCAGGCGACCCTATTATCGATTAATTAACCAATAAAGCCTAACCTACGTAGGGATTAAACAACGAGTATGCCTAGAGCTTCTTCGCCGTTATCGAGGTTATCAGTATCGCCGAAGAAGCAGGTCAATCAGCTTCCGTTTCCCGACTCGTTACCTAGCTAATATCCCGTCACCTCTACCATAGAGTTGCTCTACCTCAAGCGTTTATCAGAAGAACGAGTGAGAGAAAAACCGGAGTGATAACGTCGACAAGCGGATTACCGAATCACATATGTTCCGGATGGCCGCTCATTCCACATGCCAAAAAATATCCCACCTCTGAGGGATTCCTTCAAATCACGAATTAACGTTTTTCTTTTTCATAAAAGAGATTATTAACAAAGAATTGCCAGAGATCGTGGAAAAAATGCCGACCATGGGTAACAATGTCGATTTAGAGTTTGTAGAGGTCTTACATTCATGGATGGTCATTTCGATCGTTTATGCATATATTTTTTTTTTCTGTTTAATTTTGGAAAATAAAAATGTTATCAGTAAGATCCTTCTAAGTCATGGAAATTTGTAGTTTCGAGACCTCTATTGTGCTTTATGTAATGGGGATACCATATCCCATGGGGAAAGTTATTCATATTTACTTAGTGATCATGGGAGTCATGGGATCTAGAGATGATCCCTCGTCCTGCAGGACTTCGGGACTGATATAGGTCCAGCCCTTAATGATCCCTCCCTAACTTTCCGACAAATTTCCGGACGAGTCTTAGGACGCCTTAACCGAACTCGTAACTCGCTCCAACGGATAACCCATAAACCGGTCACGTCCATGGAATAGAGAGAGTACGCGCCACCGCAGGTCGGGTCGATAGTGGTTCGCAGGGTTGGTACCATCGTGTCAAGATAGTTGCACGAGATAAGGCCCTTCCACGGGTCCCTGTAATTCGATTTCGATCACTCCATAGATTGCACCCCCCTGGGCAAAGATTCTCTAGGGGAGGGTCAGGATCGTGGATCTTGATCGAACTGACTGATCCATCGGAAGTCGTCATAACTGCTTCATGAGCCAACTTCCTGTTTCTTATTTCAAATATTTGCTCCCTTAACATATTTCCCTTGTTTTGGAATAATAGTCACATTTTTTCTTTTTTTTTTTTTTAATCGAGTTAATTGCGGTTCGAGTTGATATCGCGTTAAGATAGTGCCACGAGATAGGGTGTACCCGTCCTCGAGTTCCCTTAATTCGATTTCCATTACTCCATAAATTTCGACCCCCTGTGCAAAGATCTTCTCAAGGATGGAGGGATCTTAGAATTTTGACCGATCTATTTCTTATCATCGGCATGACTGCTCCATGAGTTCATCAACTTCCTATTTCTTTTTTCTTTTCCTGATATCGCATTCAATGATTCCAGGTGATGTCAAGCATTTGTTCATTGAATCTTTTCTTTCTTACTTGGAACATTGGCCACAATATTATTTTAAATCTTGGCATTAAGTTTGAAGGTGTTAACAGGAGAGCCAGGAATTACTGCGCCCTAATTTCGAGCATATCTAATGAAAATTCAGCATAATTCAATCTCGACCGCCCATTAAATCGCATCCTCTTATGGGGGATCAAAAGGGTCCTAGGGATCTAGGATCTTGATTATGTTTCTATTAAGTGGATTCATTGATCCGATAGGTCACGGAAAAAGCTATATTCGGGACTCTGGAGGGGAAATTCTGGAGTCAAAGCTCAGGATATAATGGTCGGATGGAGTCGAGCTGGAGAACGAGTGTTCGCTTAGGACGCACAGGGGATCGATCGTGTAGATTGTGCAGAGTAATTTCCTTCGACACGGTAACGAGATGACAGTGATACATCTTCATTGCTGCACCCACGTAGAGCTCGTAAAGCCGCGATCACGACTCTGTCATTTCCCTCCACATAACGTTACGCATCTTCCGCATCGCGTAAAACCTTAAAACACACCCTGGCACCATAAACCGAACTCCGATTAAATCTCCCACAACTACCGAATTTAATATGAAAAAGGCATAGAATAAGCCTCGACCTGCATAATGCAAAAAGTGTAAGTGAAAGCTCTGGATTAAAAAAAGATTACTTCGTATCGTTGTAATTATTCCCGATTATTCCTTCGTAAATTGGAAATATTAAGCGGCGGTTTTAAGGTCGATATCAAAGGCGAAATTGAATAACACTGATTGGCACTGATACTAAAAATATGAAATAACAATCAAAGAAATCTTAAAAAGCGCCTCACTTTCGAGTCTTTTCGTAAGGTGCGTACTTACACCTATCCGTAGGAAGCTCCATTTCAGAAACGCATCAAAGTGGATTCACTTTGCGAAAGTAAAATCAGAAAAGTATAGAGGACCTCTTCAGGGAGCAGAACCCATCATTTCGCTGTCGCCGCACCCTTGAGTTCCCATAAAAATAAACCAGCAAGGCAGGTAATCGCTCGAGCAAATTTACTGGAAAATAATACACCTCGTTGAAAACAACTTTCTTCCCGACGCGCCTTCCACTCCAAGAAGAAAAATTCCTTGAACGAAAGAAATATTTTATTAATACAAAGCATAGTGATTTGCCTGAAACAAAGGGTCATAATTTCAAAGAAACGTTACATCGAGTTCATTTGTGTCTAATCATTATTCTATCAATTAATACAATATTTTTTACCCCTATTCAAAAAAATATTTCTTTGGATCAATGAAATGCTTTTTCCAGTACATGAAACGTCGATATCGGTAGATCCGAAATAAAAGCTGAACTTAGTGTTATTTATGCTGATTTTAGAGAGAAATAAGGAGTTTTGCCGATGAGGATGGGATGTACCTTGCAGACGAGTCTGCCGTTGCAGCTACCGATGCAGCTACCGATGCAGCTGCCGATGCAGGTGCTCGACAGAGCACTCGTGTATAAGACGGGCTCGAAGAAGCTCCGAATTCGTCCGAGCTTTGTGCCGAGCTTTGAAGCCCCTCGAAGCTCATCGCTCGAAGTACTCTCGTTAGAAGCACCTACGTGCTCGACGAGCCATTCTCACCCGCTGAATTTCATTTCGATCCTGCGACGAGACTTTCCGCGGCAGATCTGGAAAATGTCACCCCCGGAAGGCCACGACACCGGGAGTACCTGAAACGAAAACCAATTACACGTAATATTGCTGAATAACAATAATGAAACGTGGGAAATTATATACCACTGCAATAGAATATTTATAAAATTTACACATTTCAGTGCTTATAATAAAATTACACATTTTTGGCCTTGCAGTGAATCGACACACGTTGAATATAAATCTGTAAATAAATTGATAATTTTGTAACACCGTGTCATAATTTCGTGGGAAAGTTAATACACTTATGTAGGTATAGAAGATATATTATAAATTTATATGGAATTTTTTTTTTTTTTTTAATAAAGTAATCCCAGAAAAGAAACTTCGTCGACTCCGTATGAGTAGGAAAGGGGAGATTGGGTACTTATTTCGAAATTAAGGACTAAATTATTCTGCCCTACCTTGCGGATGATCATAAAGTAGAGTGTACAAATTGTTCGTGTACCTTGAAAATAAAATATCTTCACAAGATGGGATTTTCTGTGAGCCAGTCTCGGTGCGATTTCTCTCTGCCTTGAAAGCTGCGTCGCTTGCAGCAAGAAATGCACTGTCGCAGGGTCAAATAGATTCCCCTCTGACTGCTCTGTGAAGGAATAAAAAATAAAATGAGAAGAAATTCTCCCTGGGGGTAGATTGTTTTATATTACGTGCGGCAGCCGTGGGGAAAATCCTAGACCAAGCTGTCCTCTTCCTCGCAGAAAATCGTGTCCTACGTCCTGGATATCCTGGACGTGGGAAATCCAGCAGTGCCGTTTCGTTGCATTATTCATCGGCCACAGACTAATGTTTAAACGAGTCGACCTTTGCCCTCGGGAAATTCGTCTCGCACTTTCCAAAGGAATCCCCAGGCGCCGGAAAAGCGGTCGCATTAGACACACCCTGAAGAAACACCCTTCCATCTTTCCCCACCCCCGACGAGCTCGCCGTAGGCGGTATATTTATTTATCCGGCCTGTTGGGATTTTGTCAATTATACAACACGGAAAAAAGGAGCCTTAAAGTAACAGAAGCCTCTCAGGCTAAAACAATTTTTTTTCTAAGCGAAATACCCTTGTAGCAATTTAAATGCTGCTTACTAAAAAAATTTCTTGGACTCAAGTCAAGCGATGACGATTTTCTATCAAGTGGACATGAGATTGTAGAAAATGTTTGTGTTAAGTCCATTCAATCAAGCCTATAACATATTTTGTTAATAGCTAGTAAAATTATTCCCGTCACGAGAGGTCCCTTTTGTCATAGAAAGTGATTTTTTCAGGACGGTAAGGAATAGCTTAGGCGAAAATCCTTGTTTGAAAACGTGGGTTGTCCTACATGACGAGGGGGTTAAATATAGACAGTTCCTTATCCCTCGGGAGAAGGGTAGACAGGAAGAAACAGAGGAAGGTGAAAAAGGAGAGCGGAAGAGGAGGAGAGACCCGGTGTAATCAGGACATGGGTGTAACGAAGCCTGTCTATTTTCGGAGACTCTGCGGAACCGAAGGGAAGTTTCTGCGTCGGTAATTTCCTTATTCCCGCTGTTCTTGTGGTTACGAGATGTCTAACGAACGTCTCTGTTCCCCTTCGCCTTCCATGTCGTTGAGATACGACGTGGAAGCCTTATTTCCGAAATACTCTCCTCGAGTGGAAGCCTCTTTGAGGGCCATTGATATCCACCGATTCACAAGATGCATAAAGGAGATAGAGCTAAAGAACAAGCCGTGAGAAATTCCCAGAGGACGATTACCCTCACAAAATGGCTACACGTAATTACGGAATAATATCTACGACACCGTGAATAATGTATGTAATAATTTTAATAACATTTGCCTTTGCAGCGGAATTTGAAGCAGTTTCAAATTTGACACACAGGTGATCCAAAAGCGAGAATTCAAGGAGAGGCGAAAAATGGTACGAAAGGCAATAAACGGCGAGACAGTGGGAGGTTAAATGAAATAATAACCGCGGAAATAAAACGAGTCCTCTCGAGGAAAGGAGAAGTCGAAAGTGCGAGAAAGCTCGGTGCTGGTCGATTTTGCACCAACCTGTACGCTTCGCCTATAAGTAGTAATGGTACAAATGGGCGCACAGATGGATGATATTCGAGAAGGGTCAACACTCGGCCGGGACAAACATCGAGAACGATCCAATAACAATTTAGATAAATGCCCGCCACCGAAAATAGAACGGCGCGACCTATTACGCCGGGGAAGGAAGGTCGCCCCGATGAATGGGTGCAACGCATTGCGTTTCTCAAAATGTCCCCCACGCACAGTGCCAATTAAATGGTCCAAGCCAAAATGATTAGTAAAAGAACACCTCCCGTCGGTAGGAACCCTGGGTGAAGAGTTTCCAGAACATGACTCCCATAAAACATGCAACGATGCACTTGCAAATTGGCATAAGGAATCGCTGGAACGCGTTGCACCTTCCAAAATGCCCACCATGCTAATTAAACAGTCCAGGTCGAAATCATCGACGAACAACCCTCTTCAGGTGGAACCCTGGACGAAGAACTCCCAGGACACTGCTCCTGTAAAATATGCAACAATGCACTTTCAGATTCTAACGCGCAAAGTTGGCATGTCGTCGTAACTTATAATTATCACTTTTGCGCCATAACCGGCTGAATGGTAAATAACCACCTCCACCCAGCAATTTCGAGGACGATTACCTCCAACCCTTCTTCCAAGATAGAGGCGCAATTATTTATAGGAATATTCGAGGTTTTTGCAGGTAACGGTGCCCCTTGTTCGGGGCTGGAAGACCATATTGTCCCGGTTCGCCAATCGATGGTCCCTTTACAAACGTGCTCCCTGCCTCATCGATTCATCAGATCCGCCACGAGTGGGTCGTTACGTCCGGGAACTTGCTAGTAGTAGTCATAAGTGGACCCGTTTTCTCTAGATCCTTGAACCTCGGTTATTAGACGAAGGTCTAATTCAGCAGTGCGCCTCGTTCAAGGCCCTTTCCGAGTCTTTCTGAAAAGCACACGGTGCGGTCACCTCCGCTCAACATGCGCGGCCCTCGTTACGTGCGCGATGCGCGACAATTTCAAACAATTACACTTACGTGGATTACATTCGTCCCGCGAGAGTGGGGCCAGAATCTGCAATTATTCAATCGCGGCCTGGAGCCGTTTTAAGCGTCGCGACTATACTTGAGCGAGCCAGACGGAGTCGGTCGGCCGCCATTGCTCTCTTCGCGTCCTTCGGTACCAAAATGGCGTCGCGTCCATGAGGTGCATCGTTCCCCTCGAAGGCATCCCGAGCGCCTTCTTTCTCGTCCTTGAACACCGCCAGGAGAAAATGCAGAGGCCCTGAGAAAATTCGAAGATTTTCATGAGAAGCAGAAACAAGAGGAAACCATGGAAAAAGACGAACCGGACCGTTCCTTCGACCTCATCGACTGCGTCGTCTTCGCGGGGATGCTGGGCGTCTCGGCGATTGTTGGCGTCTATCAAGCTTATCAATCTCGAAAGCAACCCGATGCAGTTCGAGAGTACCTCATGGGCGGGCAGAACATGTCCATATTCCCGATAAGCATGTCTTTGATAGCCAGGTATGTTCCCTGAAAATCGTACACTGATATAACCGTCCATGTAAATTTACATAGTCGATCATTGCTTATTTCGATGCCAGGATAAATTGCAGTTAACAAAGACTTCACGTTCAGCATCTAAGTTAAAGGGAATTAATTTAAACATTTTCTAATTCGTCATTTTTCCATTTTATGCCTTCCCAGGTGAAACTTCAGTTAAGAGGTAAAAATGTTTCTACATTTCCATGGATTTTTATCAGGGGGAATTTTGTTTAACAAATCCCATTCATTATTAACCGGTGATTCTTCTTCATGCACGCGTTTGTATCCACACCGACGAGCGTAATAAATTTCAATGCTTGAGCTTGAAGAGTGGAAAATATTTCCCTGCGAATGAGAGAAATCGTGGAAATTCTCTGAAAGTAGGTACCTCTGGTTGCAGCTACATTTCCGGGATAGCTATACTGGGCCTGCCAGCGGAAATGTATGTCTATGGTACCCAGTTCTGGGTGGTAGTCATCGCAGATTCCTTTGTATCTCTTACAATGGCTGTCGTCTATCTTCCGGTCTTCTACGGGCTCCAGATCACGTCTTCTTACGAGGTAAGCCCCTCTGGTGACGGTGATTAAATCAGGGACGATCGAAGCTACTTCGACAAGACCCTCTCACCTCTAGAAGCTGATCTCCCTCGGTGCTCTTTTTATATCTAATTCATGCGACCTAACATGTAGGGTACCATTAAGGTGACATAAAAGTGGCATCTCGTTCATGAAACTTTTCCCCGAACAGGGTGTACCGAATCGTTTGATACTTTACAACGTGACACATGAAGGCCACACCGAAAAAAAAAAGATTACTTAACCGAAACAAATATATATTGTTGCCTGAATAGTACATAATTGCGAGAAACAATTATTGGGTTGAGAAAAGAAAAATTATATCGCCGATTTAAACGAATTTTCTTTACTCTCACTGACGTTTCTTCCTACGTACTTTGTTCTAGCAATGCATATTTCATTGAGTTAACTAACTTTTATTTTCTCAGTGCATAAGGTCTTGACACCCATGAAATTTAAATTCTTTAAAAATGTTTTTCTAGACGTTTTAAACATTTCCTATAAAACAAATGAAATTTTAAAGGTGTCAGGATCTACCTTATCGCCTCAATGTTCATGTTGCAAAGTTTTAAACGATTCGGTACACCCAGTTCGGAAAAAAGTCATGCACGATTGACCCCCTCGGATGCCACTATCACATCCCCTTAATTCCCACGATTAAATTCTATTATTAATTGACGCCATTAATTGCAGTACCTGGAGCTGCGATTCAACCACTTGGTCAGGCTCATGGGCTCCGTCATATTTATCATAAAGATGGTATGTACTTCAACAACCTTTACATGAAAATCCAAATTGATTTGCTCCCTCGAGAGTGGGAAATAAGGCCCATCCGCCTTTTGGTCTCGTTCAGACCTTCCGCGTGTGCATGTATGCATGTAATGCTGCCCTGCAATTTGACACTTGAGTCAAATGTACCGGTTACGTTTGCAGTTACTATACATACCGTTGGTGATCTACGTACCTGCCCTGGCATTCAATCAAGTCACCGGCATAAACTTGCACGTGGTGGCTCCTCTCGTCTGTGCTGTCTGCATATTTTACACGACTCTGGTAAAGGATCCTCGACAGTGACGAGAAAAATCGGACATTTTGCAAGACTTTGATCCGGCTACGTCTGCAAAATCACGGGAGAATAAATAATAGCCTTAAAGTTACAGAAGCCTATCCGTTGAAAATTGTTCTTCATGATACGATTAAAAACTGTCCCATTAACGGATTGCTCCAGTTAATTTCTTACGTGTACAGTTAGCGGATACATTTCTGTAAATGTCAGCTGTAACTAGCTGGAAAATATCCGTTAACATTAATAGCGATCGAACTGATAAATTTAAAGTATTACAAAATTGTAGGTTCAATGGATAATATCTGTAGACATTACGGGTTCGGTCTGTTCGATTCCAAATACTTGTATGTAATTGGCACAGATATTTATCTGCAATTTTTACGGATTTGAGTAACGAAGGCTCTATTGTAACGCTAACGGACTTAATCTGCTGTCCTTATTTCAATAGATAAGATCTGTATGTTCAACAGATTTTGTTTTCTCCGTGCAACACCGATTTCACTCGACACTCGTTACGTTCATGAAGTGATAAGATCCCTCTCTTCTAGGGTGGCCTCAAGGCTGTCGTTTGGACCGACACCATCCAAACTGTCGTTATGTTTGGTGGGGTGATAGTCGTCATGGTTGTTGGGACGATTAGGGTTGGAGGCATAGAAGAAGTATGGAAACGCAACGTCGAGACCGGCAGGATAGAGTTCTTCAAGTTCGTCTCTTCCTCTTCAAGACCTAAAATGATTATCGATAATAAGGAAAATCGATCTTGAACCTGGTTTTGAAAACCGTGCAAAAAGTGCCCGACCCCAGGGTCTTCCAGGATCAAGACCGACTTTGCACATCGCTTCATGAGCATTATTATAAAATAAATCCTACGACCTCTAACCATTTTTTCCATTTCAGCATGGATCCAGATCCCACCGTGAGACACACTTTCTGGACCGTGGTGATCGGTAATTATTTAAATTGGCTCGCCACCTGTTCCGTGAACCAAGCAATGGTGCAACGATGTCTAGCCATGCCGAACCTGAAGAAATCCAACATGTAAGTTTGTCCATTCAGGAAAGAAAAACAGCTGGTGGGTCCACCGATCGACCTCCTATCGAGTTTCATTCCTCGCGATTTTACGCTGCAATCAACGTAGACCTATCTATTTTCAGTAAACCTCCCAGTTAAACGAGTTTACCGTTGCAATTGTTAATTCAATTTACCCCTTTCCTTTGCTTCTCCGGAAGGACGAAAAGTTCCTGAAAGCGGAACGTTTCGAGCGTTCTTAAGCGGTACAACGGAGTGCATTTAAGTATCGGTTAAATATTCATACATCCAGGTATTTTCTCCCGCTTTCAGAACCATCATGATCATGGCTGTCGGCATAATAACCATCGTGTCCATGAGCTGCTACACCGGGATCGTCATATACGCTAACTTTTTCGAATGCGACCCAGTTACCACCAAGGTATGCAGTTTACGTGCAGATTCTCTAATCTCGTTACAAGTTCCGAACGCTACGTTCCTAGTCGAGTCTAAAACACTATTATGTGTCCTGTTCGTACATCAGCACCAAGAGAATTCTCCGCGACTTTTTTCGACTTAATCTCAATGCTTAAGGTGAAGTGAAACACCCTTCAAATCAGTCGATTAGAATACAACACTTTTTTTCAAGGGTATTAGACCAAACTGTTCGAAACTTTGACACATCACTCCAGATCATCTAAGAATTGTCCTGACACGTTCAAAATTTGGATTTTTGAAACAAATTTTTTAACAACCCAGACCAGAACCAAAATGGCGTCGAGCTCTCATATTTCAATCAATATACAATTATCGAAATTTGAACGGGATAGAGGCAAAAAAAATGTATACGCTTCAATGCTAAAACGATGGAAGTACGAGGTTTCGGAGTAAAAATTTAATTGACCTGGAAATCACAGATGGCGCAGGGGGACCCTTTGCAGTCAATTAGGGCCCCAGAAAGCATGAATCCAGAGGATTTCTGGAGTTTTACTTCGATTTATTTATAAAGATTGTACAAAAACGACAGGTGGAGTATGCCATTTGGTACAATACCCAATATAATTCGACACAGCTGTCAATATAAAAACGAACGTGGGCAACGTAGACATTTAGAAAAATCTTCTTTATCGATGTCGATGAAGTTCCTCGACGTGTTTCACCTTCACCTTAATGATTATGGAAACTGATCGCTCCACTTTCGTTTCAGCAAATTAGGAAGCCAGACCAACTGCTGCCATATTTCGTGATGGAAATGGCCAGGTCGATCCCAGGTCTGCCAGGACTCTTCGTGTCTGGTGTATTTAGTGCAGCTTTGAGGTACATATATTCAAATCTAGAAATGAATAGGCAACTTTAAGATTACCATTTCTCGTTAATAAAAAAAAAGGAAGTAAAACGAAAACTGTACACACTGTCGTGTCATAAGGAACTTAATTTCTTAAATTTCAGCACCATGTCGACGGGGTTGAACTCCATGTCTGGTGTCATCTACGAAGACATGATCAAGCCGCTTTTAAGGTCGCCCATGAGCGACGTAGGAGCGAGCAGGATAATGAAGGCCACGGTGATCCTGATTGGCGCAGTTTGCGTGGGTCTGGTTTTCCTGGTGGAGAAGCTCAGTGGTCTTATACAGGTAATCCAGAAAGTACTTTCAAACATTCGAAATATTCAGCATATATATATATATATATATATATATATGTACGATATCAGTTAATATTTCCACACGGGGATTTCGTTTTCTCTTCCAGGCGGGCAAAAGCTTATCCGGAATCACGGCAGGACCTCTGCTGGGGATCTTCACCCTGGGGATGTTCTTCCCCCCAGCAAACTCCACGGTAAGAGATGTCGAGAACTTGTGGAGGCGCGGCGAGGAGATCCCAGGAAAAGTCGACAAAGTCCATACAACTCTAGACATTCGTTAAGTCCTTCCAGAAGGGAGTGTCAAAATGGCGCCTCTTCCAGGAGACGCGGGAGAAAAATTCCCTCTGGTTTCGCCCTTTTCGCGGGACATCAGGGCGGAAGTCAGGGGATTCCTTGATGGGGTATTTCGGAGCTGACGGAGCTTTTCGCTCGATTTGCATGAGAATCGAAGGAGCCTCGCCCAGGAGTCGGGAGGGAAAAAGCCCGGGACCTCTTCGAGTACCAGGGAAAGCACTTTAGGATATCAGTTCGCTCACTTGCGAGAGCTACTGCTGTATAAGGAACTATTCTCAGAGGATTTGGCCCGTAATCCAGGACCTCGTTGCACCTTCCCGATCGATGGATCGAACTGGGAACTCCTCCCATTTCTTGGCCGCGTCCTGTCCCTCGGGACATTTTTCTTTTTTTTTTTTATCTTGTCACTCACTTTGTGCATTTACTGAAATCTGCTCGCCGGTAGTGTGCGACTCGTCCACCTTTTCACCACTTTTATACTAACTGCCGACGCATTTATTTTACGCTAACAAATGGAATCAAACCGTCCAAGAGGTACTCCCGAGAGGTTCAGGAAATTGTGGATTTCAAGGTGAAGTGAAACCCCCTTCAAATCAGTCGATTCGAATGCATCACTTTTTTTAAGGATATTGGACCAAACTGTCCAAAACTTTGACACATCACTCCTGATCATCTAAGAATTGTCCTGACACATTCAAAATTTGGATTTTTTTTTTTAATTTTTGAACTCAGCCCAGACCAGTACCAAAATGGCGTCGAGCTCTCATATTTCGATCAATATACAATTATCGAAGGCTCTAATATGAGAATCGAAAGGGTCAGGACAATTTTACGACAATTTAGAACACTCTGGTAATCGATAAACTTGCATTTGAACGGGATAAAGGCAAAACAAGTGTTGTATGCGCTTCTATGCTAAAACGATGGGAATACGAGGTCTCGGAATGAAAATTTAATTGACCTGGAAATAACAAATGGCGCAGGGGGTCACTCTGCAGTCAATTAGAGCCCCAGAAAGCATGAATCCAGAGGATTTGTGGAGTTTCAGTTCGATTTCTTGATATTTATTGTACGAAAACGACAGGTGGAGTATGCCATTTGGTACAATATCCAATATAATTCGACACAGCTGTCAATATAAAAACGAACGTCGGCAACGTAGACATTTAGAAAAATCTTTTTTATCGACGTCGATCAAGTTCCTCGCCGTGTTTCACTTCACCTTAATGCTGGAAATCAGCTGGTAAACGCAAGCGGATATCAATTTTAAGCTCGATCGTCACTTGTTACCGAATCCCATTGTTTATCATATGAAATCAAAGGCAATAGTGTACGCCGATTTCCAAGTGAATAATCCCTCGGGTACACCTCAATGTTAACAATGTTTCCCTTAACAGTCGACAAAGCCGGATAAAATTAATTTATAAAATGAATGTCAAGAGGTACACCTCAACGTGTACTTCGGACGAATATTTCCACAATCAAGATGAAAACTTTCTTCATCGCATAGGGTGCTCTTGTAGGTGCTCTGGTCAGCCTCAACCTCGTGGCATGGATCTCGTTAGGCACGCAGGCTGCGATATCCACAGGAAGGATTAATTTCCCCGTGAAGCCGGTCTTCGTGGACGGATGTCCGGATCACTTGAAGGAAGCTGCGACGAACCTCAGCCTGATCGTGGAAAACGCTGTCAGGTATCATTCGATATCCCACACTCAGCTTAGAAAATTTCCTTCGTTCCATTTTCTTTTTTCTGCGGCTAAAATTATAGTACATAAAATAAAATATACATTCAATATTCCAAATTTAGCATAAAGGGTAATAGAAAGTTTTAGTTATTAAGGTGGTTTACTCATTGTAAAAAAATTCCACATCCAGGGAGCAGCCGTTCTTCCTGTACAGGATGTCCTACCTCTGGTACACCTGGGTGGGCTTCCTGACGGCGATCGTCGTCGGTCTGGTCGTCTCCTGGCTTACAGGTGCGAATAAATATAAACCAGAGGATAAAAAGTTGTACACACCGGTGATAAGACGTTTACTGCCATCCACCCCCAACACTCCACCGGTAAGTGCACAAGATATTCACCGAACAGAGCTAGGTAACAATTACAATAAAATTCATTTAAATTTGGCATCTAAAATGTAAAATGCCATTTTCCATATTAAATAGATGTTCAATCTATTTCCATGAAAAATGAAATACATCTAGGTAAGATACACATAAGTCTGAATTATACCTACATATTGATGCATATCAATGTAGCGTGTATGCAAATGAGTATATTAGGAAAAAAAAAAAAAAGAAACCAATCAGAAAGTTACTTTCTCTATCAATTGAATCTTGAAATAGTCACGCATGCCTCGAGATAGCCACTCAAATTTAATTATTTACTCGTATCTTTAAATACACAAGTTCTCGTAGAAACAAATTAAGTTCTCGGAAGGATATTAACAATACACTTTGCATTTTTTTTTCTAACCTATTTCAAACATGCATTTTCTATTTTAAATACATTTCCAGAACCATTTTACCTAGCTCTGCCACCCAGGTAGGAAATGCAGGTCTGATTATCGATATAACTGTTTCAATTGATTCCCAGACCGACATGGAACTGAGAAAAAGGAAGAAACAGTTCTCGACGAGTCAATGCTCCACGGGATGTTAATGACTGCCTGGCGATGTACAACGATCGATCCATCTCTAAGTGCGATGCACTTAAACGTGATCAGATAATGGGATCAATTATCACCTCGTCGATAGAGAAATGAAAGAGGCGAATTCGAGAGGATCAGCCAAAACGCACGCGACGAGAGCTTATTGGTTTATTGATCGACGCATTACAATAATCGTGAGCGTATGGTCCTTACACGAGCCAATGTGAGCGAGTACACGATCGATTATAAAGTACGCGAAAATGAGTTACGCTTTCGTTTTCGCGTCGAAGAGGAAAGCTACATGTTCCTGTGAAATAAACGGTTGAATACAATTAACCATGAGAATAAGGTGAAATCACGCCGTATTATTCGTGAACATTCGTTAAATTTACAGCGATGATTACGACGAGTCTTACATCCCTCATAGAATGCAGTTTCGGACACTAACGCATCCATTATTGTTTCGATCCAAGTTTTGTAAAAGCTACCTCCTCGGCTTGGAGTAAATTCAACAATATCCTTTACATATCCGTTCAAAACGAATTCTAGATTAAATACAAAATCGAATATTTCGTAACAGTAAATCGCACTTCTTCCGTGAATTCATTCAATTAGAGGACTATATACAAGTATCGCGCAAATGAAGTGTCATCCGAAGTATGTGCACGCCGCTTCATGTCGTAATATACATTGTTTACAGCTTCCTCATGTAGAGTAAACGTGGGTCTATGTAAAATTAAATTACACGCTGAATATTAACCGAATTATCGAACTAGAACTATAGCATAGATTGGTACAAGTATGTATAAAAGCTTTGAAACCAGGAAAGGATCGTTACCGCAATTACCTCTGTACATTGATTATGCATAGGTCTTGTCATAGTTCCAGACACACCCGAGCAGTTATTCAAATTAAAAAAAAAAATAGTTAATGCTTCCCTAGCTGGTTTTACGGTAACGAACCGATATCGTTCATTATTTAGTTTATACCGATCACTTGGTACGCGTACTAAAGGTGTGGTTTTATTAAACCCTCAGTATAAAGAATGGCGTACCAGGATAGTACGATACATACTTTTCGAGAGTGCCGTAAGAAGACGTAACTCGATTGTTTATATCGAGAGTTTAGTAAAAACACGCCTTTAGTTTGCTTACCAAGTGATCGGCGTGGATTAACCCCAAATAATGTACAAAAAACTATTAGAGGGAAACGAATTTCATAATTAGGGAGTTCAATCCACACAACTCCCTCTTCCGATATTACAGATATATTCTTTTGGCAAAATATTACCCAATGCATTCTCATTAAAAAAAAAAAAATCGTTTACGACGTGAGAGGTGACATGCCTATTGTTCGAGGATCCTGTTGACCTGGTTGAGTAGACGGACCAGGTTGAGGACCAGTCTCCAGGTTTTTTAGGAGTTGATTCAGCCAGTGCGTCGTCGAGTTATCCTCTTGCAAACAAGTGGCAAATGTGTTGTCCCGCAACTGATCTGGTAAACACTGTCGAAGTGCTAAAAGAGCCCTGTGTGTCATGGAAGAACAATTAATGCAACATAAATCAAATGACATGTTTCATTGACTGTTTTCACGAGCTTACCGTGGATTATCGGAGAGTCTAAGATAACATCGCACGACATGCTTCAATAACCGAGCGGACGGATCCTTAGCAAGCGAGAGCACCATTTTTCCCAGAATCATTGCCACATGGCTAAATCTGTCATAAGTTTGACAAATGTACGACAAACCGCTGTCGTCGAGTAGAATTTTTTGGAGGATGAAGGTAGCTACGGTTTTGCTCAATTCGGAACCGCTCTCCATAATTCTCAAGCACAGAGGAATAATCTCTGTGGTGAGTAAAAAGGTTATAACCTCTTGTTCATCGGTTTTTACTAACGCTCCGATTACTCCTAAACTTGTCAATCGTAGATACTCAAAGGGTCTCGTCTTGCTTACAGTATGTAAAAATGGATACAGGAATAGTGGCACATGAGCCTGTAAACAAAAAAACATCATTAATAGAGTAAAGTAGCAAATTACACGGAATCATTACAATTTCTAAAGTGAATTACTCGTCGGTATCAAATTTAACTGTATTTAATTATTTCTATAAGAGAATCGAATTATTTTTTACATTTACCTGCAAAAATGCTGATCTTGTCTCAGGGTGACTCGCGACACACTGTAGTAATGCGAGGGCATTGCACACTCGATTGCTCTGATGTGCGGTGAGTGTCGCTGGGTATATCGCAGGATAAATGTTGATTATCTCTTGTAGAAGAGACGCCGTGGTACCGAATGAGTGCCATAACATCGGTGCTAGGTCTGGCACAACCTCGCGCATTTTACTGAGTTCTAATAAAGCATTTTCTCTAGTCTCAGGATTCGCTAGTTCGATTATCCACGAGAATACTTTTTCACGATCCACAGTGGCTTGTAACGCCGCTGGACTTTGTTGCGAACTCATTTTCAGACACGATCTTCCTCGACTGGCGTGTGTTATGTCTTCCTTAGTCGGGATCCAAACAGTCACAATAAAGATTTTTCACAGCTTGTGGATAAAATATCAAGACTACCGATAATTTAATCATTCAACTTCTTGCACTTTTGTACTTGCACTCTTAATAAACGAGGAACAGCCGTCTCGGTTTTGAGGTTAGGCCTCTTCCTCTTCACTCGAAACCATCGGGTCAACCGAAATTGATCGAAATACTTCGAATATATCCAAAATCAGTCGAACACGAGTGCCAGCCACATGTTGGACCATAAATATCTAGACTTCACATACAGAGATGAGTTGAGAGATTGCTCACGGGCAGGGTCGCGCGAAATTCGTTGCGCCGCCCTTGGGGGCAAAAAAACGGTGAAAGCTGAAATACGAAACCAGGGGGCAGCACAGGATGCGATCGCGCGACTCTGCCCGTAAGCAATCTCCCAACTCTGCCGCATAGCAGTAGAAGACAGGGTTGGGTAATTTCACGATTTTCGAGGTTTTTGACGTATATTACGTAAATTAAGTAGTTTACCGTAGAAAACGTAGAAAACCCGGAGAAAACGTATCAAATATGGCGGACAAGACAGACGTAGGGCATGCGGTATCCGCTAGGTTATAAACATTCATCTTGTCCATTTGTTTCATCCCATAATTTACTTTTTGGTCTTCCATCTTTACACATTTTGATACAAATATTGGTTACGAATCTTACGACTTCAAATAGCCGTTATCAACCGTTATAAACAAACGTCACATGCACATATATGCATACATTTCAAATTTCGAATGTGCGCGGGTTTGTGGATGCGTAAAGCGCAATCCCCTTAATAGCCAATGAGAATCTCTCTTATAGGTAAATAGGTAGACTCTCATTGGCTATTGACGATATTGCGCATGCGGTTTGCACATTTAGTTTGCGATGATATACTTCGTGCCTATGTAGAAAGCTAGGGACGTAATATACGTTGTAATATACGTGTAGAAAATCACGTATATTAGTTGACGTATTATACTTACCCAACCCTGGAATCGCCTAAAAATTCCAAACATCTTCATTTGGTCGACTGATATAAAATTCTTAAAAAATACAGAAGAAATTTCAAGACATTTTGCGAACTATCTTATAAGGGCTCACGAATTTAGATTTTAATGTGAAAAGGTACGAAGGGAGAATATACCGATTAGGGCATTTTATTTGTGTAGTTATGGTAGTAAGGTTTATACAAATTTTGAACTATCGCGATGTTAATTGGTGCAGTAGTTAAATCTGTAAATAAGATTATATATTGGTGTTATACTTTTCGCAGTTAGCTCTTATAGGTTATGAATAAAAATTGTTCCTAATTTTAAAAGAAGTCAAATATTAATTTATTATCAGTTTATTAAGAATTCTACATCTATCTCATCGGATTGCTCGGATCAAACTAAATCCTTCCGAAAATAATTAAACCGTACACGTGCAGATGTTTCTCATTGCCTCCGATAACCGGAAGATTAGGTTTCATGTCCAAACTTTAGACACAAGAAGACTGAAGAATTATCAGCAATTTCGTCTACGTCAAGCGATAATATGAGTTCCGTTTCTCTTGTATCTCATTCTACGACTTAGGTTAGACGAAATGTTTACCAACTCGCCGATACTGGGTAGCACAATATGGGTTATGCGATACAAAATTATCAAAGGAAAAAGGAGGATCCATAGGCGTGTGACAATGACCAGTCAAGCCGTATCAAAAATGCGTGTCAGTGAGTACTCACGTGATAAACACTCATGCTAATGGTCGTCACGGGACCAATCATAGTCCACAAGGAATAATAAAATGCAGCGTCAAATAACAAGTCTACTTGGTGAGTTCATGATTTCAACCCAGAGGGCACTCGGGTGACCGATTGCACATTCTCCATCAGAGCGTCCTTGTCGCTCTCATTGATGGAATGAGTGCGACAGAGAGACTATGGTCTCTCGACAGGAAAGTGGGGGAACTACATTAGACAACTTCTTTGAGAAATGAGCTTGGGGGAAGAAAGAATTGGTCACGTGATTATCTGGAGAACGGGATATTCGACTTGTGTACTGCCCACTTCTGGTTATTAGTGCTGCGGATTTTGTCGAAGTTGGTTCTCGTTGACCTGTTATTATTTTGTACCCTACCGAGAGGTTCTTATTATCCGAGGGCCGACATTCTTCTTTTTTAGTTTGGTGAGTTTCAATATCTTGTTCTGTATTCAAGAGAAATCGTCTAGATACATTGAATTCCTTTGTTACTAGTGAAGCCCTTTTACGTAATGTAATTCATGTAATTGACAGGTCGGGTGAGTGATGAAAGGTTACTGATCGAGCCAGTTTTCTTAATTATATATTTTACATGTTCAGGTTTGATCGAATGCGCTTATTAGGCTTGTAAAGTAATTACTCGTTGCAAAGATATACTTGAGTCTTGCGACAGTCGATTTTACTTTTGACGCGTCATACTGTACTTTTCTGATTGTATGGACAAAGAACCATTTGCTTATTCATCGACAGATTTTCAATCTTACTGGCTCACCCACCTGATAGCCAACTACAAGTACGAGACAATAACGTTACCTATATCGTAAGAAACTAGATTAAAATAAAATTTGATTACTAGTATACATCTAGTAATAGGTTTATCATGTAAGTTCAATAATCCTTGACTTGTGCACTTTGTTCTTTTAGTGTATATTACTATCTTGTGTTAGTAGCGATACATAATATGGTCTAATGATGATATTTTTTTGCAATTTATCGTTAGAACAGCATTTTGAAATGGTTTTTACTTGTGTTATCACTCACAGATAAAACGTGAATATTTATTCAACTTTGTTTACATAACTTATATTATTAAAATATAAAGGAGGGAAGTGCCTCTTTACTGTGGTAATAGATAAATAAGCCAGATAGTTGACAGGATGATACTGCTTGGATAAATTAAGAATAAGTTTTTACTTACAGGTATTTGATGACAATCATGAAGTCCTTTCTAGTGATACTTCTAATAGCATTTTCCGTTGCTCATGCTATTTCTTTCTATGACCTTATATTGGAGGAGTGGGGAGCTTTCAAGGTAATTCATTGGAAGTTATTTTACCGCGCAATAATTAATGCAAGCAATGTACATGTAAGATGGTTAACAGACCAGAAAACATTTAACACGCTGACTGTCATGGTGGTCACCAGTGAAACCAGAAAAATTATCAGATCAAAAGAATTCAGATCGCATAATCAAATATTGGCGATCAGTTGATTAAAATGATCAGGGGACAAATGATTCGAGTTAATGGTCAATGACCGCGCTGACCCTGTAGTAGTATATTATAGGTGAAATTCCAAATAGTACGTACCTCTGATTAATTTGAAACTTTGTGTGACGAACTATGTATTTAGACCCATTGATTATGAATGTAGCAATCAAAATTGGTGCAAATCGAAGTTATGTAAGAAGTGCAATTTGTAGAAAGTGCAAAAGTTATTGAAAACTATTTTTAGTTTGATGATGCCATTTGCGCCAATTTTCACTATCACGTTTTTAATCAATGGATTAAAATATGTATGTGTAAGAAATTTCAAATTAATCGGAGGTATGTGCTTTTCAGAACTATATTCTACATTATTTAAATAATGTGGAGATAATGATTTAGTGCGTTATTTCAGATCGAGCACGGCAAGAAGTATGAGAGTGAGACAGAAGAAAAGTTTAGAATGAAAATCTTTATGGAGAATCGACATAAGATTGCACAACATAATGTGAGATTTGGAAAGGGTTTAGTGCCTTATGAACTGAAAATTAACAAGTATGGTGATATGGTGAGTGGTTATTTTCTTGATAAATTAATTTTAATACTCCAAGAAATGACCGTTGGGGTATATAAATTGAATGACCTGCCTTTTTATTATTAAATGTTTTGCATAGCTTCATCACGAGTTCATAAAAACAATGAATGGTTTCAACAAGACTGGAGTAAATGGTAATTTAAGGAGTGCTGAGCAACCGGTTGGCGCGAAATTCATTGAACCTGCTAATGTAGTACTCCCCGATTCTGTTGATTGGAGGACACAAGGGGCTGTAACAGCTATTAAAGATCAAGGTCAATGTGGGTCATGCTGGGCGTTTTCTGCGGTATGTATTGTTTCCATTACCGAGCACTAATGAGATTTATCAATGAAAAATATATCTAATAGGAATGTGAATAACTAACTTCATTTCTGGGCCATGTATTAGATGTTCATGAGTTAGTAATTCAATTAAAAACTCAAGTAATTAGACTTAGCATATCCCAAGCAAGAAAAGATATAAATTGGCAAAAACTTTTTAAATATCTTGATACTTCACAAGTTTCTTTACTAAATTATACATAATGTAACATAATTTTACAGACTGGTTCATTGGAGGGTCAACATTTCCGGCAAACTGGAGTGCTTGTGTCTCTGAGTGAACAAAATCTAATAGATTGTTCTGGCAAGTATGGTAATAATGGATGTGAGGGCGGTTTAATGGATCGGGCATTCCAGTATATCAAGAATAACCGGGGTCTTGACACCGAGAAGACTTATCCCTATGAAGCAGAGGATGATAAATGCAGGTACCAAATTATGATGTTTAAAATAACGTCGAAAATTGAAAACGTTAAAGTGATTTCTAGTAACTTCTGATAAATTTGTAGATACAATCCTCGCAATAAAGGAGCTTCAGATGCAGGCTTCATAGATATTCCTGAAGGAGATGAGCAGAAGTTAAAGGCTGCAGTGGCTACTGTCGGACCAGTTTCCATTGCTATTGATGCATCCCATAGCTCATTCCAGTTCTATTCCAAAGGTAAATCCTATTAACGAGTTTGAAAGAGTTTAATTTAATATGAAATTTTATGTTTATTTTACATTACAGGTGTCTATTATGACCCTGATTGTTCAACCACTGAATTGGACCATGGAGTTCTTGTCGTGGGCTATGGAACTACTGAGGAGGGAGAAGACTATTGGATTGTAAAGAATAGCTGGGGAGAAACTTGGGGAGAAAAGGGTTACATTTTAATGGCCAGAAATAAGGATAACAGTTGTGGAATCGCTTCTTCAGCCAGCTACCCTCTGGTGTGATGAATGGCCTGATACTGAAAATTAGGAAGTGGTGTATTCACTCCTTTTTGGATCCATTAATTTACAAAATTCATTTTTTAAGTAACAATTGATTAGTTTTAAGCAGGATCAGTTTGGGTATACATGCTTGTTAATTTTTCCACAAGCATTGTCTGATATTTGAAATATTTACTATTATACCAAAATAATGTCAGTAACTATTACTAGTGTTCCTTGAACACTAGTAACTTCACAATAACCCATTCAAAGGCATTTCGTCAACTTTTGCGAAGTAATAAACTTTCCTAGCATATCCAAAATCGTAAAGTTAATTATTTTTGGTAATAAGTTACGCTAAAATGCATTGATTATATATATTATTTTCCAAATAGTTATTTCACGAAATTGGATATGCGATGAATGTTATATTAAATGACAAAAATTTTTGATAAGTAGTGGTAAGCTGATATTCATTGTAATTGTAGTACTTATTTTTAATACATAAAAATAAATAAAAGTATATTTTTTCTTCTTGGCTGTCACGATTATGTTTTGAGGTGTCATTTTCTTGCTCAACGGGCTTCTGGATTTAATAATAAAGATAGTTTTCAGTGGTGGAATGTACATTTAAATCCTTTAATTATGATAGTATTGGCCATGGGCTAGTGGTGCTTTGTAAAGAAATACCAATCAGGTGAAAGTCACTGTAGTGGCGTTTTGTAACTAAAAGGTTAACATTATTTCTTGTCTGCTTTCATTGCCATTATCTGATAAACCTTCATTCAAGTTGGTAAAAGATATGGTGTACAATTACATACCTTCAATATTAATTATAAAGAATAGATCGATGACTTTTAAAAATGTACGATGGTATAGAAATGTTAACTGCCTGAAACAGAACTAACCTGACAAAATAAGTGTAAAACTGTAATTTTGGATTCAGTATGTACATACATACGCGTTCATACATGCAAGGTTCATTACCGGACTTGCTTTCGAAATACGAACGAACATGAATTTATGGCATAATTTCACGCTGTAAGTATGTACCAATTACCATCATGAGTATGTACGTGAGCCACCAATGACGACTGGTAGATGGTACCGCCATCGCGGGTGCGCGAGCTCCTATCAGAAATTCGTTGCGCCGCCCTTGGGGGCAAAAAACGGTGAAAGCTAATGTAGGAAACCAGAGGGCAGCACAGGATGCGATCACACGATCCTGCCCGTAAGCAATCTCCCAACTCATCTCTGATACGGTATGTACTGGTATGTACGGTCCGTCAGCAATTCGATACATGCGCGTGGTAACCTATTTCTCAAGTTGTATATATTCTTCAAGGCGCCTTTATATCTTATATTTACATAAAACCTTTCGGGACTGTTGCATAGTATTACCAGCGAGCGTTGCTGAGCGTTGCCGCATTCCAATGGAGGTGAAGAATTCTATGATGACCGAAGAAATTTAACGTTGCTATTGCTGGTAATATAATTGACCGACATGGCTCATTTGGTGCTAGTAAAAATTTTGAACTCACAGATATCACCAGAGGAAGTGATAGATTGGCTAACAGATATAACAGAGGTGAGTTAATTCAGAACGTTATTAAGTTTAGAAGTATTTATTAAAATTGAGCTTAATATTTTGAACTAGGATGATACGTCAAAGACGGTATGAAATCTAATTTGGTAGCCATGTAACAAGAATAGTGACGATGTACTCTTACTCTTTAACTGAATTAATTTTTTATGTTTCCTAGTTTTATGTATCGAAGCTTTCATTGTTTTATGGTGAACCTTTGCATAATCTATGAAGTACATGTTAGTTTACTTAGAGTATTTTGATTTTATTACGGTATATAGACATGGCAAAATTATTAGTGTGTGATTACGACTAGATTAATTAAAGATCTCTTGAAAATATTCCTAATGTTTTCAGGATACAAAATGGGCTGAAATTAATAATGCCAAATGCACACGAACTGAGTTTATTCTATACTTTCTTAACTTCCTAAGGGATCAGTGCGTCGGGTAAGTTTCTGCTTTGGATATTTATATTTCTCAATGATTTTTAGTATTTATGATTGATGGTGGTATTATTTATATTCTAATTAAATTTATGTATTCATCGATTTTAATGCAAAAGAGAATACGTTGTGAAGAAGAAGTTAATGGATATTTTGTGAATTTGTCAAGTTTTTTGTGAAAGTAATTACAGATTGTTGCGTTCTATAGACAATTACACTGTAACTTAAACTCCTCTCATACCTTTTCTTTTTTTTGTCAAAGTAATAGTGTTTATATATCCATAAAATTTCATTATAATTTAGATATTTTTATAGAATTATTAATCTGTATAGATATATGTTTGTTTTTTGGATTTATTTATTGCTTTATTTGTATTATTTTTTCTTTTATTATATTATTTGTATTTCTTCATTTTCTTACCTTAGTGTACTGCAAGTATCGAGTGTTACACAAATACCCAAGGCTAAGAAGATAGTATTGTTAACCGATGGTACCTCTGATGATACTTCTGATAAATTAAAAGATTCTCAGAAACAAGTGCCTTTAATTCATCATTGTGAGCAAAAAATATTCAAACGTGAAAACACTGTAAAAGATACAAAGAAAGAAAAGTTGGAAAACCAGGCAGAAGGTGTAACTTTAAATATTCAAGGAAACGTTTCTCCCAAGTATTACACTGGCAACTTGACGAGTAAAAATTTGAAAAGTCCGTCCCATAATTCAAATAGTCAGAATAGCAGTACTAAAGAACATCAGAAGCATAATTTATGTAACAGACCATTAGAATCTTCTGTTAATGTTGTTGGTATTTCTAAATCTAGCAATGGATTATCACTTTCTGTTAATGCAGTCACGAGTACTCCAGTAATAAAAAAAAGTAATCGTTCAACAGAACATTTATCAAAAAAGACTGCAGAATTAAGTGCAACTTCGTGCTTTTCCGAAAATAAACAAGAAGGTATTAAGAGTTCTAATAAATTATCGAATGACGACGAAAGTAACCTTTTGATAGATATTTCAGAATATGACAGTTGCCATAAAGAATTTTTAGATACGAAAAGTGCGGCCAGTACTTTTAATGACTTTGACCTTTCCAGTTATAGTACAAATCAATCGGGTATCATTAATTGCTCATCCATAAATGGAAACAAAGATTGGTGTAATAATTCTGACTCTTCTTCAATGTCAATAAATGCTAGTCGAAATACCAGTAAGGAACAACTCAATTCAAGTGCACCCTCGAGATTCAAAAATTCAGTAAAGGATGATAATTCTAATGATTCATCGCTTATGTCGAGCGATTCAAATCAAAATCCAAGCACTCCATTGCGCTCCAGTCGCCCAGCCTCATCTAAAAGCAATAAAAAGTTGTACAGTAGGTGTTCGGAAGGGCAACGAAGTTTAAATAATAGTCCCCAACAAACTACATTTGGAACCCCTGCACGACACTCAAATAGTTCAAAAAAATATGTAAAAGTAACACCAAAACAACATCTCAGCCTTGGAGATTTTATCAGTGTAGACTCACATTCGAAGAAGAGTAGCTCCAAGAAAAGTAATGCCAGAATGGAATTGTTAAGGCAAAATGATGGGGAAAATCAGATGCCCAATAACTTGTACGTAACGGACGAAACTTTCCCAGAAGTGGGAAAAACAAGTAATCGAAGGAGAAGAATCAATCCAACCAGGTTGGATATCTCAGATGGAAAAGGTATTAATAAATAAATCATTTTTTTTTCACCGTCACTGTCAATTATGCATATTATGTGTATTATTTCAGGAAACAAAGAAAACGTTACGTTTGGAATCATAAGCAGACCTTCAACAGTGAATCCACAATTTCTGGAGGCATTGGCAAGTGACAAGTTATCAGATAAGATCTCGTTTGAAGAGGAAAGATGCTTGTTACGATTGGAACGTCAAAAACAACCAAAAAATGTTTTACCGAACGAAAATAATAATCGTGATACTTTATGCCAGGTGATGCCTAAATTTTCTAGCAAACGAAAATCATCAGTTTCTTTAGAAGTACCTAATTTGGAGTTAGTTGATAATGTAAAGATCTTAAATTTATTGGTAAAACTTTACTGTGGATTTATCAGCAATGGATTCGTAGCAAATCCCATGAGTGAATTGTATTTTATAATTTCACTCATTACTGCACAGTTTACTGTTCGGAGCAATCCGAATCCAATTTATTCTAAAAAAGAGATAACTCAAAATATGAAAGAAGAAGAGAAAAGTATAGCGGAAATGTCTAACGAAAAGAGTACTTTATCAATAAATTGTAGTGCAAGCCATTCTGTATTCGGTACAGATAAATTGGAGGCCACACCTGCAAATGATTCTAATGATTCGGAGTTAAAATTATGTTCACCGATTAAAATTTTGAGAAAGAGTAATGATGAGAGGAAATCGCTTGATCCACTTTCAGATCCAGACCTTGGATGTGCTGTTTTAAAATCTGATTGTATTGAACCCATTGATCTAGAAGTGTCTGCGATAAACAATATGAAATCACAATTAATAGAAGCAAATGAGAATATAGAGAAATTATCTTTAGATAGTCAAAGTATGATTAACATGAACAAAAATGCCTCTGATATTAGCAGTACGAATTATATTGAAGAAAAGAACGTGGATAATCATACGAAGAAACGCTACTTAAGAACGATACATAATTGTGCTTATTTTTCGACAAATGTTTTGAACAATCAAAGAACTTTATTGAACATTTTGGATAGAACTACACTGAAACTTCTTTTGGAGAACAATATAATTGGTGTTTTTAAACCAGAACTGAAAGAATATGTAAACAAATTGTATGATACGAAGCTATCGGTATCAATTAAAGTTAAGGAACCTTATAATTTCAGGTATGTTGACTATATTATTTTTTTTATAAATTCTGGCTAATAATAGGTGTAGTTTTATTAGCTTAATGTAGTGTTTATTCATTACATTATACAATCGTACTATTTTTTGATTGTAAATTTTTTTTTCAGCATTTTAGAAAAGAATGTATGTTTTCAAAAAGACACCGACAATCGTGATAATTTTCCATCAGAGACGGCTTTCCATACCTTCCGAAGGCAACGCGATATGTTTTATCAAATTTTAAAAATCTGGGAGGAAAATCATTTAAAAGAAGGTTGGACATTTTCAGTAAGCCTTGGAGCAAAAATTAAATCATTATTAACAGTACATAATGATGCAGTGAATTATTTTCACTTTGCAAGATTATTTAAGTCCCAGCTTTTAACATCTGGCATTCAAAATGGTCATCAGGCAAGTTAAATTAGTTTTCAACGATGTAACATTTGTACGACAATGTACGATTATTGTACAAATTACTTGTATATAACTTTACATAATGATATAAGAACTTATTGCTAACATATCTTATAAATGTATTATGTATTGCAAATTAAGTATAATAATATATTCTATTTATCTGTTATTACAGGAGGATGGTATGGACGATGAAAGTTTAGATTTTCTGAAGTCCCTGAAACATTTAAATCCAGAGAAATTAACTCAATTGCGAGAGAGATTAGTCACACCGATGTCTTCGAAAGGTCCCGTTCCACGTCCGTCCTTTCCGGGAGTTCAAGAATTCTTTAAAGACTTCATTTTACACGCATTCAACCCAATATTTTATGTGCATTTGGAAAATTGTTTAGTGCACGAGATTATTGAGCTCAATGATACTCAATTTGCGGAAAGTGATATCGCGGACACAGGTATTCCATTTGATTGTCTAATTTGTTTTGCATGGTAAATGGAAACAATTAAAGGAATCTTAAATTGCGCAGAAACAATGGTCGACGAAGGGACGAAACAAACCTACATTACTTGTTTATCGTCTCTGAGACTCCTGGCAAAGATGTTAGGTTTCCTTACGTCCTTGCCATATCGTTCGACTTCGGGTTCTCTAGAAGAAGGAATGACGTCACAAATTGAAGTACGAAGTCGAGTACGTAGGTTTATACTATTCCACTATTTATTCAATGATTTTGTCGAGACATCTCATAATTAAATATTTTTAGAAAATATGTTATAATCTTATTTATCTTGACGTGATTAATTACCGTTACAGGTTTTACCTGCGCTGGATCTGCAATTTTGTCTACAAAATGCTGTGTTGGATGGAAAGTTCTCATTAACGATTCCCTGGGCGGTTAAATATTTAACTATGATGGACAGTGCCACATTACATTTACCATATTACATGAATATTTTAGAATTTCTCTATCTCGTATATCGAGCTTGCAGCAATTGCAATGTGACTGAATCTGGTGTTATATCCCAGCAAACAGCTCTGTTAGTTAAGTTTAGTCTCGGCTGGTTGTTCGAACAGCCAAACTTCCCGAAGGACCTTTATTATGCCTTCCAATCAAATCTTAATCATGACAAAATGAAGTCATTATTTCATCCGGATAAGAAAGAAGTGCCGAGTCCATTTTATACTAGTGGTTTGACTTCCACGAGCATCAGAAATTGCACCGTGAACCTAGATAAATTAGATATCATCGATGACAGAGCAATTTACATATGTTGTCCATTTTTGTCCGAAGTGAAAATAATCTTAGCATCAGGAAATACGAGTAGTAGTAGTACTACAATTAGGCACATCACGCCAGTGTCTAGTCAACTTCCAAAATCAAGCAGTAGTTCAAGCACGAAGCATTTAGAGGTAAATTTTTGGCAGAAATCTCTAAGTACCACAGATGGACAGATTGCATAGCATTTTTGTATTACATTTCTGATATTTCATATTTTTTCGTGTATATGTTAAGGGCAATGTGATAAATTCAGATGTTGCGAACATTGTTCGATTTATTGCGTTGCCCATAACATGTTTTTCTTTACCTTTATACAGTCTTGGATAGTTTTGAAAGTTCTACAGATTAAAAAAAAAATACAGTAACTACATATCATTTAGCGTTTCGTGTGAAATTGCTCGATCTTATTTTGTATTTTATTGCATTATAGATGCAATTGGAAGAGGCCTTTTTCCGTGGCCAACCAACGTCTACTCGAAGGGTTGTCGATTTTGTTGCGGAAAGAATTGGGTCTACTTGTGTGAAACATATTTCCAACTCTCTGTTACCTCCTGCGAGAGAGAAAAGCCTGACTAAGTTTAGGGAAGTTGTAAATAAGAAACGTAGTGAAATACAGTCTGAACAGCTTGATCATCCGGACCTGCCTGAAAAGTTTGAACAATTTGATAAGCTTGAATCAGATGAGCCCGAGTCCGATCAGCCTGATGAACTTGAGCTTGATCGGCCTGAACGAACTGATGTGTCCGAGCAATCTAAGCTGCTAAACAAGGAAATCCAAGTGCTTCGGGTGACTATTCTACATTGAACACAAAATGAGTGCCATTAAATCAATCATCGAATATATTGCACGTTTCTCCTTTCTCTCCTTAGGGTGCGATATTAAAAGAAGGACAAGTCACGACGATCGCAACAACTGTGGCGAAGGAATTCAAAGATCAGTGCGGGAAAATGATTCTTCCAATTTGTAAAACCCGCGTGAATAGGGCCATTGAAGCTTTATTGCCGGAAGATACTTTATTGCCTGTAAAGGAAATTTGCGTTAAAATAGTTACGAGAATGGCGATGGAACGTATCAATCAGTGGACTCAGTCTTACGTTGCTGGTGGTTCACTATTTATAAAAGATATGGAAGCAGAATTGGGAAAAATGGCTAAAATGAAAAGTCCTGTCCAGTTCGAAGAAAGAGTCCACAACGTGAATGCTGCAAGTCCTACTAGCGTTATAGATGAACTTAGGGTATGTAGAAACGATGATAACAGATCAAAACGGCATTTTAACGTTCATGTTATTGGTGCCTCATTTTGCTTATCGGTGGAAACATTATTTCTTTGCAGTCGTACATTTGGGACATGTTGGAAAACAATGGACAATCCTTAACTCTCGAGTCCATCTCGTCCATTTTAAAGAGATTATCTGAAAGTTTGGAAGAGAGGATAGACTTACAGCCCGGACCTGAGAGAGTACTTTGTTTATTAAGCATCGACTTTGCTCTATTCTTGGGTATGACTTTTTGACTTCTACCGCTTTCATCATATTTTCTATTTATTTATAATACCTGAGTTTATTGTACAGCTGCATACAGGGTGGATTTATTTACAACAAAGATACAAGATCTGTTAATAAAAGTATGGAAAATACAGTATTTTAACGCCTCGGAGATAGACTCGGCGCTGAGTAGAATTTTCAGTCCTAGAAATGTAATGCTACTGGCGCAGTCGGGAAATAATAAAGTTTGGTCTGTAATCGGGCAATTTGTAAGACGGTTGTTAAAGGAACATGTTTTATTCATTGAAACATTGAGCAACCAGTGTGTAGCATTGCTAAGGCAGGAATGGCCGCATGTGAGTATCATTATTAACATCCAATATCGGTGTATGCGTGAGAATATGTCTGTCATTTAATGTCGGTACATCTTTTCGATAATCAATGGAGAAAATGCATCCGTTTCCTGGTTTACAAGATGTTCGAATGAACGTTCTATAATTACTATATTTGTAAGTCCTTTTAGAAACTTCAACCAGATGCTCGATTCAAAGTTAAGGTATTAATTTAAATTTTTCAGTCGATATTAGAAAATTTGTCAAAGTGCCTGGATGAAGGAATAATGGATTACGAATCATCTGATGCAGAGGCGGGGAAGATTAGATGTTTGCTGCTTTGGATAGCAGATACATATCGAGAAATGGAATGTTGCAACGACTAAATTACCTGATTACCACAGGTAAATGACGTACGTCCGATGAAAGGTTTCTATTATTTTTTTGTACATATTTAGGTACCGAATTACGACTTTTTTATGGTATTGGTGAATTGTACAATGCTATGGTTCCAACATATTTTTACTACTGGTAAGACAACTTTCCACTGACGTTCAAGAGATTTGCCACTTTTGTTCAGTTAATGTACGTTTTCGTAATTGTCACAAGAATTGCACAGTCGTGCGCTGTAACGTTTGTAATAAATCACGTTTTGTTATCACTTTTATTGTGTATTTTTTATTCCTTTCCATTGATTCTTTTCTATCTCCCTTCATTTGACAATATGCGAAACAATTTTCGGTTAGTACAAAAATTGTGGAGTTATAATCTTGCAAAATACCCCGCCATATAAGCAAAGTTTAAAGGAACCTCGTCAACGTATTCAACATAATAGAAAAAATTATTTACCGAGAAACGAAGAAGAAAGAAATTCTTGCAATTGAAGTAAATAGTAACGGTAATATATGTACACATTCCTCTTCGGCACTTTAATTAATAAGAATGCAAATTCCAATGTAACTGGTTTTACAATATATATATATACTTTTCCCCGGTGTGGTAAAATTACAATAATAATAGTATTTCGTTCTTTTTGTAGATATTCTACGTGTATTATTTAAATAGACCTATTATATGGACTGTGCCCATCTAAGCATATAAATAACTGACTAGAATTACTTTGTATCTCGTTTAGGACTAATTTTTACATAAGTACATTAGATCGTTAAAGATTCTCACTCTCTAAAATGTTTCAAATAGATAATTGCCTTTTGCTATACACTATATCCGTACTATGCACAAGTCTAATCGTACCGATTGGCTAGAAACACAGGTCACACAAAATGTACCGTCTCCTCAGTGCGTCCCCACGGCTTAACAGTGCATTTCTTAACGTGTGTGACGTAACAAAATCCGCAATAATACAAAACTCCTAAATCCGTCGAATCCACGTCATTTGTAAAATGACGTGGGGATTCTACAAGAGACTCGAACGGTCTTCTTGCCGCTCGATTAAGTTTTCCTCAATGTATCAATACGAGTCACAGAGATATGCCCCGAAGAGGTCGCGAATGGACATTGATGCGCCTGACTGTTATCCTCGGATGTATAATCCTTAGACCCCTAATCCGAATGATTCCAGTAACGAGCGAAAGGAACAACGTTATCTCAACACTTATCGTTAAGTACTTGCAAAAGACAGCACACCCTCGAAATGTAACGTCAAATGCGCGGATTTAAGGTGATGCGAAAGGCGTCAAAGAGATCTCGTTTATGTAACTTTTCTCTGAACTAGGTGTACCGAATTGTTTCAAACTTGACAATGTGAATATGTAGGCTATAAGGAAGGTCCCGACGCCCATAAAAATTCAATTTCTAAACCATATCTTTATAGATATTTTCAAAATTCTTTTATAAAAAATGAAACTTCACCAGGGTCAGGACCTCCCTTAAAGCCTCCATGTTCATGTTGTTAAGTTTGAAACGATTCGGTATTACCCAATTCGTAGATAAGCTTCGTGAAGAATTGAGCTTTCGGATGCCACATTCACATCTCCTTAGAGATATTACAACAACCGAATCCCTTCTCCTTCAAATGATAAGAAATCGGAATCACGTCCCGAATATATTCGTGGTCCCACCTACGAGTTTCCATTCGTGCTAGACGCTGCTTTCGCCGCGGCCTACCAGAGTTATCGGATATACGTATTTTTTTCGTTTGGCGTTGAAAAACGGAGAACTGTGCTGGACTTGAACGGGCGTAGGTGAGAGGCCGCGCAGAAGCGGCAAAGCAGCGTCGCCGCTCAATCCAGGTGAGTCGAATCTTCGCTTCCATTCGGCTCCTAAGTCTGTCGCAGGTGCCATGAGACCTTTGCACTCGGGTGAGCTTCTAACGCTCAGGAACACGTCGTTGCTGCTGTCCCGTTGGCCGGAGGAGCCCTAGAAATTGCGTCGTAATTAGCGATAATTCTGAATCTAGGGATTTAATTGAGGATGAAAGCGATCTCGACAAATCCAACGATAAGACATTGGTCATTTTCCATGTAATGCATAGGATAACTTTCTAAAACTAGGAACAATTGAGTCGTCATATGGAAAAAGAAGAATGATCGAGAAAAGCACAATTGTAATAAATGTTGCAAGATAACCTTGCCGAGAGATTGTGGCAACCAGAGTAACATAGCAAAAGAACAAAATAACGATTACTTCAGTCAAGATCACTACAAGGTACCAGTAATAATGCTTAATGCAATATTGTGCTTATCGTAACTTCACTGTATAGTTAATTCCAGATGGGAATCGCTACTGCAACTTTTTAGGGTAGCGTCGTGGATACGGCAACTATTGGCACGGTTACATTTACCATTTGATGCGATCGGTCTCAAATGTGTGTGGGTTATATTATAAGAAATATTTGGCCGTGATTATATAATTCTAACCAAATTATTCTTTTTCGTGCAATCTTCTTACCTTTGCCTCGTAGAAATCTAAGCTGGACCCGTTGGTGTCATTTTCCTCCTCGGCAAAGTCGATCTGCACGCGATGCGACGTACGAGATGCCCTGGACGAGTGCGAGGACACATGTGTCGATGAATTCTCGGATAGATCATCTCTGCAGCAAGCTGCCGTGCATATTCGTTCCTCCCTGAAATGGGACACGTGTTCAGGACCATCCGTAATTACGTCGCCAGCAAAAATCTATTCTACAGGGGGGTGTAAGATATAAGGAGTCCGACAAACCGAGAAACCACGAACGTTCAATTAAAATCACATGCGAGAACACTGAACTACGAAGTAACGTCTCCAAAACACCAAAGTTTCGTTCGGATACAAATACCAAAAGACCAAGAAATTCTGAATGAATCGGTGATTTGACCCTAAGAATGACGATACAAATTATTCGCATTTCACGCCGAGTCGAGACAAACTGCCTCGTTCGATCACGTGGCACGAGATAAATTGAATTGATTCGACATTACTCGCGAATGCCTTAATCGATTGCAACGGTTTTGGTCTCAAATGAACGAGAACAAACCAACAAAGCCATCGGCGCGCGTTACAGAGGGTATGGTACCTTCTAATATCACCACGCGTCGTTTAAGAGAAACATACGTTTTCGATAGGGGTATGCCTGTAGTAAAGAGACGCGGCGCTCGGTCGAGGCCCATGAGCTTGTCCGAGGCGCTGCCGCATCTCTTGATTGTACGTTTATTTGCGGGATTTACCGTCACCGCGGTACCAAAATCGCGTCACAGATTATGCCGTCGGCACGTATTATACGCCATTATGCCCTAGACGGACTAACAGTGCCGCCCACCTTCGGTCGACGACGGAGTCTCGTCTTTTCGGTACTGGCGGCGGAAGACCAGCGCCTTGGCTTTTGGCGCTCTCGTAGCTGCCCTCGCTGTTGCCGCTGCTGCTGGAGTTGCTGCCAACGGCCTCTTCCCTAAGGAAGTAGTTCTTAGCCGAGAGCATGGCGAAGTGGAGGTTATTCTTCAGGTCGTCCGCCGCCGTCGACAAGTTTCCCGGAATCTTCGGAGTTCGTCTCATCGGCCTGGGAGGAGGGATCGGCGAGGGGGGGTTGCTGGAGGCTTCCGAGAGGGTTTCCGGCGTCGCCAGGGGAGCTGCACGTGGTGAACTCTCCCATTCGGTGGCACGCGATGACCTGGGAGTGGACCATGCTCTTTATTATGACAACTACTCACACGTTCACCAGACACCCGTATAACGCGGCTTCCTATTACGAAATTTCTTATAATGCGTTCTTTCATAACGTGATTGCTTATAAGACGTTCTTTCATAACGTGATTGCTTATAAGACGTTCTTTCATAACGTGATTGCTTATAAGACGTTCTTTCATAACATGATTGTTTACAAGACGTTCTTTCATTACATGATTGTTTATAATTTGTTCTTTCATAACGTGATATCTTATAACGCTTTTTTCCTTAACGGGTTTTCTTAAGGTGATGTGAAATGGCATCGATGAGGTTTTGTGTATGAAACTTTTCTCTGAATTGGGTTTACCGAATCGTTTTAAACTTTACAACGTGAACGTGTAGAATGTAAGGAAGGTTCTAATACTCGTAAAGTTTCAATTTAAAAAAAATTTGTTTATAGGTATTTAAAAAATGTTGTATAAGAAATGAAATTCCATGAAGGTGAGCACCTTCTTTATAGACTCCACGTTGTAAAGTTTGAAACTATTCAGATTTTGTACAAGTGTCGAGTCCTGTATGATACGTTATTTGCCCAAGGATCCCTTCACATATTTTGTACGCGTTCAGAGTTCCTAAGTATATATAAAGCGATTTTCATAACGCGAGATTTATTTTCCGCGCTGTACGGGATCTGGTGAGCAGGGGAAAAAGAATTACTTGGAGCGATCACTTTAGAGTGATAAAAAAAAATCGTTCTACGAGCTGCGGCGGTGCAGCGAGGAGCGTGAGACGATTATGGAAAATGCCGCGAAACGCCCACGGAGAGATGTAATTACGGGTAATGTTACTTGCCATTTCGGGGTACAATGGGTCCCAAGATCCTCGATATTATTTCTATAATCATCCGCGTAACATAAATTCGTTAAAACTTTTCTCTCCGTGGGCGACTGATAAAGGCAAGCGGATGTTGACGCCGTTAAGACTCTCCTATCAAAGCAGCGAAGCTACGTTTCTCAATGAAAAGCGAATAAGCCAAGATATACGATTTCATGGTAATGATGAGGAGTACGCAACGTTACCTCAATGCGTTTGAATATGTAATGAATAGTTTAGCGTGGGATTCGCGTTTGCGGTGAACGTATGAAACCCTAGAGTTCATGAATTCCAAGACTGTTTATCGCCACTCCATTAAGGGGGACCTTTTTACGTTCTCCGAAGTTTATTACGAGATCGATTCTCGGTAGCAAGACGTCCTCGAGTAAACATCTCTTAACGAATTCCTCTATCCGCAATTTCCTTCCCGGCGTAATAGGCAACCTTTCGAGTGGTTTCTCTCCGTTGTCAGAGATATCCAAATAAATATCTCTTTATCGATCCCCATCCGCAGCCTTTTTCGTGACGCAACAAATAATTGTACAAGTTTCTTCAGTCTGTTCCAAGGTACATCTGAATAAATATCCTAGCATCGATTTTCTGTCCGCAGCCTTTTTCGCAGCGCAACAAATAATTCTACAAGTAGTTTCAGCCTGTTCCTGGATACATCCAAATAAATATTTCGACATCGTAGCCTCTTTCGCGGCGCAACAAATAATTCTACAAGTCGATCCAGTCTGTTTCGAGAAACATCTAAATAAATATCCCAACTGTAGGAGGTGAAATTATCGAAGGCGAATCTGCTATTGACAAATTCAGGCAATGATCATATCTTCTAAACAATACTCGCGTTTCCTCGCCCATGATTCTTGGAATAGGCCCGCCTATGGACCTCCGATCATTTTGCCTTTGTCTCTTCGAAATATTTCCTTCATTCGGCCTACCTGACCACTTAGTTGTCCTCAACTCTATTTCCCATGTCTTGTTGTAGGCTATAACAACAAACAATTTCGAGTTACCTAAAATGGGAACACAGTCAATGGGTAGTAACCGAGACCCGATCGACGCCGCCATTCGGTGTGATCAAGTCCAAAGTAGGCGCCAATCATTTCCCGGAGACTATCCGAAAGGTGTTAGTATTAAAATAGGAAAAAAACTAAAAAACCGGTGACCAGCCTTGCCAGGGGCCCTAGCCAACTGAGAGCGTGACCACGACAACTCAGTCCAAGACTATCCTGACTCTGACTGCGCTTGGTCATGGATCGTAGAACGGAGCACTTGGATCGATTTTATATACGTCTCTTTGAACGGTTATACAGCTGGTTTTGAACTGTAAGTCAATTAGTATTTCTGTAAATCTACAAAATATAGACTTGTCAACAGCAGATTCGCCTTCAGTAATTTCACCTCCTACACAACATCCACTCCCCATCCATAGCTATTTTTCCTGCGCAGCCGACAACCTTCCGGGTTCTGATGCTTTCGACTGTGCGAAATAAATTTAAACAAGTGGCCCCATATATCCGGTACATCCGCAGACTTCTTTCCGGTGCAAAAGGCCAACACGGATACCTCACGTAACAATAGCCGTAAGAATACCAGGAAGAACCGACCAACAACAATTGCAGAGAACATGATACGACATTAGTGTTCGGCACTTTAATTGACCAGTTTTCACTGGTAAGATTTGTGTCCAACGGCAAGGAACTTGCGATATTTATTGCTAAAACCTAATACTAACAAAAGACACGCGACAAATTTATTGCCGCAATTCGATTTAGCAAGTACTTGCAAGACGACTCACTCGGGACTTGATTGACTTCGGGTTTTGCACACATTTCGACGGAACCTTCACCTATAGTCCGAACTAGAATGATACCGATAATTTGAATATTTTAGCCCGGTTCTCATGTTTTAGTTGAAAATATTCCGGGAAAATGAAACCTTAATTTTCAAACAGCTGCAATTCCGACAAAAAATGTACTTAGTTCTAGTTCAGACGATAACTACATTCGTATAGATATAAAAAAAATGTTGTTCTTCCGTTTCGGACGACTAGAATCGCCGCAACCCGTCCGCCCGATTGGACGAGCGTCTCACGCAACGACCTGCATAACAGCGGACAACTTGCATAGTTTTCAATAAAGAATTTCATATAACTTTGTGTTGCTAATTGAAACATGCCTTAATATACGTCAAAAAGCCCGGCACAGTAGGTTTGATAGTTTTCGCAAAATGAATTCCTAAAAATTACTTAAAAACACAAGCTTCTAGACGATAATACCCCCTTAAAAGATTTAAAGAATATTCATAGGTACAATGATGTTATCTGGGGACGGACACAAACCTTACGCTTACGGTTACCATTACGGCAGGTTATGTTAGGAATCCGAGAAGGCCTTAACGAGTGCTCTTACAGGTTGTTGCCGTGGGGCCTAGGGGTGTGTCCGAGCTCGCTGGCCAGGCTGACGTACTCCCAGGGCAGGCCTGCGGAGTCTACGCTGAGCTCGCGGCCCGCGCGGGGCGGGTCCGTGGGGCTCTGCAGGGACGTGAAGCTGGTCTCGAGGCACAGTCGATGAGGCGGCGTCCCCGCGCTGAGTGGGCCCTTGCCGGGGCTAGGGGGCGCCAGCAGCGCGCGCATCTCCTGCTCCAGTTCCACCTCCTGGGCCGAGGCGGCCTCACGGGCCTCCGAGGCCTCCGCAGAGGACGCGTGCCCCGAGGTCAGCCGCTGCGGCTTCGCCGGTCCCAGCGTCGTTACAACCTGACGTCACCGGCCCTCACCGTTACCAGCCGTGTCAATGTGGAACTCGCGGCTAAAGTAGCGCCCTTCCGTGCGCGCTTTCGAGCCCTCAGGCGCCCCTCTAGCGGGCTCGTGATCATAGACGTAAGAATATATGGACGGAGCCCAGGATTGGGTAAGTATATACGTCATGTAATATCAAGAGACGCGGTTGCGTCTCGGACAAGTTCATGGGTCTTGGCTGAGCGCTACGTCTCTTTACTCCAAACATCGCTGTAACGGACATTTGATTTTATTAAACGACCACTGATGCTATTAGAAGATGATATATACTTTTTAGCCTACATTGCCGGCTTCGTTAATTATTTCTCTCTTTCATTTGAGACCAAAACCCTTGTAATCGATGAAGCCGTTGATGAGTTATGTCGAATTGAAATTTCAGTACCGTCAGTTTAACTATATTTAGTCGTTATCTCCCTCTAACTCACGTATGAACCTATACATATGCAAAGTACTCACTTACGAACCTACACATCCCAGACCGGTTTGTCCCTCAAGGCGAATTTTAATAGATATGTGGTTTTCTGTGCGAGCGCGAAGTATATTACGCCCTTCTATTTCTAAATAGAGAATAACAAATCCAATTAGAAATTTTATATTAAACGAGGTTAAGTCGAATGAATTTTTAACGGAAGCATTAAATTAATGCTTCAAAATTGATACGTGGGTGCAGATGAGCCGAAAGACGTTTGTAACCTAGCAAATGCCGTATATCGTCCATCTGCGGTATTCTTCGTATTGTGTTCTTTGTATGCGTCATTTACTGGTTTTCTGTGATTTTCTACGGGAAACTTTTTGGTTTACATAATATACGTGAAAAAATTCGAAAAACGCGAAATTACCCAACCCTGGACTTTGGGTTCCGTTCATATATTCTTACGTCCATGCCCGATATAAATTGGGGTGCCGGGCCCTGGCTCGCGGCCATCTTGGATTTTTGCGGATCGCAGTAGAGGAAGCGGGTATGTAGATGACCCGATGTCCCCGTAATCGACGGAACTTGTCGTTGACTGTTTTCTCCTCTTTGCCTCTTTTTAACGGGTCACGGGGATGAGATCGATTAAGCGGACGCTTTATGGAGGGGTTTACCGACGTAAGTTATTTTTTGGGATTAGTGCATGGAAATATCTGAAGCTTGGTACGGAAGCGTATAAAGGCCGCAAGTAACGATAATTCATGGGTATTTATAATCTGTACAGTACAATCGAGTTTTTCTTTAGTATCTATGCTTCATCCAGAAGGTTAGTAGATTGTTAAATGCGTTTTAATTTGAGTCTTGAAGAGAATGAAATGGAATAGGGAGTATTTGCTAATGGGGTGGATATATTTTATATATATATTTTTTTTTTACAGTGAATATAAGATAAAAGAAGTTTTAATATGATTAAAAATAATGGGTTTGTACAGGCTGGAAATTTCCAATCATTTTTTGGATTCCAAGAGAACTCTTTTTATCTCTCCTTTAAACTTGTTTTGATTGAAACGCATTTCATAGTCTACTAACCCGCTTAAATCTACATAGGTCGGTTTGCACAGATTTATTGCTATTTCTCATTACTAGAGGTACTGCTTGGCGAATGAGATAATTGCATCCAATTGAATTACTTTTGAAGAAATGACTGTTCTTACACCTGTTTATCGTCTAGAAGAAAGCAAGATGGCGTCGCGTTTACTGCGTGACTTACGTTTCAACTCTGAAAGCTACTTTAATAAATAATGAGAAATTAATTTGTCCGGCGTACTCAGTAAAGAGTCAGTTTCCAAGCCCGGAAGGAAGTTCGAGGGTTACTCTCTGCCATATTAGTTTACCGACATTCTAGTTCTCCACTGTCGCTCGAAGTTACCGCAATGAACTGTCGGAAACTCTGACACGTGCATGTCTGCACCGAAGAGATGATTCGTTAACCGGGGAAATTGCGTAATTTGCATAATGAAGACGCAAGACTCTGTAACTATTCGACCGTACGCCGTGGACGTTAAGTCATCTTGTCCCTTCCGACTGATAAATAGGAACGAAGACTATAATAAATATTAAAAATTGAATAAAACATAACGATTCCCTGGATCAAGATTGCACTTATCAAACTAAAAAAAGGAAAAATGTTTCAGATCATTCCCTGCATTAATGACCAAAAACAGGGATAAAACGTCGGCAAATTCATGTCCATAATTGCATTTGGATTCCTCTTTGACGTCCCAAAATTAAGTCATTTGTACGACGATCTTTGGATGAATAAGAATGTCGATGAATAATCGCCTTCATTCTATTCGCGGGATCTCCAGTAAATATCCAGTTTGATGGGAGTTACTGATAACCAAGTTAGGGTTATCTTATGGATACCATTTCTTTATCGGTAATCCGTCATGGATACAAAGTTCCTTATTGATCCTTTCGCTTTTCCGGTTTTCGCGAAGTTCCTCGCCTCGACAATGTCTCACGAGTGATGGAAACCGGGGCGAAAGCTTTTGCTGATGCTATTGTACCAGAGCTATTAATAAAACGAAGGAAAGCGAGGAAGCAGCGGAAAGTGTGGGCGAGAGAATGGACTCCAAGAAGAATGGAACGCGGCATTGAAAGGGATTTGTTAGTAGAATTGAAAACGCGAGATCCCAAAACAACCGAAAGCGCTCTCGGCGAATGTCGAGGAGATATTTTAACAGTCCATTGGAGATAATTGGCGGCCTTGCGGTTCTTTACGAATACGTTTGTTCAATCTCCCATCAAAATCCCTTTCCCACCGTCCGACGTGGCTAGCCGCGGAACAATGCAAGGAAAACGGATCAGGGTGGATGAATCGAGACGTGTTCACACGAGTACTTTTATTGAATGAACGGCGAGAAAATGCTAGAGTATCATTTTTTTTTCCCGGCATAAAGGGCTAAACGAAGAGAACTGATAAAACGGTACAAAAAGCTGTCTTTAACTATCGTTAATTTCGTTACGTAATGAAACATTTAAGGTGAAGTGAAACACGTCGAGGAACTTGATCGACGTCGATAAAGAAGATTTTTCTAAATGCCTAAGTTGCCGATGTTCGTTTTTATATTGACAGCTGTGTCGAATTATATTGGATATTGTATCAAAAGGCATACTCCACCTGTTGTTTTCGTACAAAAAATATCAAGAAATCGAAGTAAAACTCCACAAATCCTCTGGATTCATGCTTTCTGGGGCCCTAATTGACTGCAGAGGGACACCTTGCGCCATCTGTGATTTCCAGGTCAATTATATTTTCACTCCGAGACCTCGTATTACCATCGTTTTAGCATAGAAGCGCATACAACACTATTAGGTTAATAACTGACCTAACCTGACCTATAATATAAAAAATAAAAAATAAAAACCTAACCTGAATATACGTACGTAAAGAGTATGCATTTGGCGCGATACTCTACTGAGTTTTGTGGTTACGGGATTATTTAAAGAGAATGACTTTTCTGGCCCGTTGCGAAGGGAAAGGGTATAAATAGTAGGGCGGTAAAGGTATCGTTTAATTGTATTTGGTAAAAATAACAGTCGACGGGAAAGATGAACGTCACATTTCTGGGAGGAATTCCCGATCCTATCACGGCTTCTGGTCTCTGGGAGCAGAGTGTCAGCTCGATTTTGTGTTTTCTCTCATAAACGTAAGACGGCTGGGACGAAATCGTCTTTCGCTACTATCCAATTTCGCCCCGGATCCCTGAAGCAAGCTCGGTGAGACTAAAGCGATTTCCGAGGTTAAGCATCACCGTGCGCGGCCTCCATCCGGATGGGTGACCCAAAAACGTCTCCGGGATTTCGAAACCAGGTGTAGAAAAACGACGCGTACCTCTTGCGAAGGTCGGTTTAGGCGCGCTGGCGAGTCTCGGTACCTCAATTTATTATACGAGTATGGCAGGCTGATGAATCGAAAAGCACACGTGTAAGATGTTTAAAGCGTGTGAGGAGCGCCGTAAGCGATATTTCTCGATACTGACACATCAATTTGGAGTTACACAAAAGGAGAAATATGTGAAATATGCTCTAAGAAAAGACGGGAGTAAATTCGAATTTCTTCATGCTCCTTTGTTTTTCGACTGATACTTTCAGCACTAACAATATTACTCGAAAGAGGTATATTAAAAAGAAAAAAAGAACCTCATGCGTGCCGTTACATCCGAAGTTTTTCGATATTTTTGTACAAATTTGGAAATCAATAATCCGTGAACTGTTGCTCGAATTTTAGACGGTGTTAGCTATTATTCGGCGTTATAAATGTATTGTAACAATTTGAATTTAGATAGATAAAAAGTGATGAAATGTTAAAAAGTCACTGCCGTCTTTCCTTAAGATGGTTTCCTGTACTCCTGCAGATAAAGGTGTTTTAAAATGTGATATCCCATACATTCTTGTTTACTTGCTTAGGTCTTGAAAGTACTTACCTGAGTCATGGGTACAAAATTTAGAGTGGAATTCTCCCTTACACGATTATTGTATTAAAAAGAATTTCTTGCGGCAGTAATTTGTTAAATGGAATGGTTTCTTTCATACATTTAGGGAAATAAGTACCTTTAGGGAAATACTTAAAACGTGTACGAGTGAAAACGATTGATGAGCGATCAGTGATTGGCGTGATGTAAGTATACTTTATGTCTTTATGTGTGACTTGATGCATGCATATCAAAGACAATATTTAAGCCGACAGAAGAAGAGAAAAAAAGCTTTCGAATAAAGAAGTAATTAACTAATTCATAACACTTAATACTCGTTTAAACTGTGATAAATATTATAGCATGCCTGCGTTGATCGGAGGAATAACTATTTTTTGTTGATTTTTTGGAATTCTATAACACTACTGCGATTGTACTGACAAACGATATCAAATGTACTTTCTACTACAACGTGAATCAGCTCTTGAACGTCATTATTTAAAAAAAAAAAAAAATGTAGCGCATTTTATATATGTTAGCTTTTCCGATGCACCTTTGAAAGAATACTCAGCATTGTCGTTATGTCACGTGGCAAATTGCCGAATAATTGCGCATAACAAGTTTTGCAATTCAAAGGGATCGTAGGATTTACCTCTTGCGTAAACCGTACTTTTCTAATGTGCAATGTAAAAAGACAGTTTAAGTGCAAGACTTAATGCGGTGCCCTTTTATTGATAGTAATGTCAAACTTTATACGATAAAATCACTGAAAAGTCAAGGCTGCCTCCCTGTGTTCATAATTCTCGCAGCCGAATTGCAATACAAAAACAACACAATTTTTGTTACAAAACGTCTAATGCGTATAAACCCTCCCGTTCGTAGATACGTATTTTCAAAATATTCTGCATATTCGATAAGAGATATTAAATTGACGAGGTATTGGATTCGTCAGAAAACTAACATTCCCTCCGCGTGAAAAATAAATACAATAATGACATTAATATCACAATATCGTTTTGAAACATCTACACCGGATAAAAAGTTAGTTATGATACGTAAACGCGTTTTACATATTCACATCTACCATGTTCCGGGAATATCAGTGAAATTTTAATTGTGAGAATACAGAAAGTCGTCTAATAAATTGGAAGGTATAGAATTAGATCACTAGTCGCGGGAGTAAGATGTAAATTGTTAATTAAACCGCGTCTAATCTCTGCATTGACTCGTTTCGTTACAGGGACAGCTTTTTTTTCCAGTAATTTTATTTATAGTCAACATAGCCGGTGAAGTACCTTGTATTGTGGCAAGGCGAGGGTGTGGTGGCATAGGCGTCGGCGTTGCCGCTTCGCGGCGACGAAGCTCGAAGTTGAAGGGCGATGCGTTGCTCGGGCCTTCTCTGTGTCGCTACTTCTATGGTCGACGCTCGGGCAGCCGCGATCTCGGCGCTTCGATCTCTGCACGCTGACACCTAATCCGCACCACACACCCTCAGCCACTATTTTCAACTAGAAATTCCCTTTCTTCTCCCCTCTAAGTGTATGTACCTTGGCTTACCCATGATGTAACATGTACATAATTTTATCATATGTAACACTCCTTTATTCGTAATCGAGTCTGAGGACAACGGAAATGATAAGAAGAGCCGCGGAAGAGAGAAATAAGAGGAGAATGGAGATTCTCTTGCGTATGCCAAAAAGCCGTTTTGACATTTTTGTATGTACGTTATGTTTAAATGACACGTGATTTGCACATCTGTGAAAATATGATCAAGTATTGATTGTTTTTAGAATATCGGCGGTAGAATTCACTTTTTCATTTATTGTAGACGAAGAGTTAGGAAATCAAGATGGCGGCGGTGGCGACGCATGTACAAGAAGAATCCACTTGTATTACTGTAATGATGGAATTGTCTCAGGTAGAATCGATTAGAACTGCAGGAGTATTGCATACATAAATGTGGCGATGAGATTTTTTCATTGACCGAAAAAGATGTATTTCCGTTTTAAAACAATTCCGTAGGTATATTGGAATTTAAGTCAACGGGTTACAAAGGTAATTCTATGTTTAAAGAGTGAAGCTAGATCTGCTGTACTTTTCTGGAAACTCAGTAATTATTTGAGATTAAGGATTAACTAAATTTCTTGTTTTCTAGAGGTTCCTCTCAATTTGTGACTTTATCTACACCTCTTCATATACGAATGTATAGTTAACGTTTGATCATATAACGTGAAATTGCATCTACGCTAATAAGCATGAAACTCTGAGTGGGGTGCACTTGTCAATGTACATTTGGCGCAATGCCATTGCAAGTCGGTTTATCGTGAAGTTGAGCAACGCTTCCTTCGTTACGGATTCAATTGCTACATTTTTCAACCACAAAAGCAAAAACTTACCGACGACAAAGTGAGAGTAACAAAACAGAACGAAACGCAAATTTCTAAGAGGTGGAACGTATATTAACAAAAGTAGCTTAAAGTATAAATCATACATGACGGCGTGTTATACAGAATCGATTTGGCCAACAAAATGAAATACCAGCAAATTAAAATAATGGCTTGCGAGTAGAGAGTACGACAATGAATTTGAGCGCGAGCGCACCTTACGTACTTAAGAATAAATATTATGCGAAAAGTAAGAAATAAATTAAAAAGCAAGAGAAAGTGGATGAGAAAGTCATCCTGGACGAAACCTACGTAAGTTCAGTACTACTTTCTATGCATTGTGCATCATGCGGTAACCCTTCGGTGACGATCATGCACGTCAGTGTTATGCAGGGTGGTACGATACGCGTCATCCCGACTTGTAACATTTTAATTAATGATGATAGAAAACAGGTCGATTTACATAAATTAAATTGTTATGCTCAAACTGATTTCTTCGTTGGAAGACTTTTTTTAAAATTGGACTCTCCTCAGAGGGTTCTATTTGAAATGTTAGAAATCTACGTGAATAGATTTAATTCGTTTCCAGGTATCTAAATATTGTCTAAGCTTTATAAATGTAAAAATATAAAAAAATCGTCAGGACTGAAGAACGTCTGAACATAACCGCTCAATTTGTGCAAATGGATTTTTTCCCCCGATCATCATTAATTTAAGTATTACAGGAGGAAAGTTACATTTGATGCGTCACCCTGCATGTCATCTACTTAGGCAGTGATAATATGTTTTACAGTAACTAATTCTCTAATGTTCAATCAATGTGTCCTGTGCGAGGTAGTTTTGTGATAAGTCTTTCTTTGTATTATCTTTTTCAACCATCTCCAGTGATGGTGCTAGATATAAAATTGTCATTGCCGCAAAAAAGAGCTCGTTTCCATCATATGTGTATAAATATTAGCGACATTCATGATCTGTATCTTCGATGTTTGTAAATCATTAAAAAAATTGTTCCGATACGTATCGAGTCCCTTTGGTGGAAGTAACGAGTCGAGCTTCTGGCACGAACTCTTGTAAGAACTATATTTATTATTAGTCTAGATATGTACAAGTTGATGCATGAGTAAATTAAAAAGGTGAAAATGTAATTGGGGAGTAAGCAAGATTACTTTTAACTTACGTTTTAATCACGACCTACCCTAACGATATAACGCAAAATCTGTAGTTTTCCTTTTTTGTAAAACATCTCCTTCATGACACCAGCACGAAACATTTCATATTTCATCCTTTCAAGGATTACTGCACAACTTTACCATTTATCTCCATTCATTCCTACATTCATGCAACGTTAATCCATTTAACGCGACTAACAAAAGTTATATCGATATACATAAATTCCTTTAAGAATTTGTAAACGTCAACTTGAATAGACAAATCGTTTCCGTTCTCTGTAAAAAGTGACGGGAATTAACCCTTTTCCAATGTTTTCTCCAAATTCAAAACACGTACAAGGCATTTTAATCGATTTCGTCCTTGAAGCTACAGATTTTCAATTACGCGTTCTCATAAATAAATAGAGAGAAAAAAGAAAAATGTTAAAAGTTTGGTCAAATGAAAGGGAGCAATTACTTCTGCTCCCATTTCGTCTTGATTAGTCCAGCGTTGAAACGAATTGACTCCGTGTCTCGTTCTCATTTTGATTCATGAACCTCGACGACTATAGAGATGGACCTTAAACCCGACTCGTTATCTCCAGCGGGGTTTTCCTCGTCAATGCCGTACCCGTTGATCGATCGATCGTTAATATTTACAACGCTAACAGATCTTCTCCCATCGATCTCCTCCTGCACTAGTTCTGGAACATCAGTAGCTTCCTCCAGCGGTTCATAGAGCCCAGGTTTCACAGAAGGACTTCGACTGGCCGTAGCATGGCCTTTTCTTATTTCCGCGCCGGTCGATGCAGCTAAGCTTACCTTATTCAGGGCCTTAAGCATGTTATCGGGCATGTGGTCCTGAATCATCACGGGGCTTATCAGGACCTCGTCGAAGTCGCAGGGGCCCGCCCAGAGCGCCTGATAAACTGGCTCCCGCTTTCTCAAAACTTGCCTGAAAGTGTTAAATAATTGTTACATCAATTAACCAAACCGCCGATTTAGGGGTGCTGGGGAATATTGGCTCCAAGGCATTCGATGTACCTCGAGAAGATATTTATACACTTATGTTTCGAGGGAAGACCTCCAAGTACACTTCATAGAATATATTATAATCAACGTGCCAATACCATTCATGAGTACTATTCATATGTCGAGGTAATTCACTTGCATACTCTTACTGGACTGATAAGGTGGTACTTGTAAATTCATGCGTTTTCCTTGCGGTGGTATATCCAATTTTCGGGAGAGATTTCTTTTTAACCCTGACTTATTCCCGGGTAAGTTCACCAACGTCTCAGTTTCTCAATATTATTCTTTAGATTAACATCCGAAACCTTGGAAATGTGAATCTCTGGATCAGAGGAATCATTTATCAATCCAACCAGGATTGCGCTGGTCAAATTTGACGAGAAAGAAACTATCTTCTCCTGCTTATTGAAGAAAAGAAAAAAAAAAAAATAACGCAGGCTCTGGTTGCATAAATAACGTGTATGTAAATAGTTACGAACTTTTGCATCCCTATCGGATACTAATTGTCTTAGGCAAAAAAACGATCACCCTGGCCTCGACATGTACGTGTCCAAGTTTCAGACAATTCTGCGTCCTAACTTGGCAAAATAGAGAGAAACTAGTTTCGTCGGTAACCTTACACGGTAAAAACACTTACGAATTCCCTTAAGGTACGAAGATACATTCTATGTTCCTGTCATGCAAAGAGACTAGGATTACACTGGTGCAGTCCCGAAAGAATTGAGAATAAGAGTGCCAGACAGAAAGAAGATCCGCTATAGGAGTTTTAGGACTCATGCGATCGCATCTCCAAGATAGGGAATTTAAAAGACTCCGGAAAGTCATGAATGCCATTTCCCTTAAACATACCTCCAACGCGTCTCATACTTTTGCCTACAAATGAAAATACAGAATTATTCTCAACGGCCTTCGCAGGTCGAATTATAAAACGTCATTGCAATTGCGTTCAAACCGCGTCTTGTTCTGACAACTTCTTGCTCAAGGTGACTAAAAGAGTCTTAATATATTCAATTCTATCCTTAAATCAAATATTGTCGCGAAATGCCAAATTATATCATAATAAGAAGAAAACAAATCGGTCATTATATCAATATCCATTAAATGTCATTAGATGTACTAATAATCCTTTGAATGTTCAGTGGTTTAAATTTAGCAGTAGTGTGGCAGGTACCTTGATGATTTTGTAATTAATCGTGCTTTAGACGGAGGGAAATACGTGTTTGAATACTCACTCGCCCTTGTTGGGGTGATGTCGCACAACGTGAATAATCCTCCCCGGGGGATACAAGGGTCTGTGCAAAGTGAGTGCGATGCTGGAATCGCTGGGCACGACGGTTTGAGAACGTGCCTGGTCCTTATCTCTCTGATACTCGCTGATACAACCACCAGCTTCTAAATTCGCCGCTGACGTTGGAGTTGACCCGCAACCACAGCACATCACCGAACAAGCTATCGTCTTCCACTGAAACAGACATTTACATCCGTTAAACATGACAGTCATTATCCATATCATTCCTCACAAAATTCCAGACATTCATTATCACACTTTTCTACGGCGCTTTCGTCCATTCGTCCATTCCTTCTTTTGTTTTTGCGCATGTATCGAAATACTCATCACATGTTGTAAAGCACTTAATGAACAGATATCAGAAATATCATTACTTTTTTTAATGGAACACCCTGAGACGCTATATAGGCCCATCAATTTGAAAATATCGTCATTACAGTGAAGTCCCAATTTTAAAGTTTCATAAAAACATCGCAAAAAGTAAACCTCAGGGGCCTTAGATATCAGTGATTTCGAGTTTGTAATTAGTTTTTAATCTGCCTGCTCCTTAATCTTATATTAATGATTCTTTTCGGCTCACAAATTTACCCTGTACCGGATATTAATTTCCCGCAACATCCTGTCGAGTTAGCGACCGTGCTCTCCTAGTTCAATTGTTAAAGTGCAACTTAGTTTACACCATTTGTTTCAAATCAATGGTATCTCTCTTTTTCAACCCCGCATGCTCGATCTTCATATCTTAACGTTTATATAATGTCAGACAGTCGTAGAAATTTACGTGCCTTAGGATCTACGCTTCTTTTAATGGCATTAATGAGATCTGCCCTCAGACTCTCCATTTGCCTGAGACCTATTCGGGGAACGACGTCTTTGCCAACGACGACGGAGGTGATGAACTCTTGGCTGTACTGTTGAGCTGGCATGCTCAAAAGCCCGCCAGGGGGTGCGAATGAAAAGCAAACCAAGTCTGGATACTCTTGTTTCAGCAGGATCGCCAGGATCGCTGCGGTCCCTGCACCCAAGGAGTGACCTACCAGAGTCAATCCAAATTGATGAGTACCTCTGGAAGGGTCCTGAAAACAGAATTAATGGTCACGGTTTAATTGCTTTTCATTATATTCTAAATCATACCGAAACACCGCGTACAAAAGAAAAGGTGTCGCTCAATACCGTATTGCCCCGACCCGAAAGTATTTCCGTGCAATGAATAGCTGTGCTCGGAATAGCTTGTTGCAATTGGAATTGGTTTTTCAGAGATCCCTCTTAACATTGCTACTGGTACATCAATTAACAAGGGACGCAAGTCAATCAAAATACACCATTCCAGTTAATCAGAGAGAGATGGTAATTCTCAATGATAAATCGAAATTTAAATTACAAATGTTTTTTATCTCTACTTTAGTACAGATCCTTGATTAGGCATGAAATAAATATTTTACGTCCATTTTGAGAAGAAGAGACGCTTTCATTAATTTTGCCGAAATTTCAAGGAAAATGACGGGGTAACTTTTATCATTTCTCCCACGCTTAGCTGACATCGACGGAGACGAAACTAATTTTCCTGGATATCGAGGGAGGGATTTAAAATATCGCGGAAAGCGCTGACGTTCCATACTTTGGCTAAAGCCTTCGCGATGATGCCTTCCTCGTAAAGTTTTTTACGTATATATTCCGCAGCCTGGACCATTCCTTTGTGTCCTAGCCAGTCCTCTCGAGGCGGATTTAGAGGTAGCACTTCGCCCTCGGCGTTCAAATCCGTTACGACATCCTTCATGCTAAGTGTACCACGTATGCTGACGACCACCTGAGGGAAGAAGAAGAATACACCTAATTAACACGTACACCCAAGTACTTCAGGTACCAGCCGACTCGTTACCGTCAACCGTGTCAGGCATATTTAGCCACGATTCCTTGTCAGAACTTCCGAAATCATAGAGATTCAGACGTGCAATTTCTTTTCTAATTCTTAGTTCTTTTGCATGCATTACGACGGACGTATCATAAAGTTTCATAAATTGGTATACTTTGTATTTATATTACTATGCTTTAGAAATGAAACATTGTTACGTTTGAACGTAGCCGAAGAGTACCTTCTTCTTGGAGTAATCGAGAGCGACGAAGAACGGCGTCTCGCCGACGTCGACGTGGAAAGTCGCATAAATGACCTCGACCTCGCCGACTTCCACCATCCTTCGAAGGGCTGCATAATTGCACTGGCAACAATTATCCTCGACGACTGTGGCTTCGTCGTCGTGAGTTCTACACGGAAAGCAACCGCACCGCAGCCTGAAGCCAAGAACATGCGGAAATTGTTCAACTCTTTCTCCCAAGTAATTAGCCAAGTTGAATCGTTCTAACTTAGGTAAACTAGGTAATTAGATGCTCTGGAAAAAGTATTCGAGAAAGAAATTGTTGCGGTTAAGGAGGGATCCATGTAGGAACGGAACGTTGTCAAATAGTATCCTCGAAGATTTCAAGGCTACAGATGTTCCCTTCCCAGTCCTTTCTACGCGTATAAACAGTTTTGGCATAACTTAATCTAAACTGAATGTTCTTTCTAATTTGCTTTAATTTCATTTGGCCTTATTTGGTCGGCGTCAGCCAGGTAGAATCAATTCGACGCAAGAATTAATTTTTCTTCCAGAAAGTGATATTTTTTCGCTCAGAGCAATTAACTATTGGTTTTTCAGGAACGACAAGTACCTAGTGCACAATTGACAGAGACCAGTGGTGTGATTGACGAGGAATAAGGGCCAGCCATAGGCAGCAAGGGCAAAGTGCATGTAGTGTATGGCCGATTGGAAGTGGTTCAAGTCCCCGTCTTCCGTCAACGACAGGAACTTGGTGCGAGGCGTGACGGGAACCCCCGAAAGGAACTCATAGGTGTCGTTCTTCCTCTGTTTGACGATGAGCTCCCGCTCGACCTTCTGGAACTTCCTCAGCAACACGAGGCCGGCCACCACGTCCGAAGGGACCACGTCCAGGTCCCGAAAGAAATCGCTCAGCAGCCTGGCGATGTCGGCGAACGAATTCTGAAAGTCGTAACGCGCGACACGTCGACGTGGGAACTTTCCTCCTTTTTCCTTGAAATTTTCCGAACTCACTCTGTTTCGGTCGGAGTTCCCCATGCAGCAGAATAGCAGCCTGCACCTGTTGTCCCAACTGTCCTGGTACGCCCGGATGACTTTTCTGCAAATACATGGGGTGGTTCGGTCAAATTTCGCAAAACCAATTCCTATGTCATCATTTCTACGTCACTATGATGTGTCAAAGTTTCGGACAGTGTGGTCTAATACCCTTAAAAAAAAGTGTTGTATTCGAATCGACTGATTTGAAGGGGGTTTCACTTCACCTTAAACGCTTTCTGCATTATTTCCATAACCGTTTAAAAAGAGAGCAAGTTAAAAACCTACAGGTTAATCCCACTCATTCCCTTTCAGAGCGCCCGCCGTTTCCGCTCTTTATTCCCGTCTTCCTTCTCTTGGTCTCGGCGCGGAGGTAAGTATTAAATCGAGACGCCTATCCCTCGGAATATAAAGGTTTAATTAACGGCCGCGGGAAACAGCTCGAATTGAAAGTCAAATCAGCTGCCGCCGCGGAATGGAAGAGTCGAGTGCCAAGGACCCCCTCGGCCGATCGATGGGACGCGACGAAGGCGAAAGCGAAAGCGCCGAGTTCGCCGAGTGATAAAGCCAAGTCGACGCGAGGTGCCGTATCTCGAGCTGCAAAAAGGAGGAAGGAAGAGTCGTCGACGTCGAGTCAGTACCGTTGTCGCCAGTTCCGGTTCCTGCTCCCGCTGCGCTTGTAGTGCAATCTGGCCCCGCGGGACTCCGCCTCCCTCATGCTGCGCTGGTATTTCTTCATCTTCACCCAGGATCTCCCGGCCGCGTCGTACGTGCACCACACCGTCACCACCACCGACGCCAGGACGCACCAGTTCGATATCACCAGACCTGCATTGTTAATCCTTCAATTTACCGGAGAGATAGGAATCAGACTTCGCGCAGAATAATCTTTACTTGGATCGATCTTATTCGATTTATCCATATCGAAGCCTTACGATTGTTTCCCTTTCCTAACCCTTTTTTTTGTGGGTAGACACATAAAAAGAGAAAAGATTTCGTCGAAATCATTTCAAAAGACGTTTCGGTTGAATGATCCGAATTTTAGTTCACTTGGCCCAGCTTCTTTGCTTTAACCCCTTAACGCACAGATTTTTTGTAAAAACCGGCCAAAAAAAATCAATTTTTGTATGTAAAAAAACACTAGAACATTGTCTTGGCAAAGAAAATAAAATTCTCGATTATATTCGAGGGTGAATAATTATAGTAGCATAAAATACAACACCGCTCGAATTATCTCGAGTGTGCACAGTTTGGCCTGTTTAGCGCGCTCGAATTAACTCGAGCGCACAAGTTAAAGGGTTTATCAAATAAACTGTCCAGATAATCCATTTTGTTAACGTTAGATATTATTTTAATGGATAAACCAAATATTTTGCTTCAGTATACCATATTATTTTAATATTCGATGCGATCTATCACAAGATTTGATATAATCAACCAGAAGTCATTAACCAATGAGTTTTGTCATGTCATGAAAACAATTGGTTGTGTGCAATCAATGGTCTGGTTAATCATGCATCATCGCATATCCTCTGGTTTAGGTGATATGAAAGTGTGATATGTACATAACAAAAAGTCAAAATATTTATAAAACTTTTCTTCAAACTGGGTGCACCGAATTATCTCAAACTTTAACACGTGATTATGGAGGCTATAAGGAAGAACGCGCTGCCCGTGAAATTTCATTTTTCATCACCAAAAAAAAAAAGAAATTCTTTTTTGGTTCTTGTCCGAGATAAGTACAGATAATTCGGTGCACCTAGTTTGGAGAAAAGTTTTATAAACATTTTGACTTTTTGTTATGTATATGTCACACTTTCATACCACCTTAACAAGAGGATATGCGATGATGCATGATTAACCAGAATATTGATTGCGTACATTCAATTGTTTTAATGACAAAATTCATTAGTTCATGACTTCTCCGATTGATTACATCAAATCTTGTGATAGATCGCATCGAATATTAAAGTAATACGGTATATTGAAGCAAAATATTTGATTTATTGATTAAAATATTATCTAACGTTAACAAAATGGATCATCTAAACAGTTTATTTGATTAAAGCAAAGGAGCTGGGTCAAGTGAACTAAAATTCGGCTCGTTCAACCGAAACGTTTTCTGAAATGATTTCGATTAATGAAATATTTTCTCTTTTTATGTGTACACCCTCTCTAAAAAAAAAAGGGTTTTGCAGAGTAGGGAAACCGATCGTAAGGCTTAAAATCTTTTAAGATGAAATTTTCTCCAGGAGCTTTTTCCTCACTCTGTACGTATGCATGTATTCGTATTTACAACATATTTATATTATTTGTACACAGGGTAGGGAAATAAAATTCTTAACCTACCTAAAATGATTTCCTTCGCTTGATCCACGGGACAGGTTTGGTAATGAAAAGTTAACCAGGTTACCCCCGCGCACAGCCAACCAGTTTCCACCAACAATAGAACTGAAATCAAATGAAAAGGCTCGACATTATTTCGGTTGTTCATTTCCTCTCTTCCGGGGAATATAAAAAGATTTACAAAATCGTCAACGTTGGCAAGTTCCTCGAGCGAGGACATTTCGTTCCGACTGTCAGTCTAAAACTTTCCAAACGAGAGGGAACTTTTATTTTAATCCCTGACCTTTCCCTCCTGAAATATTAATTTGACACTTTGATTAGTCTTTCAGGATACGTCAAGTTGAATGCCTGAAATACCGTGATTAATAATACAAGACTGTTTCGCGGACATTCTTTTTCGGGGAGGGTATTTTTATCTCGCTTTACTTCATTATTGCGTATGAACATTTCACACAGATTTACGGCTACCGAACAGCTCCTTGATATTTAAAAAAGAGACATTAAACAGAAGTGGTTTATAGCATTTTATTAAACGTCAATGCAAATTAAGTAACGAATTAATAAATATCCTGCTAGAACTATCTATTATCAAGGAATTAATGAATTAGACATTATTTTGCATTAAAAAGAAAAAAAAACTGCCTGCGATTAAAAGTCAAAACATATTAAAATTGAATGAAAATTCATTCTCTATGTTTAGATTCAGACAATAATCTTACAGTCCTCATATTTAAATATAGATGAATAAATGAGATACTTTCAACGTACAACTTCTTATACCCTTTAATTGTTTACATTAATTTGTCATTCATTTTTAGGTGAGGTTGTTTGCGTTTTATCCTCTTTTCTTAAGGTTGTTTACCGCGTTAATAGAAGCAGTCGAGGGCTGAAAATCGATTTGGGACATTACACCGACTTGGGGAGTCGTCTACGAAAGTGTAAGTGTAATCGATCAGTGAAGGAGTTCATTAATGTAGTATTTGTTGTTTCGCTGGTAAACAGCCGTGGTAGTAACAATTCATTACCATAAGACCCTGCCAGCATACATTTTCATCCCCGAAACCTTCCCCCCATTTATCCGCTTCAGATGAATTATGAACAATACTTTCTGAATGTTCCAGGGAAGCATGCATTCCCGTCGTCTCACATTAAGCTAACTAATTAGGCTGCGAGGGATTCTGGAGTGTGCTGAGAAACTCATCAAGGTAAATGCCTACAATAAGACGATCTGACAAGCACGAAGGAATCTATTCTATTAGTGAAGGTTGAAATCACTGGAATAATGTAGAAAGCTTGCAGACCGACATAAAGTTTTTCTGAATACGAGCTTATAATTAGTGTCGATCGAAGTATCAACTGTAGTCTTAATAAAGATTTTAAATTACAGAAGGGGATGAAAGATATGTACGAGACTAAGATATTCGTATAAAAGTAACCGTAAGATTTATAAAAATGTTGAGACAAACCAAAGGAAAGGTTTCTCTTGTAGCTGAGGTTAATGTGTAAGTAACAAATTCCGGAAAGACCTTTCGAAACTGAGGAGAATTCTTAAAATGTTTTCTATATCCCTTAATGTGGTTAATTGGGCTTCTAGGGGTATCTGAGGTATCTTGGAAAACCTATCGAGGTAAAAGTTTGATAAGACATTCTTCATTGTAGAAAGGAATCTGATCTGCTGGCTGAGCATCGAATGACTCTTATGGAGCAAAAAGTTCGTAGGTCAATTCGAAACTTTGGCGAAAGCGGATCCAATATCACTGAAGGTACTAATTACCTTTCAAAGGAGAATTCCGGAGTGAACGGGGATGAGCATCATCTACGACCAGGGTTGGTATCCCTTTGGTTAATTAATCAATCAATGGTACATGATTTAACGTCCAGACAATTTTTAAAACTCTAAAGGTCTCTCAATAAGTTTTCTATCAGCTCAAATTAAGTTACCTAATTGAATAATCGGGGATTCCAATTGAAAAAATCCAAAATTGAAATTTGGTTTTTCTGCGAGCAATTGATTAGCAATAAATTCTGGTATATAATTCATCGATGAACATTTACTTAATAATTGTTTTTTATTGTAGCAGTGCTAGCTTTATACAAAGCTTACATTGCCACCATTTTTCAGAAAAGTATAAGAGCAAAAAGTTTTTTTCTTGTGCAATAAAATAGCAATGAATTAGCAATAAATTTTGCAATAAATTTTATTGAATTGTGGTAAAGTGGCAATTCCAGCTTTATGTACATGTCCGACGTGGCGTTCTTTTGTACGTTCCTCAAAGTACGAAAGAATCCGGTCCATTAGAGGATTATTGAATGGCTCGACCGAAGCAAAAAGCAGCTTGCAGATCGATTGGAAGCTTCGGTGAAAGCGGTCCCAATATCATGGAAGGTACTAATTACCTTTTAAAGGAGGATTTCGATACGAACGAGAGGTGGGCATTATCTGGGGCGAGGATCCCTATAGATAGGTGATCAATCAACGGTCCTCGATTGAAAGATCTAAACCCTTCTCGAAATTCGAGAGGGGTCTCTTAGGATGTTTCCTATCGTCTCGAATTAAGTTATCCAACTAAGTATCTAGAGATCCTGAGGCATCCTTAGAGACCAATGAAAGTGCTCGATACTATATGTATTCCTCTGTACGTTCCTCGGAACACGCAAGAATCTCTTTCGTTATTCTTTTTGATACGGCTATGTGTTTTCGTCAATATGCTTCCGCTATACATGCGGAAAAAGAATTCACAGTTGTAATTAGATATTTTACTTGCAGCAACAAGGGTGAACACTTGAAAATAAGCCAACAGAATGTCCAGAAATATTATTGTTAAACTGACAACAAAAAACGATCACTTCCCTGGGACGCCAGAAATTCTATTCCTGGTTGCAATATTCTTTTCTAACAACGACAAATTGTCTATCACACATTCGTTTGGATAGTGACAATGTTTTTCTTTCACTGTTTCAGCAAATTCATTCGCTGATTTAGCAAGCACTTCATTTAAAGAAAGCTCTCCAATGGTTACATCTACGATTCGATACAATTGTACATATTTTTGTTGTTGGTACGATTATTCCTGCAGCAAGAGCAAAGCTCTATCAGTAATGTTGTCTTGTGCTAAAAGTGAAAACGTTTTTTTTTTTCTGTGTAAGGATCCCCGAATCGCAAATACAGCGCTATAGTATGGACCAGTAAAGTAATGACAACCGTTCACCATAATCAAAAAGTCGAAAAAAAAGCAGTAAAAAATTCTACTAGGTATGAATTAATGCAAAATTTTAACGGAGCAATGATGGGTGACCACAACCACCCGTAGTATCGAAAGAGTTAGAAAAGTAATGACAACCGTTCACCATAATCAAAAAGTCGAAAAAAAAAGCAGTAAAAAATTCTACTAGGTATGAATTAATACAACATTTTAACGGAGCCATGATGGGTGACCACAACCACCCGTAGTATCGAAAGAGTTAGAAAAAATGTCTGGGATGAAGGAAAAACATTTTCAGGTCAATACTAAGCTCTGTCGAAGACGAAGTCAACACTGTCGTAGATATTAACAATGAGTCCAGAAGAGTGGGCGTTTTTTAGAGGTGGAGTTAGTATCCTCGCAGACGGACAACCAATTATCGGTACGCGATTGGAATACACCAAGACCTCTCGAGTTCCGAGAGGTCTCTTAAGACGAGCTCCTGCTGACCTCACTTCGTATCCATTAACTACAACCTTAATACTAATTTCAATTGAAGCACAATTCAAGGATTTCTCTGCCCCTCTTGAGGACGGTGAAGCTCCCTCCTATAACGGCCTAAAGACGATTAACGAGTTCACAAAAAAGGGTCCTTTTCCCCGACAAAATAAAGAATACTTTTCTAAACTGATAGACAACTGACAGATCAATGGAATAACTATCCAGATCATACTGAAATCCAGAAAAGAATAACAAATTTGGAGATTGTTACCACCGAAACTGTCACCAGCGAGAAATTTATGTCCAAATGAAAGCATGGTGCCTCCATGAAAGAATAAATCCTAACCATTCCATAAAGGAGAACCGTACTTCCATAAAGAAAAGATTTACGATTCCTGGAAGGAAAAGTAAACGCCTTACGGCATAACGACACATGCTATGGTATTGTCTTCTGTGTCTCTATCTCTACGTTAACTGGTCTGGCCAGGGATTCTGAAGCACCCTACGGGACCTCCGAAGACTGACGCGTTGAAATAAAAAGCTCGTCAATGGGAAGCTGCTGTAAAAGTACCGACTACAGGCCTATCCAGGTTTTCGACTCGAACGAGTAGTAGACGTTTCCTGGATCGAGGGGCGATTGGCCCCTGGAGTTGGCATCCCTGTGGCGACCAATCAGCGGCACGTGATCGGAAAGGCGAAAGACCTGGTGAAACTGCAGAGATCTCCCGGGACGAGTCGCTCCTGGACCAGGTCCAGATCTATTAGCTAGATCGGGCGGTTCTTTCCCGGATGCGGAAATCGGGAAGTGCGTCGTTCCGAAAGGAGTCGCGATCGCTACAAGGATGCATTCGCCCGCCTGATTTATTTCATCGGTTAAGTGCACGTAATATCCCCTAATGGGAGATCTCAGCACCGGAAATGGGACCTCTTCAAAAGTGGCGACAGGAAGTTCAGGATACATTGAAATAGGATCAAGTAATTATGATTAAGGGCTGAAGAACGGGGGCTCATTTTCAAGTTTGGGATCTTGTCGAATCGGCTGATTTTATATTTCAAACGGACCTGAGTATCCAGTTGAGTTTATGATGTTTCCATCATCAAGGAAAACTCGGAGAGAGAGACGATCTCGAGAAGCTAAGAGTGCGCGGAAATTACCTCGAAGAGAAACCTTCGGTGGTTGAAACTCCGAAGTTTTCTCATTTTTGTATTAAAAGGCCTTGAAGGTACTTACTTTCCGTTGAGTTGATCTAGCAATACTTTTATGTTACATTTCTTTTTTAATATTTCGCATGGTACGACATTTTTAACCGTGGATACTTTGCCGTCAGTATCGACAGGATTGTAATTCTCACGTGACGTTGAAGAGACGCTTTTTATGCCGCTGGTTTTGCCAGCTGCTGTACTTTCAAATAGAATATTGTTTTCTACACGATGACGTATACATCCGAGAGATAATTTCTCTTGTGGTATCACGTGCGTCTATCCATTTCCAACTTCCCCAAATCGGATTTCATCCGACGGTCTGGGACGCGTCGTAAAGTGGAATACTGACCTAGGCGAGCATAATGAAACGTGGGATAGGTCAGGGAGGAGAATGTCAGAAAATGTCGGCAGTACGAGCTGGAGGTTCGCGGCATGTATATCGGTAAATAGTGTACATTTGCCGCAGTACATAGGTATTCACAAATCATATAAGTTACTCTCTCAGAAAACTTGCTCTCTTAGGCCTTGCTCACGTGTTATATACAAGTACTTGTAGTATATCTAGCGGACACGCGACCGTTTATCGATCCATATTTTGCGCTGGATAAAAAAAAAACCTTAAATCACTGCACATCGCGTCGTATACTTAAAGAATCCGATCCATAATTTTTCACCGATAGAATAGATGACAGCAATTAAATTACGTTTATATTAAACATTCCCATTAAGATGATGCGAAAGTGACGCCAAAGAAGTCTCGACGACCGTTCTAGTGAAAAACAATTTTTATAAAAAAAAAAAAATGCGATGTCATGGGTGTCAGGACCTTTCTTATAGCCTTCATTTTCACGTTGTAAAGTTTTAAACAATTCGGTTCACTAAGTTCAGAGAAAAATGGCATGAAGGACTGACTCCTCGGATGTAACTTTCACATTCCCTTAAACTATAGTTTTCTATAATCTATCATCAGTAGACAAAATACGAGAGGGTATGGAATGAATTATACGATGTTTATAACATCACTTTGCACCTCCTTATTTACTTTTTAACGTTGCACCGAAGACTTTGCAGTCTGTATATTAATAATTCAATTTTTTAACACCGTCGTCGACGCCCCTTCCAGCCGCATCGTTCGGCTTGCAGTTTTCCCTAAAATAACAAATTCACTGGGTACCTACCAAAGGCGCGTTAAAAAAAAAAAAGAGAGTCGCAAGCGATACATCGGCGTCCATCGGTGAATCGGCAATCGATATTGGCCAACGTGGCTCGCTCGGAAGTTCCCTTAAAAATACATATCCACGTACCGAACGTGTCTGCCATGAAATTCGGATGTGGGCTGGACTTACATAGCCGTATGTAGAGTACATGCTGCATAGGTGCCCTAGCCGCAGTATCGAGTATGCTCCCTCTCGTTGCCAAAAGACAGATGGAAAACTCGACCACCATGGAGGCCACGAATATCGCCAAGTATCCGACTACGTATTCCCATAAGAGGAGGATGCAGCTGATGCTGCGATCCCACTCCAGGATAGCCAGCAGGACACCCAGGACGATGATCCTGTAACAGGAAAGATATGACACCTGAGACATCGATAAAACTCGAGATGTGGCATCATAAAGGCGTAGCCATAACAGTTGATACGATACTACACGTAACAAAAAATCCACTCCCTCCAACTGGAATGATTCTAAAAAAGCGAATCTTCATGATTAAATTTGGAGAAGAAAAAGGAAAAAAAAATATTAGATACCCAAGGAGAAATAATTTACCGATCATGGAACCTGAAATCCCTTTAAATGTCGTTAGTAACATTGTGAGTAGGAAATTGCATGGATAAATGAAAAATCTTCGTGATAGAGGTAAAACATGCTAAACAGATTTTTCGCGGGATGTATTCTTAAAGATGGTGATGTGAAGTACCTCGTGTTGATGGCATTAATTTTGTAATATTTAAATACTTTTTGTTTTCGAGTTAATTTGGCCAATTCGATTAATTTGTCATTTCTCCGGAGTTTTAACGATCAACGATCCGCGCACCAGAATTTACGACGTATAAAGTGATTACAGTTTAATGGGATATCAGATCTTTATGGAGGCTCCGTTGGATCGATATAATATTATGTATCAATATAAGCGCTTTAGATATTATAGCTGCGAGGCTTTCTTCTTTATAACGACTTTTATGGATTTAAGAGGAAGCGGCGTTTCCCCCAAGCAGAGTGATTTATCGGCGGTTTTAATAATATTGAGATAAAGGAATTATGGTCACTCGTTGTTAGTGGAGTTGCCGAATATTGCGAATAATATTTCAGCAAGTACAAGATATAAATTCAGAGGTTTCTTTCGGTGACTCGTTATTAAACATTTTTCATTTAGACATAACTGGATGCGATGCTTTTTTATAAATATACTTTAATAATTATTTAGATCAAAATGATATTGTTTTGCTGCAATGAAACACTCCGTTTGACAACATATTTATATACCAGATGACACACATAATAAATAAATATATTATGCTGTGACAAGAATGGGCATCGAATATTTTACTAGTGTAACATTTTTCCCATTTAAATAAGTAAACATAAATAGCCTCTGGATTTTTATAGAACGTAATTAACTTTTTTTTTATTGAGCACGCTTAATCTACATTACCGAAGCTATTATGTGGAGCAAGATGAAACGCTAAGTTCTGATTGCTCTTATCGTTCTTGCGGGAAATGCAGCGGCCAAGTAGATTCGGTTCGTTAATAGTCAGTCGAGCTCGGTACGTTTATCTCGCGGCATATCGTGGCTAACCGAGTTGAATATGGATGCATTTCTTCCCGCTAAAGTCAAGTGGTAATCTATCGCGTTAAACGGCCTCGCTCTGAAATTCAACTCAAACGCGCTTTACGGAAAAGTTTACGCTTCTACATGCATGTGCATGTACATCCCGAGTCGCGGTCGGAAGTCATGTACGTCCTGTACTGCTTACATGAGTAAAACATCAAAAACCACAAAGTACAGGGTGAATCATGTAGCTGACGCCGTTTTCGAGCGGCCATGACTCAGACATTATTTCCACACCACCGAGAAATGTTTAAGAAGAAAGTCAAACCGCTTCGAGTATTATATTTGCAAACAAAAAAGAAGAAGGAAACGCTTAAAGTTCATTCGTGCCAGTTTTTTAATTAAGAAAAAAAAAATGAAAGCTATAATGAAATTAAAGATTTCAATGAAGAGAATTTGAGATTTACAGTTTTTCATGGGAATACTTTCGGTTTGGTGAAATTAATTCACCGCGATTAAATGCCGGGAAATTTAAAGGAGTTGGCTTATTTCGATATCTGTTTATCCTAGGATCGTCGTGGCTTGAGTTTTTTAGTAAATGGAAGATCGAATGGATTGCGATATTGTATATAAAATTAAGTTTCTATTGTTAAAAAGCTGTGCAATGCGTAACTTAAATAAACGCAGTTATTATGATTATCTGGTTTCACTAGAAATTCAATTTCGGGTGTAATTATCCGGTAGTTGTTTCCTCAGTGACCGTAAATAATTTCCGGATAATTACGTGGAGGAGTCCGAAGGCGTTATCTAGTTAGTAACGTTACTTGCCGGCAATAATTGATGGTAATTAACAAAGAGAAATTTCCCGAAAACGAGGTAGCGCCCTGCGACATAGTCGGAAGACATTTGCAGATCTCTTTACCTTGTTTCTACTTACGTAAAGACTTTCGCCATAAAAGTACAATTAGTGCAATCGAGTTTCACTTAACGAGCGAGAGAATTGAGAATCGTTAAAACATATTTGACTCGGCGTAAATTAACCCTAAACATTCTAACGAAATTGCGCCCGACAGCATTCAACTATATTTACTGGAGTTCCTTTCAAGAACTAAATTTGCAGCGGGAGTTAATTTACGAAATTTCGCTGAACTTCGCTAAACGAATAAAGAACGGCGCGATTTAAAGAAAGTTGCGATTGAGGAGTTCCTGAACATTTTTACGCCTCCGTAAAAGGGGTCCATTTCTCCGCCAGTTTTATTGCTCCACTTTCAATTTCAACGCCAACAAATGGCTAAAAGTTTGTACATGAAACGAAAGCGCGCATTCGCGGTAATCAACCGTAGGCAAATAAAATGAAAAGAAAGGAACAATTGTTTGAGAGAGCTTTGAGATTTAAATTCTTCCAGATCGAGGTTTTTAACTGAAATTGGGGCGGTTCTGAAAGCAGTCTTTCAAGATGCAGAATAATAAACTAGAGTGCTCTACGAGTCCCTTAAAAATTTTATTACACTGCAGTGACAGGAGTATTAATGCCCTCCACCGTAAAGTCATTTTCACGGCCCCATTTCCAATTTTAATGCCGCCGGAATAGTTCATTGAAACTTTGTATTTGAAGCGAAAGTGCTCGATCGTGTTGACCAACGGGAGGTAAAAAAATAAAATAGAAAGAAATTAACAATGGCGCGAGATTGAAGTGTTTTAAATGGAAGGTTTTACCATACATAGTTCTCAACGTAGATTTTTTAAAGGGCAGAATATTTATTAGGAATACCGTATAAAATATTATTATTACAGTACGAGCATTAATCATTCCATCGTAAAGCCATTTTTATTGCGCCATTTGCAGTTTTACCGCCGTCGGAATGGTTCTTTGAAAAGTTCTACTTGAGAGTAAAATGTGCTGAAAAATTGTATTAACCAACCAGGGGGAATAAACACGAATAAGGGAATAAACTTACATGGAAACGTTCCCAAGTGTCTGCCGCCGATCTTATTGATTTTCATATATGTTGAAAAACATAAAAATCTAAGAGACACGTGTTTTTTTTTTATCTGCAATGGTTCACATTTAAGGGGTGAAACAACCCCTTATACACAATACGTTTATGCCAAGTTTCGTCAAAATCCTGCCACTGCTTCTACGAAAATTAATATAAAAATTGAATTTTCGCCAATTCATTTTTTTCACCCCTTAAATGTGGACCATTACAGATAAAAAAAAAACACGTGTCTCTTATATTTTTGTGTTCTTCAACATGTATGAAAATCAATGAGACCGGCGTCGGACACTTGGGAATGTTTCCTTGTTATAGAATACTTTGAGATAGAAATTTTACAAGTTGGCGCAGTTTTTAAAATCTTTTTAATAGTAATTAGGGAGTTTCTGCCACTGCAGTGAATTTCTGTTAAGGTGTTGTCACATCTTCGAGAGGTGAGCGCAAAATGCACTCCATTGTGAAGTCCACAGATCTCCCTTCTTAGCTTCACGGTTCCCGCACTCATTGCCGACCGATCAGGGATACGTTGAACATTCCATGACCTGATTCTATTTCAGTGACATCGAAGATCGATATAAGGGAAATTCATAAATAAGCAGCGCACGCAAATACCTCGTCTCAGGTCGCCCCCAGGCAAAAAACACGACGAGACATCGAGGATCGCCTCATCCTATCGCGACATGGCCTTAATGGTTATTTAAGGGAAGGAAGGAATGGATTTTTCCCCCTCCTTAATGCTTCCCTCCCTAAATTCCAATTTTTTCCCGTCTACTCGTGACACCAAATGACAACGAAGTGCCAAGCCGTGTGTTTTCAGGAAGAGGAGGAAGACAAGGGAAAGGAACCCCTTGCAAAAAATACGTTTTCGAGAAGTCCACTTTCTGGGTGATATCGATTCGTAAAAATTATGAAATTTATTTTAATAAAATTGAAAGAGCGAAGTTCTGCAACCTGCTTAGGAATTTAATTCAGTTGAAAAAAAAATGGGAAAGCGTGATAATTCTATGTACTCACGTGAGTATCATAATGATAGATGAATAAAAATTATAAACCGTTAATTTTTTCAGGGGAATCCAAGTCTATCCGAAAACCACTTTGAGTTTTAATTGTCCTCAGTCCCTCGATTTATAGGAAATATTTCTCCATCTTTCAGACCGCTTTTCGGCCTTCCAACAAACACCCACAATGTTTCCCAAAAAATCGCAACATTGACAGACTAACATATGTCATTTGGAATAATGTAAACAAATGGTGATTCAATTATGGTTTAAAACATACTTCCAATTACAGTGTTGAAGTTTCAGGTAATTCGTGTGCACCCGGTGTGGAGTATAGTTTTATAAATATTTTCACATTTTTATATACATATATATAGAATGACCCTTTCATATCACCTTAAAGGAGTAAAATAAGTAAAACTCCAACCAACAAGGACGAAAAAAATTTAAAGAGGCTCCTTTTTCCCTGGTTTACTTCTAAAAGAGGTCAGATTGGGTCCACGAGGTCGAGGGATCGGTGGTTCGCAAATCGAATGTCATTCGATTCTCATCTGAGGAGGGTGGAGAGCATAACGTGAGAGGGAGAGAGTGGAGAGGAGACGAAGGGCCGTCAGCCTTGGATGCTGCGTGGACCGTATCGATTTACCCTTGTAGCGGGTTCACGCCATCGCTCCGCTGTCTTTGCTTCGCCGAGTTTCTTCCTTAGGTTCAAATTGAAACTGGTGCAATGAAAATAGGTATACGATGAAGGGCACTAACGTTCTCCCAGGTGAAGTAACGTCTTAAAGGG